ACGCTAGTTTGACATATGTGATAGAGTATATAAACTTTCTACGTATAATTTTTTTTAGAAATAGTTATTAGTTAGTAATAACAAACATCGCCTTGTTGCATTTTAGAAGTGTATTTTTTTATAAAAGTACTGTTCCTATTTGTTTATCTTCTAATTAAAAAAAAAAGCAAGTTATAAAATTGTAATTGTAACGCATTATAGCGGTAAAAGCAAACTATTTGTAACAATTTAACCACTACATACCTAAGACAATATAGTACCTACACTACTGATGTCTCTACTTATTATACCTTACCATCATTCTCCTTTAACTTGTTTTCTTGTACAAAGCAGAGATGAGCAGTCATAAATCTTTCTGAGGTTTTTTTTTGTTTGTTGTTTTTTGTGTTTCTTTTGTTTTCCACGGGTACTTTTTAAATTGGGTAGGTCAGTTATGCCTGCCAGTCAGTGAAGCTAGTCAACAGCTACTTTTATCATTAGTTACTGTAGTCATGCATTAAATATTTGGTGATATGCCAATATTCTCCTAACATCAGTATTCAAAAGTAGTCTATAAAGATGTAGTGTGTGTAAGTGTGTGTGCGTGTGTGTGTGTGTTTCACTGGATTAATCTAACGTAAATAACATAAATTTTTTTTGTTAAATGAATATAAATCTGCTTAAACCTGAGTGCTGTACCTGTTCTCAGCTAATTAGTTAAGTTTCGGTTTAATTGGATTTGTTACCTCCCTTTGAATATCGGTTGCTTCCCTTTTGTTAGTCGTAACATTACGATACTTTGGGAAGAGTGGGGGAACGCCGGCAAAACTATCTGGGGGCAACACTGCATTAGGATAGTGTCATTCTTTCTGACAGCTGAATAGATTTTTGCTGTGTATTAATTATTATTTTCTTTAGCGGAGAAAGCTTCTCTGGCACGAAAATGTAGTTCGTTAAAACCCAATTACTTTGGTACAATGGTGTGGCTATACATCTCGCCGCAAGGGGTGGGTTCTAGACTTTTTGTCCTTATATAAAGACATATAAATATATAAATATATATAAAGACATTTAAATTATATATATATATATATATATATATATATATATATATATATATATATATATATATATATATATATATATATATATATATATCCTAAATGTGTCTTTTGGTTGTGTTCCACACAAGTCTGAAGATGAGCACCCTCCCCTTACCCTACTCTCTCAACTCTGTCTCAAATACCTCGTACACCACCGCGTCTAGGAATGGAATTCCCCTTTATTAAAATAACCGAGGCACGATGCTATGATGTTTATCTCCCCTAATTGTTGTAATGGCTGTTACGGTCTCGTGTAGAATTCAATGTCAGATATTCGTTATGCGCTCCCCACTGCGAGCATCGCGAGATATGGTAGGGCAGCCATCTTCAATCCCGTCCAAAGGTATCCGGTTAATGAAGGGACCCGCCGTAATTGAAAGCAAATGTCGAAATTGACGACGTAGCCTAACTTAATCAGACGCGAACGAGCAGGCTTTGCCTAAATTTTTACACAGGTGAGACGCTGTTTTTTTTTTCTTAAACCCAGTTGCGTCCCTTTGACATAGAAATAATGTTTGGTTTTGCCAGTAAAGCTTTAAAAGACCAGAGTCGTCCCCCTTCCCCCCTTACCTTTATACAACGGTGTGAGTAGAGTGATTTGTAGACGATGTTACTGGAGATTAGATGTCTAGGACGAGATTTGTTTAGAGTGAGACGTTAAAGAGATGTTTGCAAGAACCAAAGGGAGGGGGGATGTTTCATCGGAAATGGAATGCTGTAAACGTATACGAATGTTTCATTGGCTCGTGGTTTCGTTGTTATAAGTTTAATGGCAGAAAGTGTATTAATAAAGACGAGTTTATGGTTAGCCGTAAGAAATAGTTGAAACCATTTTCTTTAAGACGAATGACATAATCGATATCGATTAATTGTCGAAAACTCTAGAGAAATCTGTTAGGTGAAAAGTGGAATTTGTGACTTTTGAAATCAGATGAAGCAATACCTCAAACTACAAGGTCTACAAGCTACAGTGTTTTATTAACACTGAAAATGTTTTAAATACACACCTGGATATTAGGAGGTTAAATAACAAACAACACATGGTACTAGATGGTGTAGGACACTAAAATAACAGAGCACACGATACAGTGAAGGGCATTTAGTAGGAAACTTAGTAAGACATCACAAGACACATGATAGGATATTAATAGCACATAAACAAGATTTACGTGGACACCTTAGGACATCATGTAATATATAGTAAGACAAAATATAGGACTGACGGGGCAGTATGTATGTAACACGTCAAAGAAAAAAACGCTCCTTTTGAGTTTTCGGCCATCAATTTACCATGTACCTTTTCGTCCGTGCAGCCCATCACTTCTCCACACCCCAGTCTTTACAGCCTCTCTAAGTACGAATGGCTTGTACTATAGTTAGGCACAAATAGATCAATAGTTAAATAATAGTCTGCAGTGATAAATGCTTTTTCTAAATTACAGAAAAATTACATATTTTGCAAAATTGTTAATTCACATTACTACAAAGAAACAACACAGAAAAAAAAATATATTCAAATTTTAAATCTATCCAAGAAGTGTAACTGCATTTTTACTATGCATTGTGATTTTACATTATTACTTCCCCTAGTACATTGCGCTCACGCTGAGGCTTTCGGGTTTTTGCCATCCATAATGTAGGAGGCTATGTGTATGAGAATGAAGTAGTGAGCTAGTTTTATCTGATTTAAAATTAAATTATCCAGTAAATATATCGTTCTGACGCCTCTTGGATGTCTCTGTATAATAGTGAGGTCTATAATCACCTATCAACATTGGTAAACACTATGTTTTAATTAAATTTATCTTATTTATGATTCTACTGATATAGAGCTGTCGTTTTGTTCAAATATCTTGGCAATAAATCCAAGCCTTACTCTTTAATATACAGTTCATAACACGTAAGATATAATCTCCAGCGCGTGATTACTGGATGATCTAATCCCATCCGTTGCTTATGCGTCACAGTCATCTGATCACACACACACACACCCGAGTCTACGCGGTCGACACATGTTTTAACTGGTGAGTACACGCGCGTGTATTGGTACTCGTCACTGTCTCGTGTCGTGCTCGTGGTTTGTTAAGCATGGCACTTCAGCTTAACACGTGATGAGGAAACGACACTATGACTCTCCCAGATACACGACACCATTGACTTTATGGATACACGACACCACTGACTTTATGGATACACGACACCACTGACTTTATGGATACACGACACAATTGACTTTATGGATACACGACACCATTGACTCACTACACCATTGGCTTTATGGATACACGACACCATTGACTCACGACACCATTGTCTTTATGGATACACGACACCATTGCCTTTATGGATACACGACACCATTGCCTTTATGGATACACGACACCATTGTCTTTATGGATACACGACACCATTGACTCACTACACCATTGGCTCTATGGATACACGACACCATTGACTCACGACACCATTGACTTTATGGATACACAACACCATTGCCTTTATGGATACACGACACCATTGACTCACGACACCATTGCCTTTATGGATACACGACACCATTGCCTTTATGGATACACGACACCATTGTCTTTATGGATACACTACACCGTTGACTTTAAAAATATACTACACCATGGACTTGAACCAGTTAAACGGCCGGACTCGCACAGATACATTACACAGTACACTATTAACGTTTTTATAATTAAAACTTTCTGGATTGATATTTCGTCTAAGTGCCCATCTCACGCTCACCCTACCCAACTCCCTTACATCACCCACCACCTTGTTAAATTTAATTCTGACTGAATGAGAAGGGTGGAGTGACATGCTTCCGCTTAGAATATCTGGCCAAAGTACTTCAGGGCTTCTAAGTGTTTCCTGCTTAGTTGTACTTTCTACAGTAAAGTTCGTGCTATTCAATGTGTAATGACGCAGATATTAAAGCGACGAGCAGGCGGACTTTCTGAAGCGTAACCAACTATAATATATATATATATATATATATATATATATATATATATATATATATATATATATATATATATATATATATATAAAATATTTTTTCTACCTCGTTTTGACGCCCCCTCCTGTGGTCGGCGCTCGGACCAGACGCCCCACCCGCACTCCCTTCGCTACGCCTCTGCCGTGATGGAGCGTCACCAGTGTTTCTTCCAGACTTTTTAAACCGGGGTGGAGGCGGACATTGTTAAAAGTATATATTTTCTATATAAATTCCATTTCGTTCGGTGGGGGGGGAGTTGGTAGGCTTTTTTCGGGGGACACCCCCTCCCCTACCCAAAGAGATGCCTAGATCGTCTTTGGTGAGAGTAAGGCACTAATCATCTTTTTTTTTAAGTTTAGGTTAAGAATTATTCCCATCCTCAAACTGCTCTAAGCATAATTTACAATTTTAAACCCAACTATTTTGGGTGGGGAAATGCTCGGCCAGATGAGGCTCGTTAGCTGGGGACAGCCACTCTTCTAGGAGAGAAAACTCCAAAATCAAACAACTGCTGCCTTGTAGTTTGTTCTTGGTTGGACAATGGTTATGGAAGCAAATCCAAAAAGAAAAGCAGGCTGAAATCGGAGTCAATGGCCTGATTCAATGGCGCATAACCAGTTAACACGTAATCCTTAATTGTGATGGAGGCGTGGTCGAGTCGGCAAAAGCTCATGGTTGATAAATTCGAAAAAGTCTCGAGTTCAAACCACTGGCGGAAAAGGCTCGATCCCTTCCAACACTAAAAATTAAGAACGAAGAAGAAGAAGAAGAAAGGGTGGGAAAATTTAACTTATGTCACAGTGAAAAATAAAACTGTGGTAATACGTCGAAATGCCGCTGAATACAACAGCACTACTTTGCTTAAAAAGAGTGCGCGTACAGCACACGGCGTGCCGTCTCTGCGTAGTAAACAAGCCGTCCTCATCACGACACACAACAGATTTCTTACTGCTGTTCAATGTTTATTTACCAAAATTTCCACTCGCTGCAGAAAATCAAACGAAGTAACGTTTACCTGCAGAGCGACTTTGGGTAGGGAAAAAAATTGTTATGGAGTAAGGTAGGCCTTAATTTAAATATTTATATTATTAAGTATATTTTAATTATTATTTCATAAATAATAAAATATAATTGTTACCTAGTCAAGTGTAGTTCGACTTTTTTTTATATTTTCTTATTTAATAATAATAATAATTAATAAAAATAATTTAATTAAAAAAACATTAGGTCCCACTCTCGTTTGATCCACCCAGATAATGTGAGAAAACCTACAGATTCTCTAATAAATAGGTTTAATGTTATGTAAATGTAATTGATTATTTTCTTTTAGATCTGTATGTAGTTACTAGATCTAGTAGTTTCAAAAAAAAAATAACTAATAGGCTACATTCTACGGAGGTGACAAGTCAAAGGGCAATGACTTTTATCCTAAGTTCAAGTTGTTTTTTAACAGCTGGTGACTGCCTTTTAGTACACCGGCACAAGGCTGGAAGCAGTGGCGTAGCGAGGTCGGGTGTCACCCGGTGCGGCACTTAATGGTGTCACCCCCCCAGAGGCATAGAGACCCTTCCCAGGGACAAACTTTCAAATTTTCGATTTGCACCCCCCCCTCAAACTTTCGATTTGCACCCCCCCCTCAAGTTTTCGATTTGCACCCCCCCCCTCAAACTTTCGATTTGCACCCCCCCCCCCTCGAGTTTTTCTCTATATATTTTGCTATTTTTTGCCTTGGTGTCACCCCCCTAAATGGTGTCACCCGGTGCGGTCCGCACCCCCCGCCCCCCCCACGCTACGCCCCTGGCTGGAAGTACTAAACAACAATCTAATTAAATACTAAATTATCGTGCGTATTTTTCAAATGCATGTTAGCCCCGATGAAAAGGCCATACATCTGTCATTTGATAATTACTGCCTGATCACATACACAGCAAAGTATGTAGCCGGTCGGTACGCTCGAAACTGTTTTCCTCTGCTGAAACGAAACCAAACAAGTTTATAGGTCAAGGCCGTGACATGTCAAAGGTGAATATTCTTTCGTTGGCGACGGCCAGCCAGACATAAACATTTTTTAAAATCCATTTCTAAAGGGAGACTAAATGTTTACATGGCTGGTTATTATAAAAATAAATATCGCTAATTTACATTGTATTGAAAACATTATTTAATTCTATAATGTAAGCGGGCTTTTATAAAGGAAGTTTTTTTATATTTTTTTTTTTTTACTGAAGTGAGGAGAGCAATGGCCAATGGGCGAAAATACAAAATCTCCACACATTAAAAATATTTTGTTTTAAAAATACGACATAGGGCGACACAATTGTCTGGTCGGCGGATACATTGCTTGTTGTAAAGGGTGGTGGATTTGATAGAAAACTGGTATAAAATTACTCAACATCTTAGCAGACCCCCCCCCCCCTTCCCCAAAATAATTACGGTACAAAAGTTGGTATTACTTAGACTGTTTTTTTATTATATGGAACCAGCATCGTTTTTTGTGAAAATTACTTGCATCTCAATTAATAGTTATGAAGAGTTTGTTGTTTTTTTTTAAATTATTATTAGTTTGTTAACTTTTTAAAATCATCTATTCATAGTTGTTTGTTTTTTTTAATTGTAAAGGCTGTGTTATATAACATTGCTATATGCCACCACCCCATATTTCACAATATAACAAAATGATAAACCACCACACCACTCTATACGTTATTTGATATGGGCCTAAGCCTAGCGTTTGTCAATTGTTTTTTTAACGAGAGAGAGCTGGTTTTCACAGACGTAGTTGCTGTTTTCTCAGTGGCGTAGCGAGGTCGGGTGTCACCCGGTGCGGCACTTAATGGTGTCACCCCCCCCCCCCCCCACCCCCAGAGGCGTAGCGACCCTTCCCGGGGACAAATTTTCGAATTGCACCCCCCCCTCAAACTTTCGATTTGCACCCACTCCTCAAGTTTTCGATTTGCACCCCCCCCCTCAAACTTTCGATTTGCACCCCCCCTCAAGTTTTTCTCTATATATTTTGCTATTTGTTGCCTTGGTGTCACCCCCCTAAATGGTGTCACCCGGTGCGGTCCGCACCCCCGCCGCCCCCCCCCCCCCACTACGCCATTGTGTTTTCTGTAACACACAGTACTTCTAAGTTCTGTGTTCGCCAGTCGAGTTATGGCAACTTATGTTTGTTGTTGTTGTTTGAGCCCTAAAACTGACCCTAATCGGCTGAAGAAATATTTTTCTTCAGCCGATTAGGGTCAGTTATTACACGCTCTTCACCATGTTGTACTGTAGAATATACCCCTGTTGGCAAGCATACAAGAGCTTTCATAATTTGATGCGCACTTCTTTACTGGCGTGTTTTAAAGGTGTTATATTACGCATTGCCACATAGAAGACTAATAAAATAATGCTAAATCCATCCTATTGAGAATCAGACAGTTATTGCAAAATCGATTTTCGATAGAGCAGCGACACTTGATTGCAGCGAGTGCCGTCGGAATCTTGAGTGCATTGTACTCTGGTGACAGATTCAATCTTTTCAAGTTGAAACTAGTTATACCCGGACAGTCGATAACTGTTCTTGGTTTTAGAATGACGATAGTAGAATATATTACACTTTAAAAATTAGTTTACATTCACATTAACACAAGCCTAATGATCTGTTGGTTTGTCACTGTTATCTTGTCTTATTGTTTTGTTCTTTTTTTTGTTGCGGTGGGAGGGGGGTCTGTTTTTTGGGAGGTGGGTGGAGCCATGTGACAAACAGGGGTCTGGCATTTTGAGACCTACGTGTGATTTCGACAATAGAGGGTCGGGGTTATACACCGGCTAATTATTGGGTTACGTCATTGATGGGTGACGCCTTTTGTTTACACATAATATATATTATATAGTCTGGGTTAAAGTTCTGTGCCTTCTATTCTCTCTGTAAGCGAGACATCAAATGTTAAATAGTCTACTGCACTCAACTGTAGAAGCCCACACAACTTGGTATAAATAATCCATGCCTGGTTTTTCAATCCTCCACATCAAGGCGTCAAGTGTTTAAATATTCTATCGAAGTGTATTGTAGCCCGCACAACACGGCGGGCTTGTTGTATAATCCCCACAGCCATTCTCTGCCAGTTCAGGCATACAGGTATTGTGTTGTTTGATTAATGTTCCTTTCATTGTACACCTCTTGTCTCTCCACCCCCCCCCCCCCCTTGACGTATTTTATCCAGTTAATCAGTCATCCAGTGGCGTAAGAAGGGAGGTGAGTTAAAACCAGGGACCTTGGTTTATTTGATACCACTTCCCTTGCAATTTACTGCAGTGTATTAGTTGCTTGAGTGTTGTCCATTTCGTAAAGTAAAACAAAAAAAAAACATTAAAATAATACGTTTTAACTCCGCTAAAATTGAAAATATAATTAAATCTGTGTAATTAAATTTTAAAAAAAGCAAGCCTACTATATTTTATACTTTCCTGGCCGATCGTTTTTAAGTCGACCCCTCCCCCCTCCTTACCTAAAAAAATGTATGCTTTAAAGTTTCTAAGACCTAAATATTACGTCATGAATATTTCTTTATGATGGCAGAGCTTACTACTGCTAACAAGGAAGTCTCGAGTTCGGATCCCGGACGCTAGTCCATAGGACATCTTAGATTTCACCCAGCTCTAATGGGTACCTGATTCACATTAGGGTGACAATGTGTCTGAGCATCTGAGCATAGCGTTGACCACACTACCCCCTGTATGCAGAGGCGTAGCGACCCTTACGGCGCCCGGGGACAAACTTTCGATTTGCACCCCCCCCCCCCTCAAATTTTCGATTTGCATCCCCCTTCAAGCTTTCAATTTATTTTTCCAACCCATATTGGCGCACCCTAAGGTCGGCGCTCGGGGACATATGCCCCCCCCCCCTCGCTACGCCTCTGCCTGTATGCCCAGTTCATTGAAACAGATGAACTCTACTTTATCTCCCTCGAGAATCTTGAGTATTATATGAAATTATATTGATAATGAGATATTATTGCATTGTCATTGGAGATGCACTTATCTGCGAAAGATATCGCTGCATTAAAAAAAATTTCATCAGGGTTTCTTTCAGATATTTTGCTCTGCAGAGGGGAGATGGCACTTGATAAGTTGAGTTTATTTTCATCATATAACGATTGCTTGGCTATAGTGTTCTAAGATTTTAACTAGAGGTTATTCGGTTTCCTGCTATATTTTATCGCTTTCGTTTTGTTTTAAATTTTAGTAGAAATCGGGGGGTCAATTTTTATTGAAGCGGGTAAACGCTTTATTGAATACCGCCTCTTGTATTCAATTTCGATCCAATTGAAGCTGATCTTCTAATCACCGAGGTTGTATTCCCTATGGCTATTCGGTTTCTTGTTGTTCATTAATTGATAACATTCTCGGTGCAAAAGCAGGAATAAAAATGTAGGTCATGAAACAATTAAGAAAATAAACTGAAATATTAGATGCTTGGGCCGTGACAAAACAAATTTCATCAAACTGGGTCACTTCGTCTTTTTGCCTGGTGGTTGTTGTTTTTTAACACGCCTCGAAAACAATTAGTCCACTTGATGTGGGTGTGCTAGACAACTGGACAAGTGGACTGCCGGCCATCTCTCTGTGTGAGCGGTCTTTCGTCAAAGCTTCGTTGTAATGTTGAACTAGGTGTTGTCATAAAAACTGTATCATACACCTAGAGGATTCGGTAGGCCTCATTCAATGTTACCGATTATACTTGTTTATATGCTTTCAGCCATTGTATTGTATCTGGAGAATATAGTAGCCTAAATTATCAACCGATTTCAAATTCTTTTACCGATTTTGGTCCGTGAACGCAGTACTTTTGGCTTGACAGATGAAAATTTGGAGGTTACTTTTAAGTTATATCTAAGATCGGAATTAGATCAATAGTATTTTTTAAATACAAAAACTTGCTGGACTGTTTGAACATTTCAGGCCCACGTTACAGCTTGATGTGTGATGGTTTTTCTATTGGGTGAAATGTTAAAATATCTCTTTTCGCTGAATATTTCACACGTGAATAGCTCCATTCTGTGAATATTTCACACGTGAATAGCTCTATTCTGTGAATATTTCACACGCGAATAGCTCTATAATGTGAATATTTCACGTGACTAGCTCCATTCTGTGAATATTTCACTTGTGAATAGCTTTATTATGTGAACATTTCACACGTGAGCATCTCTATTCTGTGAATATTTCCCATGTGAACATCTCTATTCTGTGAATATGTCCCATGTGAACATCTCTATTCTGTGAATATTTCCCATGTGAACAACTCTATTCTGTGAATATTTCCCATGTGAACACCTCTATTCTGTGAATATGTCCCATGTGAACATCTCTATTCTGTGAATATGTCCCATGTGAACATCTCTATTCTGTGAATATTTCCCATGTGAATAGCTCTATTCTGTGAATATTTCACACGCGAATATCTCTGTAATGTGAATACTTCGCGTGATTAGCTCCATTCTGTGAATATTTAACTTGTGAATAGCTCTATTCTGTGAATTTGTCCCATGCGAACATCTCTATTCTGTGAATATTTCCCATGTGAACATCTCTATTCTGTGAATATTTCCCATGTGAATAGCTCTATTCTGTGAATATTTCACACGCGAATATCTCTGTAATGTGAATACTTCGCGTGATTAGCTCCATTCTGTGAATATTTAACTTGTGAATAGCTCTATTCTGTGAATTTGTCCCATGTGAACATCTCTATTCTGTGAATATTTCCCATGTGAACATCTCCATTCTGTGAATATTTCCCATGTGAACATCTCTATTCTGTGAATATTTCCCACGTGAACATCTCTATTCTGTGAATATTTCCCATGTGAACATCTCTATTCTGTGAATATTTCACACGTGAACATCTCTATTCTGTGAATATTTCCCATATGAACATCTCTATTCTGTGAATATTTCCCATGTGAACATCTCTATTCTGTGAATATGTCCCATGTGAACAACTCTATTCTGTGAATATTTCACATGTGAATATCTCTATTCTGTGAATATTTCCCATGTGAACATCTCTATTCTGTGAATATTTTCCATCTGAACATCTCTATTCTGTGAGTGTTTTCCATCTGAACATCTCTATTCTGTGAATATTTCCCATGTGAACACCTCTATTCTGTGAGTATTTCCCATCTGAACATCTCTATTCTGTGAATATTTCCCATCTGAACATCTCTATTCTGTGAATATTTCCCATCTGAACATCTCTATTCTGTGAGTATCCTATTATTCCAGATTTACCGTAGGCAGACAATGGAAGAAGAGGCGAGTAAGAAAGGACAAGCCCGCATTCAAATCCCGAGGAAAATCGTAATTCTAGCTGGCGAGGACATGAATAAATTACACGTGTGAGAGTTTTCTATTTAATTAATACGGGCATTAGCGTGGGGTCACATGACTATCTGCCTATATTTGTTTGATAAGTGGGCCCTCTTTTTCTCTTAATGGACACCTGAAAACAAAAGTTCATTACATTTCGCGAATTTTTTATTAGGTTGACAAGGTTGGAATTATGTCCCTTTTCTGGGACAGGCATAATGTAGACGTCATTTATACATATGCAAACTCCGACGCAAGCAAATCGTCATTTCCGGTCTGAATTTTCTTGACCGTAACGGTCACTGGGTTTACATCTTTTACCTACTTTCACTTTTCTCATTGCTTATTCACATAAACATAAAAGGGTAAATTTTTCAGTGTTCGAATAAAAGTTCGAATATTGCAAAAAAAACAAAAACAACATTGAACACGGATTGTATTAGTTAGGCAAATTGTATTGAATAATGCTGATCCACCGTACCCCCTCCCTGTCCATGGCGTCGTCACGTGTCCTGTGAAATATGGTCGCCTCTATAGTTTATGCGCGTGTCTTTGCTAAACCACCCCAAATGTTAATGAAGTATTTATGCAGCTGGATCGTGTTAGAACCAGATTATTTCGGTACTTTTCTGTTGGATCCGCTGCCCGCAGGCCAGACCGTCGGTCACTGAGAACTGTGACATAACCGCCTGCACTGGCTACCTACGTGTGTGCCCAAGTCTTTGTTTGTGGGGTAAGAAATTTATCTTTTTAATTAGCGCGGTTTTTTAAAACTGAGTCACTGGGTCATAGCTCAGGCACTTTTTTTTCTAAGGAATTAATTTATATTAAGAGCGGGTTACGTAATTTGTTAAAGAAAATAATTGAAAAAGAGTATTTCCGCTGTGTATTTTTTCTTTCCAAGGAAACTTGGCCTATTGTTAAGAATTTATTTATTTTTTAAATTTTTATTTCATAAAGGAAGTGAAATGATGTTAAAATTGTTCTATTTAAATATAAAACCGTTTTACTTTAAGAAAAAAAAATGTAAATGTCCCTATAGTCAGCCTCTTTGGTATTGTCACTGCTTCACCTATTTCAAGTTCTAGACCTGCTTTTAACGTTACACACAGGTGTGTTTCGCCTACACCACGTTATCGCGTGGAAACGGTCAACCCAGGTGTGTGTTGTGTTGTGAAACTCATTACCTTTCCCTCTCGTCTCTCGTACATTCGTTCCAGCCGTTCCTGGCCTACACCGTGATACAACCCAGCGTTAAAAGCCCGTAATGCCGGGCTAGTTTTAGCCGCTTCTAATTAGACTAGTCATTAACTTGCTTTCTATTCTACCGCCCCAAGCACGTGGATTAGCATATTGAGGTTTTGTCTTGAAATAGCATGTGTTGTGTCGAGGCAGGTGGGTCTACGTCGTAACTCTCATTCACAGTCATCAAGGCGTATTCATATTTAAACATTATTTAGCCAGTTTATTGTCAACGTAAGCGCTACTTGTTATGTAGTGCGATATTTGTTATGTGTGGCGCTATTTGTTATCGTATGGCTTCCCTGTGTTCTAAATGTGTATGGCTATAACCCGCGGGGTAGCCACACTGATTCCTATTTGTACCGAGGGCACAGTGACAAGTGCCACTATAGCCCCGCCCATTGCCTGTAATTTAAATAAATAATTATATGCTCGTTTTTACAACAGGGCTTGTTTTACAGCCCAGGATTTGAATCGGGTGATGATCCAAAAGTATAGGCCTAACATTAATGTCATGTTGTTCTTTTTATTGCGAGCTAAGGCCCCCATTTAAAAGAAAAAAAAACAGACTGATCTCCCTTTTTCAAACCAGCGTAGAAAAGAAAAGCACGATTTTAAACGTCGAAATGGTACACATTCGGGATCATTTTGATAAATGAATACAAATTAATCTAACTGGAACATCATTATTGCTTGGTAACCACTATTAAGGGTAGACTGCTAAAGTATATATGTTTTGTATCATCATCACTGCCCGTCACCCTTGCTGGGATATGGGCCGCCCACCAAAGATCTCCAGAGTTCTCTGTCCTGCCGGGGTATGGGCCGCCCACCAAAAATCTCCTGAGTCCTCTGTCCTGCTGGGGTATGGGCCGCCCACCAAAGATCTCCAGAGTTCTCTGTCCTGCCGGGGTATGGGCCGCCCACCAAAGATTTCCAGAGTCCTCTGTCCTGCTGGGGTATGGGCCGCCCACCAAAGATCTCCAGAGTTCTCTGTCCTGCCGGGGTATGGGCCACCCACCAAAGATCTCCAGAGTTCTCTGTCCTGCCGGGGTATGGGCCACCCACCAAAGATCTCCAGAGTTCTCTGTCCTGCCGGGGTATGGGCCGCCCACCAAAGATTTCCAGAGTCCTCTGTCCTGCCGGGGTATGGGCCGCCCACCAAAGATTTCCAGAGTCCTCTGTCCTGCGGGGGTATGGGCCACCCACCAAAGATTTCCAGAGTCCTCTGTCCTGCGGGGGTATGGGCCACCCACCAAAGATTTCCAGAGTCCTCTGTCCTGCGGGGGTATGGGCCACCCACCAAAGATTTCCAGAGTCCTTTGTCCTGTGTGCCATCTTCACAAACTGACTCAGGTGCAGCCCATCTTTGTGGTTTCAGCCCATCTTTGTGGTTTCAGCCTCAGGGTCCCGTTGCCAAGTGTTTCTTGGTCAACCTCTTTTGCGGTTTCCTGGCGGGTTCCACCTCAATGCTTGCCTGGATAATTTCTATATAGATCGTATTTTTTTTTCTGTCTGGAGGGGGTAGGGGCTGAAAGAAACACAGAGGCGTAGCGACCCTTCCCGGCTCAAGATTTCGATTTGCACCCCCTCAACCTTTCAATTTATTTTTCCAACCCATTTTGGTGCCCCCTAAGGTCGGCGCCCGGGGACATATGTAGCCCCCCCCCCCCTCGCTACGCTACTGAAGAAACACTAGCTCGCTCGAAAAACGCGTGGTTGTAGCTGAAAGCTACTCGGATGTCTGCTTATTAAACATGTGTTGGAATAAAACATGTTTTCGAAGATTTCAAAATACACGCAATGATTATACGTTGTTGCAATGGCGTAGTGAGGGGGGGGGGGGGGGTGCGGACCGCAACGGGTGACGTCATTTAGGGGGGTGACATCGAGGCAAAAAATAGCAAAATATATAGAGAAAAATGATAATTCCACTTAATTAAGTGATTAATTCGAGTGTTAAAAAGTCTTTTAAGAGCAAATTTGTCAAATCCCGTTTGGCAAATTTGACACAAAGGGTGGAGGGGGATGCAAATTGAAAGTTTGAGGGGGGGGGGGGGTGCAAAGCGAAAATTTAAAGTTTGTCATCGGGCGACGGGAAGGATCGCTACGCCTCTGGGGGGGGGGGGGTGACACCATTAAGTGCCGCACCGGGTGACACCCGACCTCGCTACGCCACAGCGTTGTTGTATATGTTTATTTTTATTTTTTTTTATAATTACACATTTCCGCTGACTCATTCATATGAATTTGTAAATCTTCTTTAGATATTTCACCTTTTCCTAGCACTCGTTTTAGGCCAGTGTAGGGCCTATGTAATCGACATGAAATTAAAACTGCGTAAACTACGTCCTATTCTTAGCGCCGACTCTACCTTGGACGGATTTTTTTTTAACCTAGTGTCCATCCTAGCCCAAAATAAGAGCCACATTTCGCCAAATTACTGCCGAATTATTTGTTTTCTTCTTTATACTTTTTCTAAAACACGATCACCATTTAGTCAGATATGGATAAATTGTTGCAAAATATTGTTGAAAACTAAACACAGGTGGTGTCGAGGGCCAAAATAAAAATTTACCTACGAATTTTCCCTCGCTTTTGCCTTGAAAGGTCATAGGTCAAGTCAAGGTAAATTAAAATCTTGGTGTTGTGGAAATGGATTTTCACGCATGTTGCTAATGCAATCGGTCAGTAAATCACCGATATCGAACAATCGAGATGTCGGAAATTCATTAAGGGGAAAGTACGTAGAATTCTAGATCTAGATCTAGACCTAAATCGGCTAATTGTATTTCATGCATTGCTAGATCTAAATCTCTCTTACTATTAACTATTAATAATTAATTATTTAATTGGGGTGGAATGGCTCACTCTGACTCTTGCTTGACTTTGGTTTGGCTGGTTTAAAAATATTTAGATCTAGATCTAGATCTAGATCTAGAATTTATTCTAGATCTAGAAGAGTCTAGGAGTTAATAGTAGAGTCACTAGACGTCTATAATGTTTTATGTTTTAATTTAGATGTAGATCTAGTCTAATTCTAGAATCTAGATCTATTTCAAACTATTTGTAAATAATTTTACTAGATCTAGTTCTACCACAGTCACACCACCAGTATCCCCATCTAAATCTAAAGTCTAAAGTATTTATTTAAATACTTGGCATAGCACTCTATAGAAGTATAGTTAATAGTTATACATCATATAGTGAATAGTGTCATATATACTCTAAGCTGCTGCTGAGGTAGCCTGGCCTTCTAACTATTTCCTATGATAATCTATTCTATATTCCAACTATTTAACTATTAGATCTATATTTAATAAGATATATCATCTAGTCTAGATACAGTTATAAAGTTCTCTTTTCAAACCTGACGTTCCATATGACAAGTGAAGTAGAGTTCCCCTGTTTATGTACCTCGGCATATAGTATACAGGGATAGTGTGGTCAGCATTATGCTGAGCTACTTTCACTCTACCTAACGCAAGTTAGGTACCCATTAGAGCTGGGTGAACTCAAGCATGTTCTACATACTGGAACCCAAACTCAGCAAGCACCACCCAATTAACTGCAGTAGAACTAAGGAAGTCTGAGTCTGTAACTTGTACAATCAAGGAATGGGTACAAGTAAAATGGAAGACTAAAGGAAAATGACTGTCTAAGCTCTATGTGGTAGAATGTGAGATTATATGCTTTTACTATGTATATTTATAAAGTAGTGCTCTAGATCGCTTAGTATTAATTAGACCTACATAATATTTTGGCGTAGGCCCAAAATGATATTGTTTTACTTTAATTTATTTTTTGCATTGCCTACTAGAGTAGGGCTATAGGCCCAGCTGTGAAAACGCTTCACCTGGATGTTGCAAGACTTGTACTTTTGTTTGTATTCCCTTGGATGTAAAAAAAAAAAACTGAGGAGGATATGTATAATAATTGTATCAATTCCATTCTGACACAGAAGGTCGTCCATAAAAATCTGTTAGATACAGTTCTATCTCCCCCATCTCTTCCCATTATCACAAAAATTAACCCCCCCCCCCCCCCAACCCCCCACCACTTTGACACAAAATTTTAAAAAATTGTTTTTTAAAACAGCTTTTTATAATATGTTAACTGTGCATGGTAACCATGGTTTATGGATCAATTTCTACAGCTAAAATTCAGTTTCAAATGTTGGTTTTTAAAATGCTATGTGTTTCATGTTTTCAAAATCACCACTTGTCATACAAAATTGTCTGTGATTTTTGCTTGTTTATTTACTGTCTCTAATACCTATACAGACTTCTTATTATTTTATTTCAACAGAAAATACAAATTGTCGTCTAGCTGCTGATCGTCGTCCATTATGATAGTTGACTCAACCCTTTGGAGTCCAGTTAAAATCCGTTTACCCTATTTGTTAAACCATTACGTACACCAAGACAGGGTCACATGACATTTTGCTGTTAAGGGTTTATAGTTTAGTTCAAGTACAACTGATTACCAAAGAAACAATGTTCTACCCCAGCGATAGTGAGAAGTTAGTCAACGGCAAGTCATCGGACGCTTTCATCGAGTATGCTGACGGGGAAGAGAGTGATAGCGATGAGCTGCTCCCAGAAAAGAAAAGAAACAGTGGTGTTTTGAAATCCAATGTACCTGATCATCAGAGGAATGGAGATGCTGTGTCTCCTGGAGAGGGCAAGGATCCCAAAAATGACGACGCTAGTAAAACTGTGACGTTCTTTAATGTCACAGAAGTTTATGACCTGAACAGCGACGCACCTAACCCAGTGAACGTGCCGCTAACTGAGCCTGTAAAGGATGACAAACCAACAGAGCTGAGGAGTCCTGATCAGTCAGGGGACAGTCCTGCTGTTTTGACAGTCACCCATGATCTGTCACACAAGGCGGACTCCGACACCAAAGATGAGACTCCGTCAGAAGGCGCTGACCAGAGCGGTCACAGGCACTTCGATGTGGTCAATGTTGATGAGTCGGCTCTGAAGAAGGAGGCTGAAGAGACCAGGCATGAGTCACACAGGCCCACATTGTTGAAAGTAGCAAGTGCTACTTCGGATGGTTTCTCTGGGCAGAGTAACATCAGCGCTAACCAGGATACTATAGGGCCCTTGGACAATCCTGACTTTCTCAAGAGGTTGCAATATTCTGTCAGGTAATAGTTTTATTTTATTTAGATTCTGTATTTTAATGTAACATTATTTAAATATAAAATAATTAATTATGTTAATTATATGTTAGTGATATCTCATTTGTCCATAACAGTTTTTATGCTTTGTTGACGTTATAAAACAACTAAATAAAACACATTTCTTTTGCTATGTCAGAAATTTCTCACATTTTAAAAATATTTTTCTGATTTGTTTATTATTTAGGTATTTATCTTTATTATACAAGGTTTTGTTAAATAAAGATAGTCTTTATTACAGAAGTTTTTGTTAAATATAGATATAGCTCCTGAAGATGCTACCAATATTATAAAGCTATTGTGATTTAAGAGTAGATATTTTTCTTAACATTAAAAAAAAATGTCTTTGTTTGTTATAGCTTTATTATTACATCAACAACAATGCCCCATTCTACTATTTCAGTCAAGCTGTAGATGATGATGGCTTTGGAAATGCCAACTTAGACCTGGAGGAGTTTGTTGAGATTCCCCAGACTGTACCTGACCTGGATGGTGGCTGGGCATGGGTTGTGCTGACTGCAGCTTTCTGTTCACTTGGTCTCACTGGTGCTACTACGTTTACAGCAGGTATTGGCTTTGTATCATATTAGCTATGTTATTCTACACAGTGGCGTAGCGAGGTCGGGTCTCACCCGGTGCGGCACTTAATGGTGTCACCCCCCAAAGGGGTTGCGACCCTTCCCGGGGACAAACTTTCAAGTTTTCGATTTGCACCCCCCCCCTCAAACTTTCGATTTGCACCCCACCTCAAACTTTCGATTTGCACCACTCCCCCTCAAGTTTTTCTCTCTATATTTTGCTATTTTTTGCCTAAATGGTGTCACCCGGTGCGGTCCGCACCCCCCGCCCCCCCCCCTCGCTACGCCCTTGATTCTACATTTACTGCTCGTATTGACTTTGTATCATATTAGCTACATTCATTCTACATTACTGTGGGTATTAGAATATTGTATCATATTATGGGGAGGGGGGGGGGGGGCAGGGACAGCTTTAATCTGGGGACAACACATGGTTTGGACCGAGGGTAATTAACTTGTCTTAGTGTCCATTTTTCTGAATGACCTCTCACTGCCCTCTCTAGAACCTCTATATGCTTACATTGTCCCCTAGGTTCAACAAAACAGTGTCCAAACAAAATAGTTTGAACAATTTTAGACATGTCACATTGTTCTCTGTTTAACATAAGGTAAGGTTACACAGGATAGAAGCTGAAGCCTTTTTTAATGTGCCATATTTTTTATGTAATTTGCAGGTGTTTTGATGTCTGCCATCCTGGAACAAATAGATCCAGATATAACAAAAGCTTCATGGATTGGGGCCGTTCATATTAGTGTATTGTGTATGTCAGGTGAGTGATCTATCAGCCCTGTTTACAATGAAGTATCTCACTTAAAAGTTTTAAGGACATTTTTAAAATCTTTATTAATTGGTCTCTACGTCATCACAGTCATATCACAATCCACTAAAATATTAATATGCATAATAAAATAAATATTTTTTCTTACATGTCAATTACAAAATTTAGGTATTTGACCATAATATACTATACTTTATAACTTAACACCATTCCCCAAATTTGACAATTTTAATATGCCCCTAGCAGTATTTTTATAACTGAAACAAGCCAACAGTTGTCTAATTGTTGAACATTTTTAACATCTTCAGGGCCGTTTGTTGGGATTGTTCTTTCTCGTCTGGGCTCTCGTTGGACAGTGTTTTGTGCTGGTTTAATTCTTTCAAGTGGTATGGTTGGGGCATCGTTTTCTAAAAGCATTATTCAGTTGATCTTCACTCACGGCTTGATTGCTGGTAAGTATCGTATTGGCTGGGTCACTGGAGGTCATTGAGTACTTATGGTTTCACTAAGGCTTTATAGTTTAGTAGTTGGTGAAAATATTTAGCCCATATTGCTTATGGTTTAAAGTGTAAGCTAATTTAGCTTAATTCAGTGAAGCCTAAAGAGAATAATAGCCAGAACTTTTCAGCAATCAGCAGTCATGATTTTAAAGATGTGTTTTTTACTTGCTTGATTTAAAAACTTATTCACAAGCACTGTTTTCTTGTTTTTAGGCATAGGTTCTGGATTCATATTGAATACCATGTTTGTCACAGTCGGCCAGTATTTCAATAGATACAGGGGCCTAGCTTGTGGACTGCTAGCTACTGGTTCAGGGGCAGGCATGCTTATTGGTAAGTTTGTTCTTGCTGGGTCATTAGTATTACCCAATGCAACCTAAAAAGTTGGGGTTTTAAAAATCTTGAAAAATATTGCTGATAGGGAACTAGTGTGACACATTCTGGGTCGTTTTTTTTTTTGTTTTGAGATAGTTCAAATGTCTAATATTCTGCACAGTGCCATCATATTTAGAGGGTTTGTAAATCAAAATGTTTTTATTATGGTTTCAACTCCTGCTTTATGGCAGGTAGTTTGATTTGCTGGTTATCAAGTTTAACACTGACCTGAATCACTGTTCATTATTTAAAGCTATTCATTCCCTTTTAGCTTGTTTATTATATTGGAAGTAGAAAAGTAAATTTGATTCAGTTGAAAACTATATTTTAAAGAGATGGTGAATTCTTGTAAATAGTGATAACTTATTATTTTTCTTGAAGTGACTACTACACAAAATTTCCAATTTCAACTTGCTTTTGTGTCAATGATTGATGTTATTTAACATTTTATTACAGGCGGAAATGCTCTGAATATTTTGTTTAGAAATTTCGGACTGAGTGGAACATACTTACTTTGGGGAGGAATAACATCCCACATTCTGATTTTTGCATTACTGTTGCGCCCATCGCCAGAGGAGCGGCTGAGGAATGCAGAAAAGAAGATGAAGAAAGATCCAGACAAGTTTGCTGTGATTAGCCAGCAAGACCTGCGCAGTGGCAGAAACAGTATCGTCAGTGGCCTCAACAGCACATGCAGTGGTGCCGACCAGAACAGTATTTTCAGCCGAGGTGTCAGGAAAGTTCAAAGATATCCAAGTAAGCTCAGCAAAGGAGACGTCAGTGTGGCCCCTCTGCTTAAAGCTGTCCTACATCAAGAAATGTCTCGGTCGAACTACTCAATCGCAACCAACCGCTCTCATAAATCTCAGATAAAGAATGCACCAACCAGCCCCGGCCAAGGCAGTAAATTCACATTTGGGCCAGCCAACCCTGTGGCCGATGCTCTTAGCACATCTGTAGGGTCAAGCCCTGGCACAACCCCCATGTCACACAGCCCCCTGACTACCAGTCCCCTGGTCACTGCTGACCACGGTGATGTCAGCTCCACCAGCAAACAAAACCAGGACAGCGTCTTCTTATCAGCGTCAACTCTTGGACCCAACGAGGAGCAAAATCAACTTCAGCCGTCATCCCCTTCCGGCAGTCAAGCACCCACTGAATATGGTCCTCCATTCCGGAGGAGGTTTTTATCGCAAAGTTCCCAAGCTCAGTCCCAATACTCCATAGGCAGGTTATCACAGCGCACCTCAATTAGGGAGCAGCTGCAACGCAATGAATTGGACAATGAATCTCTGGCGTCTACCTTAGTCTCTCACCTGCAACCTAGAGATGCCCTGACCCCTAGACACAAGCTGGGCTCTCGAAGCATCTCTTCCATGATGGGCAGCATTGCCAGCTTCCCCACAGCACTTGCTATTGTGAAAGATGACTTAGCCAGACTTGAAGCAACAGATGACCTTGATCAAAAAAGGGTAATTTATTCATGCTATCTTTATCTTTACTAATAAGTTTACTGTATCATATTATCTTAATATCCTAAATAGTCACTTTATACGACAGACTTTATATAGTTAGTGAAGTAGGTTACAGGTTTAAGTATGTTACATTACATTTTCCAGACAATCAAAGACCACTTATTAGGATTCCTAGACTCACTTCGACTTCTGAAAAATAAACCATTTTTGGTATTTATCACTACAACATTTTTGTGGGCTTTCGGCGAATCTCCATTTACAATGTATCTTCCTGCCTATGCAATAAGGTGAGTGCATTTTAAAATGTAGGCCTCTACACAGAGTGCACTTAGTCCTATCAGGCATGTATTATAGCAAAATTATCTTCTCCATCACCTGTTGTTAAATTTTGACCATATTGTTAACTTGTTTTTAGTTTTTTTTATCAAGAATAAGCTTATCTTGTGTTTGTTTTATCTTATTGTTGTGTATTTTTTATTCTGATCACATTTTGATTGGTTTTTTTTTTCACTACTAAATTTCAGCAAAGGGACGTCAGTGACCCAAGCATCCTCTCTGTACACTGGCATGGGATTTGGGTCAATGTGTGGGAGGTTCCTGTCTGGGCTAGTTGCCAGTGACAGTGGTGTTGGTCCTATACTACTCCATATTGGTAAGTGATTCACACTACATTTTGTTGGGTTCATTGGACCCAGATTTGAAATCAAGACTCTCAGGTTAGCAGTCTAGCGCTCCAACACTAGGTCATGCCATACCCTAAACAAAGTAAGAAACGGGTATAATTTTTTTATAAGAATTATTACCTCAAGAAAAGCTAAGCACCACCCACTTTTAACAAACTACCAGCAGTGTCAGTTGATGGATCTTATTTGTGTGGTCTATCAGCTTGAAGTATGGTGAAAGTCTGCCAGTGCATGGAAATATACATGTGTAATGAGGTAATGAGGGAGTTGTGTGTGGAGGCAGTCACCAGTGTTTCTTCCAGGCATCCTCTACCGACCCCCAAACGATTTTATCAGTGTCCGCCCACCAGAAAATGTTGTCCACTACCCCAAAAATATCAAGTGGTGCCGCCCCCCCCCCCCCCCCCCCCCGGTGAAAAAAGTCTGGGAGAAACACTGGCAGCTACCCTTGCGCACTGGAATGATTATTACTTTTTTTGCATGAGTATTGATGGTCTAGAGATAGCGCACGAAGTTGAATAATTTGCTTTTCTTTCAGGGTGTCTAAGTATTGGTGGTCTAGTGATAGCGCTTGCCCCTCTTGTGTCGGAGAGCTACATTCAGCAGATGATCTGTGCAGGGTTGTTTGGCTTCTACACAGGATCCCTGGTCCCCCTGTCTTCGCTGATCACCATAGAACTTTTGGGCATTGGTGAGCTAGGCTTGGGGTTTGGATTTCTGTCGTTGTTTCAAGGTGTAGGATATCTTCTGGGTCCACCAGTTGGAGGTATTGTCCTTAAGTCAACTGATACACATTTACTTTTATTAATTATAGTTTTTTGTTTTTTAATTATTTTTTTTTATTTCATCCAAATTAACCTAATATTTATAAATTGAACAATTACTTTCATTAAGACATTGACATTCTTTAAAGCATTATTTTTTTTTTTATTTTGTCACCCCCATTCTTAAAAAAAGTTCCCTTGAAATATTTTTTTATAACGTAGCAAAATAAAAACTTTTTTTTTTAAACACCACTTTTAACCTACATGTTTTTTTACAGGAGTCTTTGTTAAACTAGTAGGATATGCTAACGCACTTTCTATCTCAGGTATGTATAAATAGTAGGGAAGAAGATATTATGTGGAAAAAGATGAATAGCAATATTTTCATAATTATCAATGTTTTAAATATACTGTCATAAATTTCAATAATACAAGTGTAGTTTTAAACACACCTTTATTTTATAGGCTGTATTGTGATATCGGCAAGTTTGCTAGCCATGGTAATCCCCATTTTACTGCGGAACGCCCCTGAAGCTGAAGATGACAGGGACTCGCTAGAAGACCTAGAAAGGGCTTTAAGAAGGATCTCAGCATCAGACAGCAATGAAGGCAGTGAGTTTGACGTGAATGAACAGGAGGAGCAGCACACCCAGAAGCTTCTGCCTGCTGGTAACATCAGTCGCAGCACTTCCTCTCTGAAGAAGAAAGACGACGGGGTAGGTGGTGAGCTATCCCCTCGGGATGGGAGTTACCCCATAAAAGAAGAACCCCTGGAGGTGATTCAGGAGGTTAACCCAACAGAGCTGGCCCCCATAGCTGAGGAGGCTGAGAAGAAGAGCCTGGGAGACTTAGACTGATCACATTGATTTGTTGTTTTTTATTGGCTTTACTTCTGTATATTTTTTGTTAAAAGGTTAGCTTCAGAAAACAATTCTTTTAACTTGTGAGCAATTTTTCAGTGAAGTTAAACAATCGTGTCTGTTCAGACTGGCACACAAATTTAAAGCTGTATTGAGATCTGGGTTTTTTTTTATGATACTGAAAGTGTATTATTTAGTGTACAAATGTAAACATTGTTCATTTTATACAGTGCTAGGAACTTGTATTAGAATGTGGATTGTTGCAAATGTTTTATCTGTACATTTTCTTTAATTGTAAAATTACTATTGGTTTGACTGCTTTAAATTATATTTTTATATTTGTTTCACTGATATATATGTTTTTATAAATTTTGAGAATGTCTATTTTTTAAAAACAGAAATTGAAATTGTTTTTTTTTATTGATGTAACATGTCTATATGTGTTAAACAGACATTTCAAAATTATCACAGTTAGTCTAGTCATGGTCTTTAAGTTTCTTTACATAAATATCAAAGAGGAGGTTACCCAAGTTTAAGCCGTTGTTAACCACATAAAAAGTTTATTTCTCTCTATTTGTAAATATATTTTCTACACTAATTTCTGCCGTTAAAGAGCTTTGGTAACCTGTTAGAACCTCCTTAATTTTTTTATACAACTAGTCTAAAGATTATTCTTGTTCAGTCATTTTTTAGTTTTACAATCAAGTAATTTTAAAACAAAAACTGTTTTATATGTAAGTCATAGGAATCTCTTTTATTTAGTAACTTGCTATATCCATTACATATTAACCTAACACTTGGAGCATTGTCAGCTAGCTCTAAATTGTTATAATATTCTAGATCTGTATACCAGATTGAAGCTCAGTTCTGGACCATTTTTGCATAATTTGATGCTATGAGCATTTTTTTTTTGGGTTTATTTTACAAATTGATTATTACTTTACCATTTTTTATTATGTTTTACTATGTCTTGAGTAAATTTTTTCATTTTCCATTTTTTTAAAGATTTACAATTTATGCATCTTCTCTCAGCTGGAGTTTTTTAATTTTTATTTAAGAGATTGATGACCCAAATAGATTTCTTTTTTTTTTTTTACAAAATCAATCTGGCATTACAAACTTAATCACTTAAATTATCAGCTCAAGTAAATATAGAACGTTTCCATAAGTCCCTTGTTATTGTCAGATAACATATCCAGTCCTCCTGACATTGTCAGACAGCATATCCAGTCCACCTTTAAGCTATTTGCCACATTGCTGGGCTATCAAAGCCTAGGTTGTCCTACTGGTTGCCAGGTGTTGAAGCTCTATCAGAGAATGGTTGTCACCAAACTACCACAATAACAACAATGTGCCGAGTTTGTTTTTTTTAAAAATACTTTTTAAAAATTTTGAGAAGAAATCAGTTTTCTTACTCATTATTTGCTATTGTATGGAACCTACTAAGTGCTTTCAGAGTTGTTTTATATTTTTTTAAACTTGGATTATAATTTGTCCACAAGTTTTGCTTGACCATTTTGTTAAGTGCCACTACTGTTGTTTGACCATTCCTGCCTGAGCTTCCCATATCCTGCCACAGTTTCCTCGGATCGTCTGCAAGATATTGTTTCCCAGTGTTCCAACAAAACTATTTTTAGTTCAATTATTCTCAATTTATACAAATTAAGTAATTTTATTTTTTTATTATTTGTAAATTACTTCATATTTAAAAACCATCTGTTTATGTTTGTAAATATTTCAGTGTAAGCATTGGAAGATATGCATTTGTTTTTTAAGCAATTATTAAATTGATTGGACAATCAGTATTGACCTCAAGATTTAACTGGACAAATAGCCAATAGAGGTTTATTTTTTTAAAAACGTGGTTTTGGTAAGAAACAAACCCACTGAATAGGAACTGTACATAGAAACGTATTATGCACAAGATTATTCCTAAAACTAGCCAATCTTACCGTGCTTACTCTGTCAAAAAAAAAAATTACAATGATCTTTCAGACTAGCTGGCTTGACACAAAGTATTAAAAGCTTAATTTTATCATTAATCAGGAGAGTATCTTTAGCTTTAGCATCAATGTACATCAGTTTTCTATCTACATTGAAGACAGACCACTAAGACATTTACTGTATTCTGGCATAATTGGATTTTTTTTCCGTTAATTGTTTTCTGGCATATTTTGTTTACAATTTAAATCTGTAAATTACAGAAATTCCTGGGGAAAAAATTTACCAGCTTTTTTTTTTTACAATTGTTGTTGTATATGTGTTGAAGAAAAACTGAAGCTGTGAAGTCACATAGAGAATTGAGTGTTTAGAATCTCACACAACTCCCTGCAGCAACATCTAGACCTCCATTAGTATTTTATTTTAATATGAAAAATGATTGTTCAAATGATTTTAAATTATGCAATCATATCATCATGCCAGCTGAAGTTTCAAGAAATTTTTTACTTTTTGGTCTATTCATGTTATTAAAACATGCTGGAAAAGATTGCTGTAGGTTGAGCTTTGTTTACAAGTTTGTATGAAATGTGCTCAAATGTAAATTTTTTAAACCAGAGTTATTGTTCCTGTAACTCATTTCAGAGTTACCCTTTTTTTTTTTGTTTTAATATATAAACATATCAATTTGCATAATTAGCTAAAAGTATTTTATTTAATACATCACATTCCTTTTATTATGTCCCATCAATCAAACTGTAGAAGTGACATATTTGATAACATTTTGTTTATTTGAATTTTGAATTGATATCAATAAAGCACAACTTTTTTTGTTTTTAAACTGCAATGCTAAAAGCATATTTTATTGTTTTATAGCTTGTGGCTGTGGTTGCAACACAATTTCTCTCATCTTCGTGCATTTCTTCTCAATCCTTGAATTTAGAAATCACAGTTCAATAAAGAAAAAGTGTTCCCACTATCTGTACCTCACTGATCATTTTGTAAATATCTTTTACCTTTAACTGGAATCACTTGGATTTTATGTCATTTTTTACAAAATAGCAAGTTCATCAAGGATATACTTCCAGTCTAATGTTTTTTTCAATGTTCTGTACATTAGTGGATAGATGACGCTTCTGTCTCTGAGAGTAATAAGTACACTTTTTCTGTTGTATGATTTATTTAACTATGATTTGATATATATATATATATATATATATATATATATATATATATATATATATATATATATATAGACCCATATAAAGAAGAATTAGTGTGTTTCATTTAGCTATTAATTTTTCTACTCAATCTTTTGTCATTTATTTTCTTCATTTATTATCTTATGAAATTAATCAGAAGTTGTGTTGTTGTTTTTTTTACATGGCATTACTTTTTTTTTCACTTCTCTAGCTCAAACATATTTTTAAATTCTTTTTTTACAAGAAAATCCTGTTCTTCGGTTTCACTTACACAAAGGTATTTTCATTTTGAGGATGTTTTATTCAACTGCATCTGGTATTTTGTAGTGAAAAAAAAACATTTTATGTGTTGACATTGTTAAATTAGTGCACATTAAATAATGATATCTAAAAAAGCATTAAATAAACTCTGTTTAAATCTCCACACTTAAGTTTAAAAAGTTGGGGACAAAATGGGTTTAAGATACTAGAAGTTGTTTTGTTAAAAGTAAATTATTGTCACCTAAGTATTTTGTCTCCTTGATTCTCAATTTTTTTTTTTTTTCTTATAACTTACTATCATAAGCTAAATAGATTTGTATGTTTTGTTATTTTTTTTCGAGAGTACAAATCATTTATTATGAAAGGATAGCAATTTTTTTTAAATGTATCTGTTAAAATAAAAAAAAATAATGAATGTATATCTTTTGTCAGGGTACTAGGCAAATAAATATTCCGTTAAATATTCTGCAATTGCTATACATGGTGAACTAATCTAACACTAAATTATTTAAGCTTGTTACAATTTTTCTGATACAAATAAACATCTACTTATTTTAAAAGCTCTAAAATTTAAACATTTTGCTTTTAATGTGTATATTATATATAATAAATATTATAAATATAATTTAAGATTGGATTTCCAACATAGTTCTAGCATAATCAATGCATGGCTAAGTTATTAAGAAAAACATACCGATATCAAGTGCATGTAATTGTTGAGCTTTAAATAAAAAGTACTCTCTTTTTAGACCTGGTGGCACTCATTGCAGACAAAATATACTGTTTTTTTTTTTACTTTTAAACAAGAAAAGATAATGTGGTCAGCACTGTGTCCAGCTGCCCTTACAGTTCCTGATGAGTTGCATATCCCTCAGAGCTGGAAGGACTTGTAATAACATACATGCTCATACTAAGGAGACCTCGGTAGCTATCTTGTTTACCACACACCCATACAGTCTGACTAAGCTTCTAATTGGCTTCAGTTTACTTATCTCAATTTATCGTGAAAGATTTCTTGGTGTCGATATGCTCAACAAAAATGAGTGGCGTTGGTTTTATAAAATGGTTTACAGTATGAAAATGTATGTAAATTTTCTTTTACAAGATTCTTCAAGTTGTTTGTAATAACAAATATACAATAAAATTTCCTATATTTATTTCAGCAATAAATGTATGCTTTTGTTGTTCCAGCCCCATCATGCCTCGCTTTGTATCACCGGTTACAATTTGTAAATATTTACCAATTGTATTACAGTAAACCATTTATTATATGCACAGATCTTTTTGCTACAAGGTTTAAATTTTTTTTACACACCTTTTTTTGTCACATTTTTTAAATTAATGCATTAAAAAAATGGGTGATTCAAAACTTATATTTTGAAAACGTTGAAAACGTGCTTTTAAAAAGACTTGGTTCTAAGCTTTAAGGCTTTTTCCTTGTTCCACAAAAACATTAAAAAATCTATATTTATGATTGCAATCATTGCCTCTTGCTTATCTTATACACTAATTTTCATGTAAATAGTTTAAATGTAACCTTTGTCTGGTTTAGGAGTGACTTCTTATTCCTCAAGAACTCTATACCTTGTTTATTAGAAGTTGTGCATTCTATTAATCCTCTGTATCTATTTGTGTATAGTTATTGTGCATAAACTAATTTTTTGCCCTCTAAGATATATTCTGCATACTTAGTCACAAATATATTTTTAAATGTTTTTTTAAATAAAGCAAATAAATTGAAAAGCTTGAATGTTTGTAAAATATTATTCTTTGTCATGTTGGAATTTAATAAACCCTACAACTACAATAGAAAAAACAAATCAAAATACAAACACGAAATTCTGATAAACAGGATGGCATCGTTTCTAAGTGGAACAATCATAAATAACTATCATCACTTAACGTTGAGTGTGCAATACCACTTAAGACTTAAGTGACCACACGCACAAAATTAAGCGACGGAACTTAGTTGACATTTACGTGGTAGCAAGTTCGATACTGGTCTCTCCTGGTCCTTTAAAATAAAAATTTGTTTGTAAATATTGTGTCCAAGTAATCATCAACGGGTTGGTTAAGTCTTAACGTCAATATGCGATGTCCCTACTAAAGAGAGTCTATACTGTTGGCTAACCAGTCTCATGCGGGAGGACGCATATATTTTTCTATATAAATTATATTTTTTCATATCGTCCGTGGGATGGGGGGGGGGATGTGGGGGGTAGATGTGGTCCTGGCAGTGCCGCCCCCCTTGAAAGAGACCGGTTACCTAGTGGCTATCTTTCAGGTCAAAAGGCGCGCGATCTACTCTACCGAACCGTCAAACCTACAATACTATCTAGTGATCCGCCAACCCCTTTTTTCCGCTTTATCTGACTGGGTGGGGGTCGTCCATAAATGACGTAACACTCGTATGGGGAGGGGGGTCCGTAATTTTGTGACGGTGTGTGATGAGGGGGGAGGTTCAGATGGTGTGGCGTCACTTTTTTGCATTATAAAAAAGCTATGTTAGAAAACGAGTTTTAGCCGTTATTTCGCGTTTTTAAAAACGGTTTTAATAAATTGTAATAGGAATTTATCAAAATACTCTATGTTGACAGAGTTCTAACAAGATTTTGGAAAAATATCGATGTTCTAAGAAACATTCAACAGCAATTTTGAGAGGGGGGGGGTTGTAGGCTGAGGTGTGGCGTCCTTTAAGGGGGGGTCTGGCTTTTTGTGACGACTTGTGACGGAGGGGAGAGGGGGAGGTAAAAATCGTCCCAAAAAAGCGTGACGTCATTTATGGATGACCCCGAAGACGAAGCTCGAAACCCTTTGTTAAACGTCATCACACAACGCTACATCCCTAATTTTTTTTTTTAAATACTGAGCTAGATCAACATTGAACAGTTCAACTTGCACTGCAGTTTACAAAAAAAAAAAAAAATTAAGATGCGAAGAAAAACAAACACAGCTAAAATTAAATATCTAACGTTAGGGCCTAATTATTAAAATGTAAAAGTGTCGCGTCAAACACATACACACCATCCCTCATTACACATCGTCACATAGCATATGTCGGTGCAGAGGCGTAACGAGGGCGGGGCGGGGGTGCCTATAGTAGAGCAATGTTATTAGTTTTTAACATTGCCATTTAAACAATTCTAATATTTTTGCAAACGCAATGTTTATTTTTAATTGTGAATACTTGGTGAATACGTTTACATAGCACCAGTGGCGTAGCCAGGATCGTCTCAAGGGGGGGGGTTCCAATTTTTACCCGGGGACAAACTTTCGATTTGCACCCCCCCCCTCAAACTTTCGATTTGCACCCCCCCCCCTCAAACTTTCGATTTGCACCCCCCCTCAAAATTTCGATTTGCACCCCCCCCCCTCAAACTTTCGATTTGCACCCCCCCTCATACTTTTTATATATACCGAGGGGTCTATGGGGGGGGGTTATGACCCCCCCTAACCCCCCCTGCCTACGCCACTGCATAGCACACTTTTATCAATCTTAGCAAGCAAACGTTTTCTCGGAGTCGCAATTGCTGTTTTAAATAATTTTAACGTGTTTATGCCTACTATTAAAGTTATGTTTTAATAGGCCATACATATAGGGCCTACATATGAAACTGCAATGTATAGGTCATCATGCTCATAGTATTAGACTCTACATTCTAGCACCACAGGTAAATCTTGATGTAGACTAAGAAAAAGTAACCCGGTGTTAAATAGGTCGATAGAGACCCCAGTTCCGGTATGGTACATAATAGCCCATCCCTGCAAATAACAAATGGATTTCTAAAAGGGCCTTAATTCTAAATAATATTATAGAAATATAGATTTAGTATTGTGCAAATGCTGTACTACCGCAACATAGCATCATCAGGTAAGACCTTTGAGGTTTTTAAACAAAATGTTTATGCCTTATGTCTTGAACTTGAGTAAGAGTGTGCATCCAGATACAGAAATTAAAAATGTGAATATTCATCTTTGCTTGGGCCCTACAATTTTGAGGTCTTAGTGAAATTGATGAAGCTGAGGTTTGTTGAGTAAAACAATAACTTCTAGACATTCTAGAGTAGGAGAGTAGAGATCTAGATCTAGATCTAGATCGAGACTATTCTAGACTCTATTTTAATTTTGATCTGTAGACTGTAGACACTATCTAGATCTAGATCTACCCTTATTGATTTAATCTCGGTTAGTAATAGTATAGAATAGATATAGATCTAGTAGGCCTTTAGCTCTATTACTAATACTTAGTTTATTAGGTATGTATTAGTATTAGCCTATTAGGCCTAGATATTAATAAATCTACTTAGTAAGTTAATATAGAATCTACTAGATCTAGATCTAGATTCTAGATCTAACTAGCCTATAGTTTACTGTAGGTGCCTAGGGCCAATAGAAATCATTTATATTGAAAATCTATACTATACTTCTTAACAGTGTCTGCCTCCCCCCCCCCCCCCCCCCCCCATAAAAATGTCTGAAATAAACCCTGTCTGAAAAATACTGTCACGACAATTGTTGAGTTCACTTGTTTTGGTGACCAGGTATATGCAGGAATAATGTGGTCAGCACTATGCCCAACCACCTTTACTTTCCCTAAAATGAGTCAGATACTCATCAGAACTGGGTAGACTCCAAAACTTAAGAACCCATTTAAAATATTTTTCAGTCTTCCCATCATTACCATAATAAAGATTTGAATAAATATTAACAGCTTTCATTATTTAGTATTTACGTATGAAGAAAAAAGTTGTGCAGTCACAATCCTTGACCACCTTCCTCCATGTAGCACAATATATCTCCATAAGTGTGTGACACATGTGTGGACAGCCCTAGTACTTTATTTGACAAGTCTACTGTCTTGCCCTAGATCTAGAGTGGAGTAGGTATTACAGCAACAATACAAACTTACTAGACATAGGGTAGTGACAGGATGACTAGTTAAGTTAGAACATTTTTAAGTTACCATTTTTTACTTGCAATCCATGGAACTGACAAAGTATATATCAACTGTTTCTGTGACCTCGGCATATGAAGGAATAGTGTGATCAGCACTATGCTCATCTACTTTTACTTTCCCTATTATGAGTCAGGTACCCATTAAAGCTGGGTAAACTCAAAAAACATTCTACTGACTTGAGCTCCAGATCCGAACGTGAGATTTTCTGGTTAGCAGCCGTGTACTGTACCACCCTGCCATGCCATCCCACAAAAATGTAAAAAATGTTACTATATAAAACTGAATAAAAGGTACAATTGGCATAACTTAAAATTTAATTTAAAATATAATCCAAATAAATTTTAGCCGCAATTTGGCACTTAGCCGAAAACAATAGATTATAGAAAACTGACATCACACCTTATTTTGATATCCTATTAAAATCTGAGCACATTCCAAAAAAAAAAAATATCTGTTAATTTCTACTAATTAGTATATGGTGTTGCATGCAGTAATAACTTTTTATCAGTACTCCATAAAACATTGAAAAATTACATTTTTGTAACTTTTAATTTGATGCCATGGTCAGTTGTCAACCATTGACAAGATTAGTAAAGTGTGTTTTCTTTCATGTTTATAATCTTAGGTAAAAAAAACTATTTATGGATTATAAATTGTTATACAACTGTTGATTACAGCATTTGCAAATGCAATTTTTAAAATAATATTGTAGAAGCACAACACAAGTTATAAGGTTTTTCAATCTTAACACTAGTTACAACTGCGTGCTTGAAAAATTTCATTTTTTGTTTAAAACTATCCCTATTATATATTTTTATTGTTGTGCTAAGTTAAATAAGGGTTGTTTTTTGTCATAAATGTGGAGTTTAGTTGTATAAATGAATAAAAATAAACAGCCAACTGCTAGGTAGTAGATATCCCACATTTGCAGACTCTTTTAGTTTCTTAACATAAACATAATACAATTCAGTCAGATAGGTAAATTTTAAAATCCATGAGTGCAAATTAATTTTAGACTATATCCATTTGCATCATACATGGAGTAAAACTGATTTACTCTTAGGGCTGTCTGTTATTTACTTCAGTAATCTGTCTAATCTCTTATTATATTACACACTGAAGATTCACCTGCTGGTATTGTTAGCAAAATGTTAGCAGTGCACTCTAGCATAACCAACCAAACATGGGGAGTGGGGGAAGACATGTGTCAGCTAGTTGGGCCAAGTATTTAGGTTGACATTGCTGCTAACCACACCACCACCTCCTGAGATAATAAATGCTAAGGATGGGTAGTGGTGGGGGGTTGGGAGGGGTGTGGTACAGACATTGTTAGAAGTTGTGAGGCTGTCTGTGTTGTCTGTTGGGGGGGGGGGGGGGGGGGAAGGAGAGGCTCAGCTGTAGGTGTGTTTAATGTTGTTTGTTCCACTACTGTTAAAAATATCTCAATTTTAATTTGAATTGTTACTTAGTCAACATCATAATTTTTTTTAAACAAACTTCTTATGAGAAAATAATGAAATCAGAAAAATGTTGAACCTATGGAAATCTGGTGTTAACAGTTTTGAGCAGTCACATTATCATTCTTACTCATCATTATATGATTGAATAGCTATACACATAGTTTTAAAGGATGGGGAGCTTAAAACTTATTTGAATACACATTTTGTTTAAATCATCTAGGTTAATGTTGCTGCAAAGTTTTTTTTGTGTAAACAATTAGAATAGTGGCCATTGTTACATTACCAATTGTTTATTTTTTATTACTGTGTTTGGAATCTAACTTATGCCTAACATTTTCTAATACATTTTAATTATATATATATATATATATATATATATATATATATATATATATATATATATATATATATATATATATATATACATATATATATATATATATATATATATATATATATATATATATATTTTTTTTTTTTTTTTTTTTTTTTTTTTTTTTAAACTGTAGTTTACCATTATTTTATTTCAGAAATGAATCTTCACTTGTCTGTTTTAGCTGTTTTATTATTGCTTGTTCATGTTCATTCACAGAGTTTAGGTAATAAAGAATTTTTGTTTTAATAGTATTTTAGCCAATAAGTTTAAAAATTTAAGTATTAGCCAAATTGAACATCTTGTTCATTTTCTAGAAATTATTAAAATATTAGTTAATTTTAATATATATTATTTACATGTTAAAGCTGTTTACATTCAGTTTGTTAGAAACCAGTCGATATATGCTAGGGTTACATTTTTAAAGTAGTCTTTGTCACTTCTTAAATGTAATTTTATAAGTATATACATGTAGCTATGAACAAGTTTCTAGTTAAAATCACTGTTATTTCAGAGGCCATCTTCAGCAACCCTTGCACAAAAGCTCAGACTTGTGGTGAATGTGTCCAGATTTCTCCCATCTGTAACTGGTGTGGTGCTGAGGTATGTGCTAACATATTGTCATTAATACTAAGATAGTTTCAAACTAAAAGATAAGCTGCAGAGAAGAAGCTATTTTATTTTTTTTTAAATTTAGTAAATTAGTCGTAATCATTTAATTTTTATTCATATTTGATTCTGTCAACTCGATTTTCATACGCTGATGTTGTTTTGTTCATTTTGAAGGTACATTATCTCCCTGTATTAATCAATATTTAATATTTTTTTTACCACTGACAGGTGCTTGACAGAAATGTTCCCCGCTGTGACATTTATGAAAACCTGAGGAAAAAATGTGAGGACAAGGACATCTCCAACCCAAAATCACAACAGCAGGTGCTCAAAGATGATGCCTTTACCAGTGGTGGCGCTGGAGTGCCCCCCAAACAAGTCAAACCACAAGATTTGACCTTTCAACTCAGACCAAGTAAGATTCATATCTTGTTTTAATTGTGTTTTATTCTCATTTTCTAAGTTATTTGTACAAACATTAAAAAAAATTTAAACCCCACAATTGAATTTTAGTTGAGTTTGTGAGTTTTAAATTGAGTTTCAAAATAAAATCCCATAATTGACTTTTTTTCAGATGAGTTTGTGAGTTTTAATCTGAGTTTCTCACAACAAGCTGACTACCCAGTAGATCTGTACGTCCTCTTAGATCTCAGCTATGGAATTGCTAGACAGAAAGAAGCTCAGGAAAGATTAATAGCTTTAGGTGCTGATCTCCGTAAGTGTGAATTTAAAGCATTCATTATTTTATACATACTAACCATTTCAGAGAAAGAGTTGAGGGCTTTTTTTTATTTATTGCAAAATTATTTTTGAAAATAAAAACATACTTTCCTATGTGGTGACAAAATACATTGCTTGATTCAAAATTTAACATCTCAAGAAATTGGATTTGGGTTGCTATTTTTTTTTTTATTTAAATTTTAATAGTAGAAATTTAAAAAAAACAAGTTTTTTCTAACAAAAGTATTTAATTTTTAGGTTATTAGTTTAATTAAATATATAGAAATTTCAATGTTTCAGATATTAGCTTATTTATTACAGTAAATCTATAATAGTTTCTGAACAACATTGTATCTAAACAAATATTTTCTTGTTTAATATACACATTAAGTAAAACTTAATTTAGCTTGTTCATTGTCTGATATTTGTATTGTTTGTATTTATATTTTTTAGCATTTATTAATCAAATTGAACATTTCTTTCAGCTGTTAGCCTGCAAAGCATTACCAACAATTTTAGACTGGGCTTCGGAACTTTTGTGGACAAACTTTTGATGCCTTACACAGCCTGGACAGACCAGATGTAAGTTTACTCCACCTGATCATCATCTTTCCCTTTTATACCCAAGACACAAAAAGTCCACCCAGCACTGATGGGTACCTAACTTACATTAAGGTAAGTAAAGGCGGCTGGGCATAGTGCTGACCACACTATCCATTCATATGCCGAGGTCACAGAAACAAGTGAACTCTCCTTTACTTGCCCCATAAACCATTAGGTTTGAAAGGGAACTTTACTTACTTACTACACATGGGGGAGCCTTAGAAAGCTCCCTCCACTTTGGTCAGTTTTCCTGGCCGTCCCCCATGACAGTCCTGCCTCTGCTAGCTGCTGTCCAGCAGTGCATCTCCACATCTCCCTTGGCCTTCCCTGCTTTCTTTTTTTATTAAGGTGTCCAGTTAAGCGCTATTCCTGCAATGTCCTCCACCTTATAGTAGTGTACAATCTTGGCCTATATATTGTGGCAATGTAAATCAGTTTGATTCATTTATCAAAGTCATATCTCTGTGTTATAAATAAACTTCAGGTACATTTTCATTTACTGGTATATGAATGATGTGTAGCATAAAATTTTTTTTTTTTGTAACAGGCTAGAGTATCGTTGCCCATCCAAAAACTGCAGCAAGCCACATGATTATAAGAATCGAATGAATTTGGAAGTGAATACTACAGCCTTTGCTGTAAGTTCAATCTTTAGAAAATTAAGCTTTCCATTTATCTTTAAAAAATTATTTATTTTTATATATTTTTATAATGCCAGTCTGTTTTCTACTTTTTTTTTGTTTTTAAATTTTAAATCCAATTTTTATAAAACTGTTTCAGACCATAATGAGAAAAGCTCTAGAGGATGTGTCACAAAGTATGGATGATGCTGAGGGTGGTTTGGATGGCCTTGTACAGTCCCTAGCTTGTGATGTAAGTTTTTAAATTTACTTTTTGTGCATTGCTACTTATATCTATCAATGTAATGACTTGCTCATAAAATGTTGATCTCATCAAAATCTTTAAGTGTGATGTAAGTTTACAGGGTTAGATTTATGGATAGTTTCAAGAAACCAATAATTGTCTGGTTTTAAATTATTAGAAAATTAAAATGTTTTTATTCAAAGATCTCTCATTTATTTTTCATGTAAAATTTTCTTGAACCTCTTAACTCAGCAATTAGGTTGGAGAGATGTTTCAAGAAGAATTATTGTCTACTGTTCCAATTCTTTGTTTCATCTGGCAGGAAATGGAAAAGTAAGGTTCTTATTTTTTAGTTGTTTAAAGTATGTATTATGGCTAATATGGAATGGCGTGGACTAGAGGTAGAGCGCTAGACTGATAACCAGAAAGTCTCAAGTTTGAATTTGTGTTCAGCTCTGATGGGCACCTATCTCATATTAGGGAAAGTAAGTCGCCTGGGAATAGTGCTGACCACGCTACCTCTTCATAAGCCGAGGTCAAGAAACATAAATTCATACTTCATCTGCCCAATGGATTGCTAGGTTTAATGAGGAATCTCAGTAAGCCAGAGCTTACAAATCATTTATAAAGAAAATTTATCACTAGTAGCAACCTAAATTTTTTACCCTAAAATTTTGTTCACAGCTTGGTGGGGCAACAAGACAGAGTGATTTGAAATGTGCTCTTAACGACAAAAATGAATATGAGCATGAGAAAATTTTTGTAAGTCTGCTTTTGTAAGCCTATATTATTTTTCTTGTTTTTATATTTAGTCTTTCCAGTCAACAATAATCTGAAGTTGACTATGGATAAACAAACTATTTTAAACTCAGCACGGGATTAAGCAATATGGCTAAAAATAAATTTTTTTTAATCTTTTATAAGTCTAATGTTCTCTTATTGTTTTATGTCTCAGGACTATCCATCAGTGAGCCAGATTGCTCATAAACTGCGTGAGAAAAAAGCCAATGTTATTTTTGCAGTTATGAGCAATGTTTCAGAACATTACCATCGTCTTGTTTCATTTCTTGATGGTGCTGTTGTGGGGGAACTGGCAGAAAACTCACAGAATATTGTACAGCTGATCAATGAGAAGTACAAAGTAAGTTGGTCTGCTAGCCATTGTTTTGAAATTAAACTCGATCATGTTTTATTTGATAACATGGTCTTCCTTACACCTCTCTAGATTAGAATGTTAATCGGGAGGTCAGCGTGGTTGGGTCGGTTAAGCTCATGGTTGTTGAACCGATAAGTGCAGAGTTAGAATCCCCTAGCAGATGAGGCTCGATAGCTGGGTACCAACTCCTCTAAGAGAAACAACTCCAAAACAAACAACTGCTACCTTGTAGTTTGTTCTTGGTTGGACAAAGGCTATGGAAGCAAATCCAAAAAGAAAAGCAGTTTGAAATCGGAGTCAACGGCCTAACTAGTTGCCACATATACTTAATTGTGTTGGAGGGGATCCATTTCAACACTAAAATTGAGAACAAAGTAGAAGAAGAAGAATGTTTATCTTTTAACTTTCAAACATTGGGTGCTTGTGATCAAGTGGTAGAGCAAACAACTGAAAGACTTGGGTTCCATTCCTGGTCTCAGTCCCAGTCCACCTAGTTGAGATGAAGAATTGAACTTGAGTCAGGGAGTTGGGCTGATCATATGATAAATTTTGTTTGCAAAGATCTTTGAATCAGATGAAATCTACTTCACCAGCTCTTTGGACCATCTGGTCTAAAAGGGTACATTTCTATTTCTCTTTCAAACTATCTGTATTTATCGCGTAGAAATTTATGTTGAAATATTTGTTACATTCACCGCAAATACTTAATTAAGTATGCATGAACTCACTCTGAAAACACCATGTATCATTAAACTTTCACATTTGAATGACTACATTCATACTTAAGTTTGTCAGACATTTTTTTGTTTGTTGCATTTTGTCGTTTTGCAAAAAATAATTGTTGCATGTTTTTCACTGACATTCTTGTTGTACCTAACAAAAGTTTTTTCTTCATTAATAATTGCAACTTTGTTAAGACTGCATTGACTTTGTTTGCACCGCTCTGTGGCTCATTAACAAACATGTGATGTGAAATGCATGTCCTTTGCTCACTCTAGGAGCTTCGGTCTCGTATCAAGTTCCAGACAGAAAATGCAGACTATGTGGACGTAATTTTCAAGTCCAAGTGTGCAGGGTGAGAAAATAAATGTGCTGCAGCAAATGTAGCCTGGAGATAAAGTTATCTTTTTGTTTTGGATGGCCTGTAAAAAAATTAGAAGTTGAATGCAAATGTTTGTATAATACAATTTATTTTTATAACAAACTAATGACTGAAAAATACTTTAATAACAAATTTTAAAAGCAAACCGTGATAATCAAAGTGAATTGTAGGAAACAGTTTTTCTAATTTTCTTAGAGCATTTTTGTGTTTATTATTCAGTTTTAAAAAAAAAATTTGTTAATTTTTAAAATAAAATTAACCCTTTAAATAAAATTGACTTGAAAAAACAACTATAAAGATTTTAATGTGATTTAAAATTAGTTTACTTACATTTAATGTGATGTTTAACTTCCTTGTTCCATTATGCCAAAATTTTTTTTTTAAATTCTGCATTGTGATAATGGCATGGAAGATTGTTTTTTATTGTTGAGATTTCTTATAAAAAACTACCTTTAATGCATCCTTGACAACAAGAATACTAAATTGATATATTTAAATTAGAATTAAAAGTTTTTAAAAAAAAATTGTTTGGAAACTTTATTCATCAATAACATTTATGTTTAAAATTACACTTACAGCAATGTATTTAAAGAAACAAGCAGTTGTGAAAATCTAGAAATCAAGCAACAGGTTGGTTAACTGCATTTGCTAATTTGTTTATTTAAATCAAATACAGTCTTAGAGTGAACATGAACACTGAAGTGCTACATTTGTCACACATTTAATTGACAACGTTCCCTATTTATCTTTCCACCAGGTTGATTTTAATGTAACTCTGATGGTACACAGTGATATTTGTAAAGGTCATACAGGAACTGTGGAGAAAAATGTCACAGTGAAAGCTGTAGGTCTCAATGAACAGTTGCTGATTCGGCTGAATGTAACTTGTGGCTGTGAGTGTGAGCAGCCAATCAGGGAGGTGAGAACTCTATAATCTCCCTTTCCTTAAGTTTTGTTGTTCACAAATGCATACAAATTTTTACTTTCAGATTATACTGAATAATCTCCCTTTCCTTAAGGGGCTCACAGTTTCTTAATGTACTGAATAGTTCTTAATGTACTGAATAGTTTCCCTTTTCCTAACAGAGCCAATGGTACTGATTAATTAAATTTTTTATTTGAAGGAGCCAAACAGCCAAAAATGCACGGATGGGCACGGTACATTTGAATGTGGTATTTGTAATTGCCATCCTGGCCGTTATGGAAGAAAGTGTGAGTGTAACGAAACAGAGATTTCAAGTCAAAAGTCACTGCAACGATGTAGAGCAAAGTGAGTAAGCATTAATTAACATACAATTAATACGTACATCAATTATTATATCAGTATTAATTCAGAAATCATGTCTGGAAAATGTCATGCTGATGTGATATTATTTTAATGAGTTACCTACCTAGTATCAGTTATTTAAGCTGTCGTTTGAGCTTCTTTTTAAAAGCTTTCATTTTATAAAGTAGCTTTTGACTCTAGTGATTGAAATTAGGTAATTGTGTGTTGACAATTTAAACAAAGTTTGATTTTTAAATGTTCAAATTATATATAAACATAAATTTAAAATATATGTAAGTAACCTTTGAACTCTGAACCTTTCAGTGAGAATGAGACAACAACCTGCTCTGGGAAGGGAGAATGTATCTGTGGGGAATGTAAGTGCTTTACACTGGCAGCTGATTCAGCCCAGAAATACAGTGGCCCGTATTGTGAATGTAACGACTACAGCTGTCCCTCAGGTCCCAGTGGTTTATGTGGAGGTAATGGAAGTCACTTTGTTTACATTGTAACAGATTGTCTTATCTATAACTCTGTCTAGCAACGTTTTTGAAGTCTACTGAGACTTTTACTTTTATTATTTAGAAATCAAAAGAAAATTTATATTTTTATATTTGAAACTTTTTTTTTATAGCAAGAGCATAACAAAAAAAAATTGTGTAATAAAAAAAAAAATCATTGTTGTGTTTCAAAATTGTTGAAAATTTGGATGTATTTTGCCTGAATGAAAATGTATGAATATTTCAATATAAATGGTCATTTAAATTGTTCTAGGCTCTCTGAGAGGAACTTGTATTTGTGGCAAATGTCAGTGCAATAAAGGCTGGACAGGAGATGACTGTGAATGTACATCGAGCACAGAGACTTGTAAAACAGAGAAAGGGGTTGGTTTAACTACTTTGTTGTTTTAGTTTAGGTGATTAAGATGTTTGTAGAATGTTGCTTCACATTTGGCAATGTTTCCAGGTAATCTGTAATGACTCAGGGACCTGTAAATGTGGGAAGTGTGTTTGTGATCCAAGTTCTAATATGATTGGACCAACATGTGAGGATTGTCCAGTAAGTTGTTTCATTTATTTTTAAATATTTCTTTGAAAAATATGTCCATCTTGAAATAATAAGATCTACGTAAAGTTTAATTGTTAAATATAATATCTCTATAAAATATGAGCACCTTAAAATAAATATCTTTATATTTATAAATTAGAGTATATGGATATTTATAAATTAGAGTATATGGATTTGTGTGTATCATTATATATTACTACTCATTTTATCTGATAAAAATATAAAATATGTGCATCCCTAAAATACTTACATTTTTAAATGTAAAATATATGCAACAAAACAAACGCAGCCATTATTTCCCCATAGACCTGCCCTAGTCAGTGCAGTGAGTATATTGATTGTGCCCAGTGTAAAGCACATGGGACAGGCAAACACAACAGAGAGGAATGTGATAAGATATGTCGGAATGTCATGACTGTAGACACACTTGAAAGTAGGTGGTTGCTTATCTTTTTCACAAGATTCTCAATTGTAGTATTTTTTCCTCCTAATAACCACATTTAGTTATGTATGTCAAGATTTAAATAATTTTTTTTCTATTAACCTGTGTGTTTATTTGTGTGTACTAAGATAAGAATTTATTTTTTCAAAACTAAACATTTTCAGCTGACGTAAAAGGTGTTAGAAGCTGTAATGGAATCGATGTTGATGGCTGCACATTTTACTTCACATATGAGTACACGAAAGACAACAATGTTTTAATTAAAGCTCAGAAAACCAAAGGTTGGATTTTAATTTCCCACACTACACTATTAAAACATAGTGGCTTAGGTTTTTTTTTAAAATTTAATTTTAACTTTGTTGAATTAATTGGTAATATATATATATATATATATATATATATATATATATATATGTGTGTGTGTGTGTGTGTGTGTGTGAAAAATACTAAGTATTTAATAATGAATCAAATTGTAAACCTTCTTCACTGCTTTAATTTCAATTTAAATTAAGATGTAATATTCTACAAATGTTACGTTGAACTTAATTAAACATAAATACAAATAATGCGTAAATTATTAAACATACTACGTCTGTAATTGATGAATATGATTTTTTTTTCCTCAGATTGTCCTGCAGAAGCTAACATTGCTGCTATTGTTGGTGGAACTGTCGCTGCTGTTGTTCTCATCCCTCTCCTCATCATTTGCCTCATCATTTTCATTCGCAACCGCAGGGATGCCAAAGAATTTGCAGATTTTCAGCGTGAACAGGAGAAAGCAAGATGGGACACCGTAAGTCTGCTGTTTCCTAACAGATGGGGTTTTTGTGTCACACATTTTAGAAGAAATTTGCAATATAAGAAATAATCAAATAAAAATAAACAGAAATACACAGCAATTGTTATTTTATGATAGTAGTACATTGTCGCTGATTCTTGAATTTTTTTGTTAGCTACTATTGATTTATTTCTTGATTATCAAAACTTTTCAATTAAGGACAGCTTGACTACTTAGGTCAATAATTATTAGTGGTTTTTAGAGAGAAAAATAAAAAGAGTCATTCATGGAATCTTAAGGGAATAGATAATAATCTCGTTGATAAACTTCTTCCAAATTTTTAGTTTTTATAATAATTGGAAAAATATATTTGATTAACTTAATATATAATAGATATACATAATTTTTTAATTGGTTGTTTTTACTTTTATTTCAGGGAGCTAACCCAATTTATAAAGATCCAAAATCAACCTTTAAGAATCCAACATATAAGGGAGCTAATTAAAACAGTTACTTAAAAATCAAAGGCTTCCTTATATTATAAGATTGGAATTTGTTTATACACATGTCATGTAAAACTTAAGTATGGCACAAAATGTCAAATACTAAAGTATGCACACAATATTTTTGCTGATAGTAAAACTTCTAAGAATTCTAAAAGTACAGATGCATCTTTTCTAATGTGGTTTTCCTCCATTTGATTTTTAGCTGCTATGTAAGTGATTGGTAAAAGCTTACATACTTAACAGAGAAATATTTTACCAGAAGCATTATGTTTTTGTATATGAAAGGCTTTTAGAGCTTATATTAGATTTTTTTGTTTTTATATCTGCATTGCTGTAAGTTTGATGTGTTAGTTTCTGATTGTGCATATGAAAAATGGATGTTTTTCTGTTGCTGTTAGTGGTTGTGTAATTAATAGCTGTTTTTTTTGTGTGCAGAGTATAGGTGGTTGTTTCTATGGTTGTGACTTTTTAGTAATTTATAAAGAATTTGACAGAACGTTGTAGGCTGCGTGGTTGTTTTAAACATTGTTTGTTTGAACTTATGACTTTTTTATATGTGACATCAAATCATTTTTCTTTTACATGTCCAAGTAAAATAGTGAATAATTTCAATTTTTAGAATTTTCATTCAATTGCTTACATTTGACAGAAGAGGGCATTATTTTGCAGATAAAATTAAAACCTATCTAACTAATAATAATTTAAATAATTTTTTTTCCTAAATTAGCTCAATAACATATACCAATCATTTTTAATAGTTTAAAAAAATTACTCTGTCATTATTTATTACTTATTTATATCAATTACCATGAGCATGTGTGTGTGTTCACTTTAGAATATTAAATTTTTGCTTCAATGTAGTATATATTAGAGGAAATTTGAGAGATTCAAGCCTTTTTAATTTTTTAATCTAAAAAGTTGTGAAGGGAATTAAGTTATTGAAGAGTTGACAATTCGCACTAAACTTTTGCATTTTCTTTGCAAGGCTATAACAATTTTTTTAAAAGTTGGTTGTGATTATTTAACATTTTTATGATTTCAACATTCTCAAAGAACTATTCCAACACATTTGTGATTCTTTTAATAGTTATATTTATACTACAATGAGTATACATGTGTTACAACTACTGTTATTTTTAAGCCTTTTGTAATTGTTTTACTGCTTTTTAATGAGATACTTTTTAAATTTTTAGTTTTAAATTATAAATCCGCAGAAAAAAAGTACTTTAATCAAGAATAGCATTAACTAGCTATGTTAATAATTCAAAGCAAATTTTAAAAATACAGAAATGTTACATTGAATATTTTAATTTCCTGATGATGCGTAAAAGATACATTAATGAAAATCTTTTTGAATGAACTTCTCGAGTCAGATGTACACTAGATATTTTTTATAAATCTTGTTTTGTACAATATGTTGAACTGTGTGTGATACTGTTTCTTACTGTGGCTTTTTACAATAAAATCATATCAAAGCTTAAAAACATCTATTTAATAAAATGCAGCTAGCATTAAAAGCTATGCCCATATTAGTTACCGCATACCTATCTGTCAGCTTTATATGTTTTTATATGCTATTTTAATTTAACATTATATTTTAATGATTGTATACTTCACACTTATATTACAGTTATCCCCCTTGCATGTCATATACCTTGTGATTTGTTTTAGTGCCTTCATAATTTACGGTGAATCTACTATTGATAAACCAATATTTTTGTTTTGAAGAAGAAAAAAACAGGAAATTATCTTTAAATTCAAATCTTGTTAGTTTATGTTTTGTCATTAAAAGATGTTTAAATTCACTTGTAGTGCAAAACACGAGCATGCTACTGCCAGTAAGCTTTAAATGATGTACAGTTAGACTGAACAGTGTTCTCCACTCTATTCATCTCATTTGATCAGATCATTCCATCTTTGTTTATCCACAGCCTTCTTGTGTATTTTTTTCATGTGTATTTTATTATATTAATTGACTAAATTTATACTGCATTAAACAACAAACAATAAAAATAAAAATTTTTTTAAATTTTTTTATTTGTTCACCAAAAGGAGAAAAAGCTGTGTGAAGTAGAAAGTAGTAAAGTACCCTTTCAAGCCTGACAATGAAACTGAAAGGATAGTCTGGTCAGCGTTATGACCTACAGTGAGTCAGATACCCATTTGAACTAGGTGGACGTCATACAGACTTAAACCCAGAATTAAAAAAGAATAAGATAAAGTGTTAGACAAAAAAATGTGTTCTATCATATGGTTCGCAAGACATTCATTAACATCGTTACAATAGCAATTTAAAGCTGATTTATTCATTTAAAGTACACCACATATAAACACTTAGAAATAATCGAGTATTCTTTGCTTTTATGTTCACCAAAAACAAGATTTGTATCCTATGCCTGGATTGGAAATTACAATGCTGCAGAGTTAAGATTGGCTTGATCTTTAAAATCTATTTTGGAATTTTTAATCATTTCTTTATTATAAAAGATAGAAAAGCGGCTGAAAACCGTTGTCATTGGATGGAAGGGGAAGTAACTGGGTGGTGGACAGGATGATGTCTCTTAATGTCTTAAGAGCTCAACCCTTGAAGTGTTTGTGGCATGCCTATCTTAAATATGATGAGAGGTTCATACACATTTCAGGAGACAGTTTTAACAACAGCCAAATAGTTCTGAGAAACTTTTCAATAATTGATTGTGTGCAAAATGTTAGAACGGAGATATTTTTAATTGGGTTGCTCAAGGGAGACAACACTGGGTAGGTAAATGACGCCACTTTAAATTTACAACGATGATATATTTTTTAACACATCCAATTACTTAACTTCATTTAATTAAAGTGAATTATTAGGCCTACATTATGGGGGGGGGTCGGACTTCTGTGACGATATGTGTTGAGGGGGAGAGGGAAGTAGCGTCACGGGGCAGGGGCGTGGGTGACGCCATCCAGGGAGGTGTCACCAAAACGAAATATACATTTTATTAAATGAGAAAGCCTGCGGTTTTCTGTTAGTTTAATAATCGTTTTAAGTCTTAATAATTATTTAAATCTGGTGCGGTGTTGGAACCAAATTGCTTCTAAGTGTATCATACATGAAGTCGTTGTCGGAATTAAAGAGTGACGCCCTGGGTTACTACACCGGATGACACCCAAACTGGTGACGCCATTGATGAGCGAGGGGAGGGGGTATGTATGTCTGACAAACATCGATCCAGTGAACAATTCTGATACAGCTCATTTCTTGTTTCCTGGGAAAATTTTCCTTTCAATTTTTTATTTTAAATTGGAATATGAATTGTGGGGTGAATAAAGTGTGAGGGGAGGGGGGGTCCTGACTGTTTAAGACGATGGGGAAAGGGAGGGGTGTAGGTAAAAATCGTACCCAAAGCGTGACGTCATACATGGACAATCCGTTACTAAAAATGGACTAAAAAACAATTCACTTTCTCATCTATATCAAGTATACCGTTAAATGGAAACAAATTACTTATAAGCTAAATTGGTCCATTTTTTAAAATAGAATTTTACGTAAAATAGGTATATTTGTGAAAGAACTATTTTGTGCATAGTCGATTTTGTGAACTTGCAGGCTACATAGTTAGACCAATGTCAAAGCAATTGAACAAACACTTACGCCAATTTGAAGTGTGTGATCATAGTGGGTTTTTTTTTTTTTAAATTGTAGGCCTAGATAGTGAAATTATAGTTAGCTGACACAGTCATCATCTTTATGTTTCAATGAGATTAAAATGACATAGTCTGCCTGTTTCACATAGATTAACTGATAGATCCTCTGCTTAAAGCAGAACATTTTCTTCTCTCCAGAGATGGGTGTGCAAAGCCTTGTTGCTCTATATTCTACGCTAGTTTTTCAAGTCTATTCAGAGAGTTCAAGTAAATTTTGTTTTTGTGAAGTTAGCTAATAAATTATGATAAATAATTAACCTATAAGGATTAATTGATGTTTTGTTTCCCTGTACTTGTTTTTTGTTTAAAGTACTTCATTAACTTAATGAACACATTTTGTTCATAAAAACGTTGCAGTTAATTATAACTGAATCACTCTATTTATCTATGTGAATTAATGTTGGAGAAAAATAGTACACAGTTCATAACACAGCAGATTAAATGGTATATATATATATATATATATACATATATATATATATATATATCTATATATATAAAGCAAAGTGGTCAAGTGCCCGATAGGGCACTTCCCGGCGCCGCAGGCGCGTCAAATTTGGCACGATGGTGCCTTCGGGCGATAGAACACGAAGGCCGGTGACGGTTGGCCGAAAAGTCGACGGAGAGGGGGTCAAAACTGACCTCGACTGACCGGCGCCTTATATGGGCTATATTACGAAAAAAAATTTCCTCCGACGACCCCCATTGAAATTTTGTGAGGTGGTAGGAGAACGCCTTGGGGTGTCACAAAAAACTCGCCATGTCCGGGAAAAATCGGGAAATGGGTCAAAACTGACCAGTCGTATTTCCCTATATAATCTTTGTATTTTATGGGAAAAACAGAGGGCCATTTCAAAACGGATTTTAGGGCTCTTACCCTCTTTACATCTGGCTAATTTTTGGCATGTTTATAGGTAAATGGCTTGGCCGTAGGGCAGACCTGTCAGTTTCACTCAAAGCCCTCGACGAGGGCTAAAAAGTGACCGCGAGTGAAATTCTCTTTATATGAGCTCTATTACGAAAATTTTTTTCCTCCGACGACCCCCCTTGAAATTTTGTGAGGTGGTAGGAGAACGACTTGGGGTGTCACAAAAAACTCGCCATGTCCGGGAAAAATCGGGAAATGGGTCAAAACTGACCAGTCGTATTTCCCTATATAATCTTTGTATTTTATGGGAAAAACAGAGGGTCATTTCAACGCAGACTTTAGGGTACTTAAACTCAGTATATCTGGCTAATTTTTTGCATACTCTTAGGTAAATGGCTTGACCTTTAGGGAAAACTGTCGGTTTTACTCAAAGCCCTCGACGAGGGCTAAAAAGTGACCGCGAGTGAAATTCTCTTTATATGAGCTATATTAGGAACAATTTTTTCCTCCGACGACCCCCCTTGATATTTTGTGAGGTGGTAGGAGAACGCCTTGGGGTGTCACAAAAAACTCGGCATATCTGGGAAAACTTCGTAAAGGGGTCAAAACTGACCAGTTGTATTTCCCTATATAATCTTTGTATTTTATGGGAAAAACATAGGGTCATTTCAACGCAGACTTTAGGGTACTTAAACTCAGTATATCTGGCTAATTTTTTGCATACTCTTAGGTAAATGGCTTGACCTTTAGGGAAAACTGTCGGTTTCACTCAAAGCCCTCGACGAGGGCTAAAAAGTGACCGCGAGTGAAATTCTCTTTATATGAGCTCTATTACGAAAAAATTTTTCCTCCGACGACCCCCCTTGATATTTTGTGAGGTGGTAGGAGAACGCCTTGGGGTGTCACAAAAAACTCGGCATATCTGGGAAAACTTCGTAAAGGGGTCAAAACTGACCAGTCGTATTTCCCTATATAATCTTTGTATTTTATGGGAAAAACATAGGGTCATTTCAACGCAGACTTTAGGGTACTTAAACTCAGTATATCTGGCTAATTTTTTGCATACTCTTAGGTAAATGGCTTGACCTTTAGGGAAAACTGTCGGTTTTACTCAAAGCCCTCGACGAGGGCTAAAAAGTGACCGCGAGTGAAATTCTCTTTATATGAGCTCTATTACGAAAAAAATTTTCCTCCGACGACCCCCCTTGATATTTTGTGAGGTGGTAGGAGAACGCCTTGGGGTGTCACAAAAAACTCGGCATATCTGGGAAAACTTCGTAAAGGGGTCAAAACTGACCAGTCGTATTTCCCTATATAATCTTTGTATTTTATGGGAAAAACATAGGGTCATTTCAACGCAGACTTTAGGGTACTTAAACTCAGTATATCTGGCTAATTTTTTGCATACTCTTAGGTAAATGGCTTGACCTTTAGGGAAAACTGTCGGTTTCACTCAAAGCCCTCGACGAGGGCTAAAAAGTGACCGCGAGTGAAATTCTCTTTATATGAGCTCTATTACGAAAAAATTTTTCCTCCGACGACCCCCCTTGATATTTTGTGAGGTGGTAGGAGAACGCCTTGGGGTGTCACAAAAAACTCGGCATATCTGGGAAAACTTCGTAAAGGGGTCAAAACTGACCAGTCGTATTTCCCTATATAATCTTTGTATTTTATGGGAAAAACATAGGGTCATTTCAACGCAGACTTTAGGGTACTTAAACTCAGTATATCTGGCTAATTTTTTGCATACTCTTAGGTAAATGGCTTGACCTTTAGGGAAAACTGTCGGTTTTACTCAAAGCCCTCGACGAGGGCTAAAAAGTGACCGCGAGTGAAATTCTCTTTATATGAGCTCTATTACGAAAAATTTTTTCCTCCGACGACCCCCCTTGATATTTTGTGAGGTGGTAGGAGAACGCCTTGGGGTGACACAAAAAACTCGGCATATCTGGGAAAACTTCGTAAAGGGGTCAAAACTGACCAGTCGTATTTCCCTATATAATCTTTGTATTTTATGGGAAAAACATAGGGTCATTTCAACGCAGACTTTAGGGTACTTAAACTCAGTATATCTGGCTAATTTTTTGCATACTCTTAGGTAAATGGCTTGACCTTTAGGGAAAACTGTCGGTTTCACTCAAAGCCCTCGACGAGGGCTAAAAAGTGACCGCGAGTGAAATTCTCTTTATATGAGCTCTATTACGAAAAAATTTTTCCTCCGACGACCCCCCTTGATATTTTGTTAGGTGGTAGGAGAACGCCTTGGGGTGTCACAAAAAACTCGGCATATCTGGGAAAACTTCGTAAAGGGGTCAAAACTGACCAGTCGTATTTCCCTATATAATCTTTGTATTTTATGGGAAAAACATAGGGTCATTTCAACGCAGACTTTAGGGTACTTAAACTCAGTATATCTGGCTAATTTTTTGCATACTCTTAGGTAAATGGCTTGACCTTTAGGGAAAACTGTCGGTTTCACTCAAAGCCCTCGACGAGGGCTAAAAAGTGACCGCGAGTGAAATTCTCTTTATATGAGCTCTATTACGAAAAAATTTTTCCTCCGACGACCCCCCTTGATATTTTGTGAGGTGGTAGGAGAACGCCTTGGGGTGTCACAAAAAACTCGGCATATCTGGGAAAACTTCGTAAAGGGGTCAAAACTGACCAGTCGTATTTCCCTATATAATCTTTGTATTTTATGGGAAAAACATAGGGTCATTTCAACGCAGACTTTAGGGTACTTAAACTCAGTATATCTGGCTAATTTTTTGCATACTCTTAGGTAAATGGCTTGACCTTTAGGGAAAACTGTCGGTTTTACTCAAAGCCCTCGACGAGGGCTAAAAAGTGACCGCGAGTGAAATTCTCTTTATATGAGCTCTATTACGAAAAATTTTTTCCTCCGACGACCCCCCTTGATATTTTGTGAGGTGGTAGGAGAACGCCTTGGGGTGACACAAAAAACTCGGCATATCTGGGAAAACTTCGTAAAGGGGTCAAAACTGACCAGTCGTATTTCCCTATATAATCTTTGTATTTTATGGGAAAAACATAGGGTCATTTCAACGCAGACTTTAGGGTACTTAAACTCAGTATATCTGGCTAATTTTTTGCATACTCTTAGGTAAATGGCTTGACCTTTAGGGAAAACTGTCGGTTTTACTCAAAGCCCTCGACGAGGGCTAAAAAGTGACCGCGAGTGAAATTCTCTTTATATGAGCTCTATTACGAAAAAAATTTTCCTCCGACGACCCCCCTTGATATTTTGTGAGGTGGTAGGAGAACGCCTTGGGGTGTCACAAAAAACTCGGCATATCTGGGAAAACTTCGTAAAGGGGTCAAAACTGACCAGTCGTATTTCCCTATATAATCTTTGTATTTTATGGGAAAAACAGGGTAATTTCAACACAATTTTTACGTTACTTAACCTCTGTACATCATGCTAATGTTTTGCATACACTTCTATAGATGACTAGGCCGTATGGAAAAACTGTTGGTCAGACTCAAAGCCTTCGACCAGTGCTAAAAGATGACCGCGAGTGAAATTCTCCTTATATGAGATATATATAAATAAATTGACGATCGATCCCCTTAATATTATTTGAGGTCGTAGACCGACCCTGGAGGGTAACAAAAAAACTTTATTCCCGTCGGAAAAAGCCATTGTAGACGTTAAATATGTTTATATATCGTATTTTCTTATATAAGCATAGTAACTGTTTAAAAAAAAAAGTAAACACTGACATACGTCATTCGGTTAATTTTCAAGGGAGGTAACCTTTTTAAATAATTATTTTTCAAATAATTGTATACTATTTTAAACAGAAACAGAAAACGACAAAGTATAGCATTTGTTTTAAAAAAAAATAAGTTGTTAATTAAGCTACGTATCATAATTAAATAAAAAATTAATTTTAAAAGTCAATGTAATATAAATTGTGAGATATACTGTTCACGGAACCTCTGTAGTTCTATTTCCATTTTAGTTATAAATTGCGTATTTTCGAAAGCGGATATTAAACAACATACAACATCTTCTCTAAAATTAGCATTACTGTTTAGATTTAAGAACTCCACGCCTCATCCATCACCAAATAATTAGTATTCAAATTATCAAATGTTTTTGAAAACCTAAGCGAAGCTAGGCAGAATGCCTAGTATATATATATATATATATATATATATATATATATATATATAAATAAATAAATATATATATATATATATATATATATATATATATATATATATATATATATATATATATATATATATATATATATATCCTTTTAAGAAGAAGACAAGGTTACACTTTTGCATGTGCTGTTAGATATGTCAGATAAAATATAAATGAAGATTGCATTTGAAATGGGACCATTTTTTTGTCTGAAGTAGACTTTAGCAACCCTTGCCTCAAAGCTCAGTCCTGTGGTGAATGTATCCAGACTTCGCCAGACTGTAGTTGGTGCGCTGCTGAGGTATGTCCCAAGGATACACACAACACTTATTTGGCATTAATTTAAAATCATAACTGTAAATAATGAGATAATGCTATATTTTCTTTGATTACAAAAGTATAATCTGGAACCACTAGTGACTAGCAATTCTATTATAAAATGAATAACATTAGACTTAGACTAATTAAATACATCTGAATGACCACAACACTGTGTTAATGGTAACAATAGATTTGATTAAAGCATATTTATGTTTTGAGTTTTGTAATTTGATCACATGGAATTTTTATCTCTTCCACTCTTACATAATGGATAATATTTCAGGTGCTCGACAGACAGACTCCCCGCTGTGACATTTATGAAAACCTGAGGAAAAAATGTGAGGACAAGGACATCTCCAACCCAAAATCACAACAGCAGGTGCTCAAAGATGATGCCTTTACCAGTGGTGGCGCTGGGGTGCCCCCCAAACAAGTCAAACCACAAGATTTGACCTTTCAACTCAGACCAAGTGAGATTTATAATGTCATTGAACTTATCATATATTTTATTCTTATTTTCTGAAACACTTATAATCATTATAATAAAAAAAAAACAACCCATAACTGACTTCCAAATGAGTGTGAGTTTTAAATTGAGTTTCAAAATAAAATCCAATAATTGACTTTTTTTCCAGATGAGTTAGTGAGTTTTAATCTGAGTTTCTCACAACAAGCTGACTACCCAGTAGATCTGTACGTCCTCTTAGATCTCAGCTATGGAATTGCTAGACAGAAAGAAGCACAGGAAAGATTAATAGCTTTAGGAGCAGACCTTCGTAAGTGTGAAAACATTATTTTTTAATTCAGTAATTCACTGTTTACTTGATAGGGCTTGTATTATTACAAGAGTTTTTTTTTTTTTTTACCTCTTGCTAATATTAATAGGAAAAAGGAAATTGAAAATCTAAGTAATTTATTTTCTGAATCATCACTTTTGTTATTTTAACTACTTATCATGTTACATTGGGAAGGGAATATCCCACTGCCCTTGAATATTTACTTGAAATAGTATGTAATAATATATTAGTAAAATAAAGAGTTGAACAGAAAAAATTTTTTTGGTTAAAACAATCACTAAACAAGTAAAGTTCTATTAAAAAAAACATGTAAAAACTGCCTTGAGACATAAAAAAACACATACTAGAGCACACACAATACTGCCACTTCCCCTAATCAAAAACCTGACTACACCTCTATATAGTACACATATTTTTAGGTAAACGGAAAAAAAGTCACAGGAAAAAAAAACACAGAAAAAAAGTCACAGTTTTTGCTAGGAAAAAAAGTCACGGAAAAAAAGTCACAATGGTAAAATTTTAACGGAAAAAAAGTCACAGAAATAAAGTCACAGAAAAAAAGTCACAAAAATCTTTTTAGAAATATTTTGACTTGTTTGTTAAGAATTGTAAAATGTTGTGTTTATTGTTGTGGGTTGTATTTTTTAATAGCATAAATTATTTATAGACGTTAAAAGCATTATGGTTTATAAAAATTTTAAGTAAAAATACTCTAAGATAATTTACACAACAATCTCAACTTTTATTACGTATTTAGTTAAATAGGGACCTACGCAGTAGAAAAGTTAACTATAAAAGAAATTTAGTCACATCGTTGTGTTTTGCATATGTTTCGCCGTAGGCTATTCTCTGCTCGGCCTCCCCTCAGTAGGCATTGTCCGAACATATTTTGTGTTGTTGACATTTTGTATCAATGACAGCCTTTGAACCTTGTCGGCTCTCTGTTTTGATCCTAAGTTTTGTTATGTAATGAGCGTGATAAATGTGGGCAGTAAAGGTGGTTGAACTAAGCATAACTATTGTTGCGATGAGTTGAGGGCAGTAATTCAGATGACCTTACCATTTCACGGTAATTTAATTTTTAAAAAAACACGATGAAAACCGTGGACATTCTATTAAATGCTCTAAATATTATGTTTAACATAATTACAATCTACATAATTCATACTAAATATTTTTAGGTGAATTATAAAAATTACTATGCGTATACAGCCTACACACATTACATTACATTCAATTAATCCTAAGTTAATCTGCACTCTCTGAATATTTAATACATACTAGTATTAACAAATTTCATGCAAATATATATTTGTGACTTTTTTTCCTGTGACTTTTTTTCCTGTGATTTTTTTTCCTGTGACTTTTTTTCTGTGTTTTTTTTTCCTGTGTTTTTTTTTCCTGTGACTTTTTTTCCTACAATCTATTTTTACGAACAACAGCTTTTAGCCTGCAAAGCATTACCAACAATTTTAGACTGGGCTTTGGAACTTTTGTGGACAAACTTTTGATGCCTTACACAGCCTGGACTGACCAGATGTAAGTTGTGTTTGTCTAAGATGTTGTTGATATCCACAGGTACCTGTAGTGGCTATTTAAATAGGGGGTGGGGTAGAGTTTGTGAGGATCTGGTATTCACTCTGTCAGTCAAGCTTTAGAGAATCAGTTATTTATAAATATATGTCTTTTATAACCAGAGGGATTGCTAGATAATTACTGCAGATTAGTGGGTTTTTGTTTTATATTTTTCTATTGGTTAGTAATCTTTTATAACAGTGAGCACCTCTAAAACGTATTAGCAAGCACAAAATGACTATAGCAGGAGACATTTTTTTTATTATGAGAGCCCTACTATGTGTTCTTATGACTTGTATTGTTGTTATATTTGTACACTTGAATGAGGGTATGGCTTATTGACAATTAGGTGTACAAGTATTAGTCTTGCAACACCACAAAGAAATTTAATGAAGATAGTAAAGTTAGTTCATAAGACTGGCTAACTCACATACACAAATTATACTTTTTTTACAAGCTTTTATTTAACTCACTTCCTCGTCAGTCTGTCTGTCTAGACGGAAACGCAGGAGTGAAAATTCGGACAGTTCTACTTTACCGATACGATTCACAGTTGGCACGTGGGTCAAGACATGAAGACAATGCAATCTGAAACTAAATTTGACTTAATTGAATGCCTAATTGATTTTTTATGAATTAATTAAAATTTGGACCGAATTAGTAGGCATGTCTAGCCAACCACACCACACGCGTCATCAATAGCTGCGCCATCACGACCACGTAATGGCTGCGTTCAAAAACCATTGCGCGCCTACTGAACGTGATATTCAGTAGGCGCGCAATGGTTTTTAGTCATGTAACTCTATTGTAGATAAAACATGTAAAGTACTGAAAAAAAAATTCATAAAAAACGTTTTAATAACAAGCTTTTATGTAATGATGCACTAAAAAGTAGAAAATAAATTATAGACTACTATTTAAATAACTATAAAGAAAAGCGTGGGTGTCTTCCTTAACATTAGTAAAGGTATCCAATAGATACTAAAGTGACCCACGCTTTTCTTTATAGTTATTTAAATAGTAGTCTATAATTTATTTTCTACTTTTTAGTGCATCATTACATAAAAGCTTGTTATTAAAACGTTTTTTATGAATTTTTTTTTGTGCAGTTGCAAACTCTGGAAACTTTAATATATTTTCATCATAAATCCAGACAAACAAGTTACACAGTCTCTTAGATAACAAATATTACTTATTACTTAACCCAAACCTAACCCAGTCAGATACCTAACAATTAACATTAATCCTGTATCCCTATCATAACTCATAACCCTTACAAATAAATGCTTTTTGTTTAATTACCTTTTTTTAATGAGCCTTAAAAATAGTGTATGTTCTGCTAGTTGTCAACAGTTTTCTTTTGTTTTCATTTAGGTTACAGTATCGGTGTCCTACCAGAAACTGTAGCAAGCCACATGACTATAAGAATAGAATGAATTTAATGGAGAATACTCAAAACTTTGCTGTAAGTTATCAAAGAAAGAAGAAAACATTCAGCCAGGGGCGTAGCAAGGGGGGTGGGGGGGCGGGGGGGTGCGGACCGCACCGGGTGACACCATTTAGGGGGGTGACACCAAGGCAAAAAATAGCAAAATATATGGAGAAAAAGTTAAGGTGGGGGGGGGGGGGGGAAATCGAAAGTTTGATGGGGGGTGCAAATCGAAAACTTGAGGGGGGGGGGGTGCAATCGAAAGTTTGAGGGGGGGTGCAAATCGAAAATTTGAAAGTTTGTCCCCGGGAAGGGTCGCTACGCCTCTGGGGGGTGACACCATTATGTGCCGCACCGGGTGACACCCAACCTCGCTACGCCACTGCATTCAGCTACACATTTAATATTTTAATTAATATTATTTAATTATTTAATATTTCCCATACATTTTTTAGATTCTAAATTTCTAATAATGCACAGTTTTTATCTTCTTCTTGTAATTGATTGATTATTTCTAATTATTCAATGTACTATTTAATAAACAAAATGCAGATAAAAATGAGAGAAGCTTTAGAGGATGTGTCACAAAGTATGGATGATGCTGAGGGTGGTTTGGATGGCCTTGTACAGTCCCTAGCTTGTGATGTAAGTTTTTAAATTTACTTTTTATGCATTGCTAATCATATCTATCAATGTAATGACTTGCTCATAAAATTTTGATCTAACCATAATCTTTTCAAATCTATAACTTTAAACATACTGTTATGTCATTTTATATTATTTATCAATCTTTTTAATTTTTTAAAATTGTACAGCGAATTGGTTGGAGAGATGTTTCTAGAAGAATTATTGTCTACTGCTCAAATTCTTTGTTTCATCTGGCAGGAAATGGAAAGGTGAAGCTGAAAAAAAGGCTTTTTTAAAAAAGTTTAGTCTTGAGTTAACAATTCTGTTTGGTAAACAACCTTACAATTATTACTTTCTCGTATATACGAAGTATAGAGACAGTCTTGCACCACCCTGAGTTGGAAAAACATAGTTTTGCAATCTTGTCCATATATCTTTGTGTGTGTGTGTGTCTGACTGTAAAGATGATAACTTGAGTACCTTTACAGCTAGGTTGAATGTGAATTTATAAAGTACTAATAATATTGCGCATTATTATACACATTTTGTTTTGCGTTCACTTGGCGTGCAATTCTTTTTTCTACGAGATTATATTCTATTTTAAAAGTTTAAGTAATTAAAAATGGATTAAAAATCATGTCTATTTCCCAAGTTGCCATCCCCTGTTGTTTCATATAAGAATTTTTGAGAAAGTTTAGGGGAGATCACTCCTGGATTATTTTTATTTGTATATACATACTAGCTGCATCCCGTGCTCCGCCACGGTAAATCTTTTTTAAATGTACCAACTTTGGAACAGAACAAAACAAACAAAAACATAACACAAACACAAACAAAACACAACCACAACACAACACAACCACAACACAACACAACAAAACAAACAAAAACATAACACAAACACAAACACAAACAAAACACAATCACAACACAACCACAACACAACCACAACCACAACGACAACACAACCACAACATAACCACAACACAACACAACCACAAACACAACCACAACACAACCACAACACAACCACAACACAACCACAATACAACCACAACACAACACAACCACAACACAACCACAACACAACCACAACCACAACACAACCACAACACAACCACAACACAACACAACCACAACACAACCACAACAATAGAATCACCAACGAACAACACGCTTTTCTTAGGCATCCGCGCCCAGAGAGAGCCTTTCCAGCATTCTCTATACTATAATTCTAAATTTTCACCATCTGTTAACACCGAAAAACAAAAACAAAAAAATAGTGATTTTGAGAGATCATAGTCTAATTAGAAAATAATGTAAATAATCTTAACATTTTTTCTATTTTACTTAACATATAATAATCAATGTGGAAGTAATAAAAAAAATTAACTTAATTTATTGAGAGTGAGTTGAATATTTAAAAAAAAACATTTTCCCATACGTCCGCGCTCAGAGAGAGCCTTTCCATTATTCTCAAAAAGTCTAATTTCACCATCTGTTTTCATAACACCGAAAAACAAAAGCAAAAAGATAGTGATTTTAGAGAAATCATAGACTAATTAGAAAAAAAAAATAAATAATATAAATAATCTTAACATTTTTCTCTTTTAATTATGAACATTAACATATACTAATCAATGCGGTAGTAATACAAAAAAGATTAACTTAAATTATTGTTGAGATAAATATATTTTCAAATTACCTCCCTTGAAAAAAATTACCACAAAAAAAAGTTGAATTAATTAGTTTTTTCGACCTACTTTTATGGAAATGTATCCATTTTTTCTAGGAATATAAACTAAAATGATATTTGACATTGATCTTTTTAATATGTTTTAGCAATGTGCGAATATTTAATATTTTCATAACGTTATGCAAAAAAGTAAACACAGTGTCATTTATAAAATAGCTCTATGCCGCTATATAAACAAACCCTACTCTAACACTTATAATAAGACACTGCGGTGCACTGAAAAGCACAGCATGGTGCGTAGTTTACTTTTATAGTCCCAAAATCTATAGCGATGACGGACGGACGGACGGAAGGAAGGAAGGACAAGCACAGCCCGCTTATATTATAGATCATTTAAAAAAAAACATTTCAAGAAAAATTGTGAATAAATTTAATCATTCAATGGCTACTTCTAAAAATGATTTTGTTTTTCTACCATTGTTCTACAGCTTGGTGGGGCAACCAGGCAAAATGATTTGAAATGTGCTCTTAATAACAAAGATGAATATGAAAATGAAAAGATTTTTGTAAGTTCACAATGATAATTAAATCTGGCAAAGTAGATAAAGTGTAAGTCGAGTCAAAGTCCTAAATAAGATCTCTATCAAATCAAAAGTAAAATGGGCAGAACATTGTCAGGGGGTACACTCCAATTGCACTTTTGATAAGATGTATGTTTATCTGAAAATCTAACTACAAATATTTAGTAAAAATTGTATCTTTTACTAAATGAACAAGTTTTTAATTGAAAAATTAAACATATAGATCTAGATATCTAGTTCTGATAAAATCTACTCTGACTTGTAATTTCAACTCTCAGGACTATCCATCAGTGAGCCAGATTGCTCTTAAACTGCGCGAGAAAAAAGCCAATGTTATTTTTGCAGTCATGAGCAATGTTTCAGAACATTACCATCGTCTTGTTTCATTTCTTGATGGTGCTGTTGTGGGGGAACTGGCAGAAAACTCACAGAATATTGTACAGCTGATCAATGAGAAGTACAAAGTAAGTTGGTCTGCTTTTCTTTATAATGTTGACCTGTATCAATTAAATAAAATATTAAATGAAATGAAAGTATTTTTAAAATATTTAAATTGATGAGCTCTTATTAAAGTACTTTGCATTGATATCTCAGTGTTGATTAATGCCAGTTGCACTATGAATTTTTTGCATCACATAATACATGTCCTTTGCTCACTCTAGGAGCTTCGGTCTCGTATCAAGTTCCAGACAGAAAATGCAGACTATGTGGACGTAATTTTCAAGTCCAAGTGTGCAGGGTGAGAAAATAAATGTAGACTCTATGTTGATAACAATTTCTGTTTGTTTTTTCATTTAAAGTATTAAAATATTCCAAAATATTTTTTTAAACCTCATAATTTTAATAAATCAAATTATTCTAAACACTTTGTTTCACTAATTTTTACTTACTACAGAAATATCCTAAAAGAAACAAACATGTGTGAAAATTTAGAAATCAAACAGACGGTGAGTTTATATATTTACCAAACCAAACAAACATGTTTAAATTATTTAACTGAAACATAACAGCTATATTTTTAAAGTTTAAAGTACATTTGAGAACTCAGACTAATAAAAGTTGCTTTATTTGTTTTGCAGAGAAGATAATAATTCCATTGTAACTAAAATTATTGAAAATTTTAAAATGTGTTTATTTCATTTGGGTCAGCATTTATGTATAGCAAGGGTCTCCAAACTTTTCAGTCCGAGGGCCGCATTGACTATCAAATATCAGTTCGGGGGCCATAGTTTCTTCAAGGCATATCTTCGGTGCTATGGAGCCCTCCTTCCTCCCAACAAAATATAATTTATATAGAAATATATACAAATTTCAATTACCGCCCCCCCCTCCCACCCACCCCCAGAAAAAAATACTGAAAGAAACACTGTCGGGTGCCGACAACACACTCGAGGTCCAAGTTTGCTCTCAAATTATTCTTCACGTATTCTATATCTATGGATGAGCCCATGTTATCCTATTTAAATTCACCATCTTCAACACAGAATTCAGTAAACTGCTAATGTTTCACATATTTAGCACTCAAAGCTTGCTGGTGAATAATACAGTGCATGAACATTGGTTGTAGAATATTTTTCTCATTCGCTTGTCCAACCAAGCCTTTCTTTATGCTACTCATGCACTTTTCTCCATCAACAGTCAGGTAACTGAAGCTAGTGCATTCCACGTTTTTAATCAGCAAGTGTTTTTTAACTCATTGAATATATCCTCTCCGGAAACAGTGCCCTACAAATTATGTAGGGAAGTCAGCTCTTGTGTTATGTTCATGTCTTCATACACACCCCTAAGGAATTCAAGCAGTTGAGAGGTGGAACAGCCGTCCAGCGACTCATCCATTGCAATTAAAAAACAGTGAAACTTGCTTGCATTTTTCGCTTTTTGAGTCATGATGTTTACACCTATGTCTGCAACACGGTGGGCAACGGTATTTGAACCCAAAGCTATATTTTCAAATTGTTTTGAATTTTCTGGGCAAAGTTCCTCAGCCACTTCTAACAGACATTTTTTCCATGGACAAAAAGATCTCAGCGGGCCGGATGAGAGAACTTTGCGGGCCGCATCCGGCCCACGGGCCGTAGTTTGGAGACCCCTGATGTATAGAATCTTTTATCACCCTTGTCATTGTATATTTGTCTCTTTCCACCAGGTTGATTTTAGTGTTACTCTGATGGTACACAGTGATATTTGTAAAGGTCATACAGGAACTGTGGAGAAAAATGTCACAGTGAAAGCTGTAGGTCTCAATGAACAGCTGCTGATTCGGCTGAATGTAACTTGTGGGTGTGAGTGTGAGCAGCCAAGTAAAAAAGTGAGAACAATTTTTTTTACAATATTTTTTACCTGGTTACTAAGATGGTCCGGATAAAAATAAATTTGATACTTTTGACAGCAGCATGCTGCATGCAGGGGTATAATTGAATCTGATATAGTAAGGTATTTTTTACCAATTTTAAAATTTGTAGTTAATTAAATTTGTTCCATTAAGTGAAAAAAAATAGAATGGAGAAGAGTCGAAGCTACGCATATCACTCTATCACCACCTAAACGTGATTTCTTATTACCTGCAGTTTTACATAATCATATTTTTATATTGATGAAAACTGACAATCCCAGGAGAAGTTGTATATTAGTATGCTTAGCATTATTCTCAATAAAGCACTTTTGTTGCCCTGCTTCATTTAAATAAATATTATTTACTTTGATTAATTAACATAATCATAATCTTATTAAGGAGCCAAACAGTCAAAAATGCAATGGTGGAAAAGGAACATTCGAATGTGGTGTTTGTAGTTGTAATTCAGGATGGTATGGTCGAAAGTGTGAATGTAGCGAAACAGAAATTTCAAGTCATGAGTCCCTGCTATCATGCAGAATGAGGTATGCACAATTTTTTATTTATATTTTAATGTCTAGTAACTTATGACTGAATATTGACACAATTCTCATATAAAAAGTGAATGGGAGGCATCACAATAAATGCAAGCTATACAATTGTTTATTTAAAATAAGTTAAAAGTAATAGAAAGTATACATTTTAAATTATGTCATTATATTAAAACAGTTTGTTAAAATGTAACTAACCTGTTATTATGAACCTCTCAGTAAGAATGACACAACAACCTGCTCTGGGAAGGGAGAATGTATCTGTGGGGAATGTAAGTGCTTTACACTGGCAGCTGATTCAGCCCAGAAATACAGTGGCCCGTATTGTGAATGTAACGACTACAGCTGTCCCTCAGGACCCAGTGGCTTATGTGGAGGTATGGAGAGTCTCTTTGATTTAACCTAGCTAGTGAGCTGTGTGGAATATGTTAACATACCTTTAGTGACTGCTACAAAATAATTGCATTACGCTCAATAGCAGTTTTATGCATTTTTAATAATGTATAGTTTCAGCACATAAACCATACCTATCATTTTCTTAAAAATTACATGGATACATGTTTGTATCTTGGTTCTAAGAAATGAATAACTACAAACAGTTCTGTATTGAAGGTAGGCGTTGTTAGGTCAGTAAAGCTCATGGTTTCTAAAAAGAAAAGGATAGAGTTCAACCACTTGACATATGAGGCTCAATAGATTGGGACAACAACCCATCTGGGAAAGAAAACTTTAAAATCATACAACTGCTGACTTTTTAGTTTGTTTTTGGATGGACAAAGGCTATGGAAGAAAATCTAAAAAGAAAAGTAGGCTGAAATCATTGTCATCAGCCTATTTTGCACATAACAGGTTAACATGAAATACTTAATTTAAATTGTGAGACGGAAAATCCTATCCAACATTAGAATTAAGAATGAATAAGTTTTGTATTGTACTATGATGCAGAAACATTTAACTATTTTCTCCATATCTAATGCATTGATTATTGATAGCATTTTATTTTGTTTTTCAAACTGAGAATTGCCTATAGATCTAGATGTTTTGAATTGTGTGCCAAAATAAGTTTATAAATTTTTGTAGCTATAGTGTAAAAGTTTTTCCAAATTTAAACACTATGAAAAAAGTTCAGTACCCTAAACAAAACTTAGAAATGCTGTTTTTAAATTTGATTGAATTTATGTTTGCTCTTCACTAAATCTAAAGCTTGAAGAATAGAGGTGTAGAAAATTGTGGTCGTTAAAAGCCATTAAAATTATTTTACACTAGTTAATTTATTTTTTAAAAAAATGATAGGCTAGTTTTCAACGCAGGTGATACATTGTGTGTTTTTCAATTAAAAATACTTTGGACTAACTAAATGTTTTTACAATATTATAATAACTATTAAATAATTTTATTATTAAATAATTTAAAAAAAAAACTTCAGTAGGATTTTTAAAAAATGTTTTAACTATAATATGTCATAATATTTAAATATATATATATATATATATATATATATATATATATATATATATATATATATATATATATATATATATATATATATATATATATATATATATATATACATTGTTGTAGGTGATTATAAAGGAACTTGTAGCTGTGGCAAATGTCGGTGCAAAGAAGGCTGGTCAGGAGATGACTGTGAATGTACAGAAAGCAATGAGACGTGTAAAACAGAAAAAGGAGTTAGTTTAATGTCATTTTAAATAGAATAAAATATAAAACATCAATAACCTCACAGTTCAAAAATATAAGTATCAAGCTATTTTTAAATTAACACTATTTAAAAAATGTATGTTATTATTTATCTCCATTCATAGTTTTAAACAAAGTTTTTGAACTGAGTAATTGCTGAATTATTATATAATGTACAATGCTGTTTGTTAAGAATTAATAATTAAAATTTAGTGTACTATTTTTAACCTGCTCTAGCAAACTTGCTAATTCCATTTTTCAAAACAATCTTATCAGGAAATCTGCAACAACTTTGGGACATGTAAATGTGGCAAATGCTCTTGTGATCCACAATCTAATATGATTGGACCAACATGTGAGGATTGTCCAGTAAGTTTTGAAATGACTTAGAACATACCTAGGGCCTACAATATCTTCTTGAAATGAATATTTTTAAACATAAATTTTCTAAATAAATTAGGTGCACCTTAAATAAAAACAAAACTAAATGTTTATCTTACACAAATTCAACTGCTATTTTTCTTTTATTTTGCCATAGACCTGCCCTAGTCAGTGCAGTGAGTATATTGATTGTGCCCAGTGTAAGGCACATGGGACAGGCAAACACAACAGAGAGGAATGTGATAAGACATGTCAGAATGTCATGATAGTAGACACACTTGAAAGTATGTTCTCCAGTTCTTGATGTGAAATTTAAAACTTCATTTTGAAGGAAATTTAAAAAAAAAAAAAAATTAGTGGAAAACAACTTCAATTGATAGACTGCATTATTGTAATAAATGTTAAGTTCCAATGTTTGTTATTGTAATGATAATAAAATAATTTTTATCACAGCTTTTGCTTAATAGGTGATTTGTAATCAATAATTGCTGTGAAAAATGTATTAGTTTGCTATTGTAAGTTAATACAATTAATATAACTGGGTTGGAGTGTAAGAAGATTATTTAAATACTTTGGTTTCTATTTCTTAGTCCGATATTTATGACTAGTGACAAATAGTTTTGAATAACAGAAGAAAACTATCTAAAAATGTGTTTTCAGAGGAAAATGGTGTAAGAAGTTGTGAAGGTATAGATGTTGATGCCTGTGCTTTTTACTTCACCTATCAATACAAATCAGATAATACTGTTTTAATAAGAGCACAGAAAACAAAAGGTATTTTGATGTATGCTATTCTAAATTTAGTCCAGGCAGAATTTATGCATGTTTAATCAAGTCAGGTAGATAATTATATATCTTTTTTCTTGAGCATAGATATTCCATTTTTATCATAACATCAGAAGTAAATCTGAATAATTGTAAAAACTCAGATTGCCCTGAAAAGCTGAACTTGGCTGCAATCATTGGTGGAACTATAGCTGCTGTTGTGCTTATCCCACTTCTCATTCTTTGCCTCATCATTTTTCTACGGAACCGCCAGGATGCCAAAGAATATGCCGAATTTTTAAATGAGAAAAACAAAGCTCAATGGGATACGGTAAGATTTTGTTTTATATTTTATTTTTAAATTTTACACATATTTGGTTTTCAATTGATACTCTTTGGGAGCTTTTTGTCCGTTGGCGTCACTAGTTCTAGGAGACCAGAGGCTATTCTTTTCACACAAAATTATTCAGGGGTGCCACTCATTTTTTAAGTGAATCCTGAAAATGAATCCCAAAATTTTACCAATCCTGAAACTAAAATTTGAAATTTTTGAAACCCTGAAACTTAATTCCGCGCGGAATTTCAAAATAAAATGGACTGTTATTTCATTATTTTTTGAGACATTTGATTCATATATTATTATGTTCAATTTACATGTCTTTAAAATGGATTTATTTTCTTTGTAACAAGCTTCAAATAATAATAATTAATCTTTAAAGGATTGTGCTTACAACAAAATTAGTTTACAATGTTAGTCCCATATCTAGGCCTACCCCATAATGTGCTATTGTAGAACTCCCCCCCCCCCCCCAGCCAGCTTTTATAACATAACTATTTAATTTTTTAGAACTTCCTAGCTTGAGTTAAAGTGTGTAGTCAGCCAACTGTTAAGTAACAAATATTTTGCTAACCTCTATGTCTTGTTATTGAATAATAAGCCCACTATATGCAGACCTCTAATAAGATTGCCACTGTATTAAAATACAGGGTTGACTTACTGTAGCTATTCAAGGCTTTAATTATTAACAGCCACAACAAAAACCTTAAACCCTGTTTTCCCAATCAACACGAATGGGGTCATCCATAAATGATGTCACGCTTTTTTGACGATTTTTACCTCCCACCTCACCTCGGTCACATATCGTCACAAAAAGCCAGACCCCGCCCTCTAAAATGACGTCACACCTCAACATACACCCCCCCCCCCTAAAAATTGCAGTAGAATTTTTCTTAAAATACGCTATCTTTCCAAAAATCTTGTCTGACCTCTGTCAACATAGAGTATTTTAATCAATGCCTATTACACTTTATTGAAACAATATTCTAAAACGCGAAATAACGGCTAAAATTAGTTTTCTAACATAGCTTTTCGATAATGCAAAAGTGTGATGTCACACCATCTGAACCCCTCCCCCTCATGACAAAATTACGGACCCCCCTCCCCCTACGAGTGTGACGTCATTTATGAACGACCCCAATGCCCCCACCTAGGATATACATGATGACGTGAAGAAATATCGTGGAAGTTTTAAGTTCATATCGCGGAATAACAGAATTAAGTTAATTTTAAAAATAATTTTAGAAGTAACTACGCTAGTAATACTCATGTCAGAGATGTAGCCGCCCGACTAAGTGAAAAGCTGATTTTTTTTTTACAAGCGGTTGGGAGGGGGCAGTGATAGCGGCTATTTTCAAGGTTGTTTAAACATTTCAATGACGTTTTACCAAAGTAAAAAAAAAAAAAAAAATTAGATGTAGACCCTGCTAGATCGTGTAACTAAATTATAGCAGGCCTACATATTTTTTTTACTGATATAAAACGATGCAGATCTAATTTTTTTTCTTGAATTAAAAATAACCACGTTAAAATTAAACAGCGCTTGTAATTGTAGAACTGCCTTGACCGAGAGACACGACTCAGACTGTGCTTGCGTGGTCTCGTGACGTAGGTCTTACGGTCAGCGCGACCTTGAAGAAGCGGGTACGTGGTGGTAAAAAGTGACGGTTAAGTTGAGTGAAAACAGCACAGTTCTATTTCATACATAAAATAGTCCTCCAAATAGATTTTTTCTTTTCTTTTTGTAATACCAAATACAAAAAAAATTATTTTTTTTATCGGAGCAAAATCTTTGTTTTTTTTAAAAGACGATCGGCGATGCTAGTGAGCTAGATCTAGTAATTGTAGAATTTAGTTGTTTTATTACACAGCCTAGCGGTATCCCATTGATGACATCACGTAAATAATACGAGTTTTACCCCCAACCCATATCGTCATAAAAAATAGCCAGACAGCCACACCACGAATGACATCAAAAAGTTTCGTCTACACTGTAGACTCTACAGTCTCACCCATCTGATACAGCCGATTTGTATTTGGTTCTTGGCCCACGCGTGATATTGTTGCTGACGTCATTTACTATTCATTTTTTTCGGCAAAGGCTATTGGCGGGAGTGTTGATGATAAAAACAATTTTTACAATGCCAACATTTTCAAGCTTAAAACGATCTAAATTTTTTTTTAAACTGCAAACCCGGAAATTTTCAAACTCAAATCTTGCGAATCCGGAAAGGGAAAAAAATATGATTCTCGAATCCGGAAATCCGGGATATCCCGGAAAAGTGGCACCCCTGAAAATTTTACTTAAACTTTGCTAACCAAGTTATAAAGTTCTAGGATAAAACTTATTTAAAAAAAAAATTAATGGAAAGGTTTAATGAAAACATTACCACAGTTTCTAATCTGTTCATCTCTTGCAGGGAGAAAATCCTATCTACAAGGAGTCACAAACTACTTTTCATAATCCAACTTTTAGAGTGACCTGAACTTCAGCTATTTAGAAAAACAATTTGGTGTTCACTGTTTTCAATAGTTTTATTAGGGTGTGAAAGAACCAGAACATCTGACATTTGCCAAACCAAACTCTGCCTTCAATTAACTGCTCACCTTGCCAGTAGTATGCAAGGCATAAAAATATTTAATCTTGATAGTTCATCTTCATTTCTAACTATTGTGAATGCCTTTGTTATTAAATGTGTTTAAATGTAACTTATTGTAACTTAGTAAGTTAATTAAGAGTAGTGTTTCTTGAAAATTGTTTTCATATAGTAATATATAAATATAGCAGTTGAGCTCTGAGCATTCCTCTTTTGCAATTAAATGCATGAATAAATTGGAATAAAATAACCCTTGTGATTATTTGACATAGGCATAGCTTATTAAAATGATTTGTTAAAACAAAGTCAATTCCTTAAAATCACAAACTATGTATTTTAATTTCCAGATTATAAGATAAGCTAAGAAATATAGGCCTAGAAATGCTTTTTAGAACTATAACTAGCTTGATAAAAAAAATTTTGCCATTTCATTCTATATAGTCTTTATGATGTTTGTTGATTTTATTTTTTGCTGTGGCTTTTTAATAATAAAATAACATTAAACTTAAAAAAAATATTTATAAAATCAAAACTTTGTTTATAGTTTATAGCATTCAAAGCAGTGCTAATAATACTATTGAAAATATGATTGATTTCTAATCTCTTTTTCTGCCAGCTTTATTTACATTATAGAGTTATCCCCCAAGCAGGCTATTTAATTAACCTTCATTTTTAAAATATGGAAATTATTTAAATGGCTTGAAAAAATGCAACGTTTATTTATTATTTTTTTATTTAGCTTTGAACTCATGCATGCATTTTCAGTATGCTTCAAGTAATTAATGAACATAAATGTTTTACGCTGTTATTGTTTTCAAATTGTCATGCAGCTTTATATCAACTGATCATACTTGCTGCTTCCAAAAACAATAAATAAATAAAATTGATTTTCTTGTGTTGCATCAAGAGGGTAAAAAATATATCAATGTTAACACTGTTAAATAAAAATGTTTAGATGAACTCTACTTCATCTCATGTGAAAAGATGATCAGCAAAATCAAAGTACTCTGGCTTTTAGTTCTGGTGAAGCTCCACTGGATTCCTGTGTCAGCAGTTATACTATCTTTTTTCCAGGCATATTTTACTTTGCCATGGGCAGAAATCACTGCTGTGGGCCACAGCCAGGCAGTAGATCACACCAGTGCTAATCTACATGACTCAGTCCATCAAGCTGGTTTGGCAGATGGGCATAAAACACACTATCCCTTCATAAAACATGGTCAAAGGAACACTACATTATACAGTTACTGTTAAAATTTCTTGGTGCATAAATAAAAGCTTGTCCTTATATACACCCTCTCCCACTATATATCATAATTTTAACTTCAATGTTTATAGAAGTTATAACAGACAACTAAAAGAACAAGAAAAATCAAATTTCAATATATAGCCAGTATTTTATTACACAAATCTTAAACACATTTAAGACTTTCACATAATGCCAAAGTAACAAGGACTGTTTTATTTAAAAATTAAGTGCAACAGCTCGATTTCAATTTGTTACTTATGGAATCAAATTAGGGGAAGAAAAATCTGTGTCAAAAACTGTACAAGACACTATTTACATGAAATAAGTCTGTTCAGACTGGCTTTCTGTGTGTGATGAAAACAAAACCACATGTATGGATCAAATATAAATGAAAACAAGCAACTACATGTTTACCAAAATAATTGCTGAAACAAGCCTATGTACAACATGGCTACAAGATACAAGGAGACAAAATTTAGATTAAAAATACCTTTAAGGTACAATACTTATCTTGTCACAGCAGCTAACATGTTTTCTTTGTACCATACATTCACAAAGAATGTACTACAGTGTCATTAGTTTGATTAAAACATCAATATTATTTTGGCCTAATCAGTTCTTAAATTACATTATTTAATTGTAACTATCACATAATTTAATTTCAAAATGTGCTAATCAGAATAAATGTTATGATCTGATCCTTGGCAGACATTATCAACAAATTAACAACAAACAATATTTACAGGGAACTCAGCTAAAATATACACAACACAAAGAAGAATTATTAAAAAATGTTTGGTAATACAAACACTACAAAATAAAATTATAATATGAAATTAATTTTGAATTTAAAAAAAAAAAAAGAAAAATAGTGCCAATCTTATTATACCTTTATAACTTATTTACTACTATATCATTTTACAATATAAAAAAGTAGCAAGGAGTTGTACACGTTTACATTTCATAAGGTATAATAAGAATGGAAAAGCTGTTCTTGTTGGGTACAGATCTTGTACAGGAACCCACAGGTGGAACATTCAGCAGCTTGTCTCACTTTCTCTTGACCACACCAGTCCAGAGCTATGCATATTTAATTATTCCAGTACTGTGGAGCTCCATAATTTTTTGACCCACCTGTTTTAGACTGGCTGCCAGCTTGGTTATGGCCTCGTGAAGTTGTATTGTTGGACTCCTAAAAGTAATCATTGACAATATTTAACTAGGCATGGTGGTCATCAAATGTAAAAGTTATTATTTTAATAGTTTAAATATAATCTACCCTTATCCTAGTGGGTAAAAAAAAAAACAAAAAAAAAACAACAACCCCAAATCCAATTTGTATTCATCTACTTTAAAAACCTTAGAATACAGGATTATTTAAGCCAAAAACAAGCTGGTGCTACCTGAGAAGTTGGTCAGAATAAAAGTGTCCTCATACTACAGTCATGTAGTCAGAAGAACGAAAGTCATTTTTTTGTTTATCATCATACCAACTCATAGACATGTTTTCAATGGTTCAGAGGAAAATGTGCAAATAGAAAACTGCGCAAATGTAAACTCATTATACTTATAAATAATTGTCATTTTGTGGAAAAGTGATTTATGCTACAATGTATATGTGGTCATTCTATGCTGTCTATGTCAATAAATGCGCACACATTTTTCCCTGGCTCCGTTTTTTTAATTGCCATTTTAAAAACAAACTTTAAATTAAATACTGTACAAAACTTTGTTTATTAGCTTCCAAATAATTACCTTATTCATTTAAACATTTCAATGGGCGATCAAAAAGTACACAATCATCCTTCCCAAATGTACATATGAAAAATTAAGGCTTCCTAAGACCAACTGTATGTAAGCTATAAATTTTTTTTAATAGCTATAAACCGTTTGCTAAAACCCAGATAAAAAACACGCAGATTCTAAGATGTCAAAATATGTATTTGACAAAATAATATAAAAAATGTGCACTTTGTTACTCAGCTCACCTGTTGAATAGGATGGTGCATCATCTGAGAATGGGCCATTACGGGCAAAAATGGGGTCCCATAAGGTGTTGTGGGAGCTCCCATAGGTCCTGCCTGCGTGGCTGTAGCTAGAGGCAAATTGAAAGGTGGAGGGGTACCACCATGGTATGCCTGCTTGTCAAATGCCTGAGAAGATAAACGGATATCAAGCACTGAAGCCAAACCAAGATTAACTACTTTTAAACTTTCCAAATTGAAACAAAAAAGAAACTGAACTTTTAAAGCCAGGGAGGACAGAAAATGTCATAAACAGTAGAACATTCATTGTTGGGAAGGTAAAAAATAACTTTATCAAGCAGGAGCCAGATATTGCCTCTAACTGCCAGCCACTCACAACTGCAGCCTTAGCCAACATAAGGCAGTTTAGATCAATGATGTTAATTGTTTTTTTTTTAAAGAAACAAGCCAGCAAAAAAATAAAATAAACCAACCTGGCTATGAGTCTTGTTGTACGCATTAGGAGCAATTTCTGATGATTTTGTTCCTATAAAAGGTCCAAAAAAAATAAACTTTAAAAAAAAAGGGAAAGTTATCTACTTTTTGTAAGTTTAAAATATTTTCAACTATTCAGCACCTCATAAAAAACATTTTAGAAAAAAAAAGTAATAGGGTTTAAAATGCTAAATGATTGGTTAATTTGCAGGTCAAACTGTGCCCCTAGAAGGTTAGTAAATGCAAGATGACTGACTGGTAGACATACGTGTTCCTGAAGTATTTCCAGTGCTTGAAGAGCTGCCATAGCCAGTCTTTGAGAAATCTTGAGCTTGATTTAACTCCTCATATCCTAATAGGAATTGTAAATGTACAATTAGTTTAAAATTTTTAGCTTTTGTTTAAAAAAAAACAACAAAAAAAAAAAAAAATGTAATGAATATTGTTACCATATTATAGTCATTTTGGGACAAAAAGAGAATTTAGTAACTGCTACCATAAATGCTCAGATATCTCAAAAATACATCTAGGCCAAAAAAGTGGTAAGCAACAAATGATATTTTAAATGTTGGTCAGAATAAAAATGTCCTCATACCACAGGCATGTAGTCAGAAGAACGAAAGTCATTTTGAAGTTTCTCATCATACCAACTATTCAAAACAGTTTTTAATAGCTATAAAAAATACCATAGCCTAATCGATTTAAAAAACTACAATTTTTATGTTTTTTTTTAAATCAACAAGGAGACTTCTAAAAACACACCAAGCAATTTTAGTTCATACCTTTGGTAGTGTACACATGTGAATATGTTTTCTGAAACTGAGTGGTTGCTGTAGAACCAGCATGTGCTGCCGCATTGGTCACAGGAGGAATCTAAAAAAATAAAAGCATTATGTTAAAAACAGGGGTCTCGTAACTGTTTTGGTTGAAGCATGGGTAATTGTGATATGAAAAAATGTATACCATAAAACAGATTTTAAAAACTGAAACTCTAACCCTATTGCCAAAGCCTAAAATTTTAAGTATTAGAAACCATGAGATATAAATTCCAGGTGTTGCCGTATGGAATCCCTACAGAAAAGCTGCGTTGTAACCATAGCATTTATAGTAAAAATATGCACGGTTAATTATAAGGAAATAAATAGTGACACTTTTAAATTTATTAACTGATGTAGACAACAATGGTAGTCTTAAAGGTGACTACTTGAATACTGCTAATCGTAGTGACAGTTGTGAATATTTCCGCTCTTAAACTTATAGAATATCAATTGATCTTAACACACTAATTTATAGTAAAGGGCAACATTTTTAAAAGTTTAACTTTTTAGATAATGTGATCTAGGAATACATGATTTAAGTTTGAACATTTCTATCAAATTTTGAAAATCTTAAAGTAAATTAATTGGCAGTGAAGTTGTATTTAGTTGTACTCTTTGGATCAAGAAAGCTTTAAACTTTGTCACTCCAAAATTTTGTAATTAAAAAAAAAAAAAAACTGCATCTTTAACAAAAAGGGACTTACTGGAAAAACTGGATACTGTAAACCTGCAGCTCCAGGGAATACAGATGGATAATAATATCCATAATGGAAATAGTTTACTGGCTGTTGAGCTGCTGAATGGGCATTCTGAGGTTGGCTTGTAGAATTTGGACTCTGCGCATCTACTCGTGTCATCTTATTAGAATCCGCAGATGAGCCTTATTGAAAAAAAGAAAAAAAGCTAATAAAATGTTATTACAAGTTTTGGTATTACAAGTTTAAACTAACAACAGCAACCATTTAAAGGATGAAAAAACAAAGGCAACCTCCCCAACAGCAAGTTACATAGGTGACATTAAAAATATAAACACCTGCAAAAGGAACTGAAGTAAGTGTAGGCTGTTGATCTCGTCCTGTGGGAAGCGTTGATCCAGCAGGGGCAGGGATGGCACCAAGATCGTAGTAGCTACCTGTTTGCTAAGGTTCAGAGAAGAGAAACTACTTAAAAAGTGTAGACAAGCTAATTTTAAGAGACTATTATGTAAGCAAATATATTACTTTAAAATTATCTTTCTATAATAAACTAACCAATTAGAAATAAGAATGTACAGGTTTAAATAAATTTTCATCTTACCAAAGGCATTCTCTGTTGAAGCAGCATGTCAGTTTCATACCCATACAAAGGAGGTTGAACACTCTGTAAAGATCAATTCAATTGACATTGTACCCAATCAGTTTTAATTAAACCTGATTAATTTTTTAAAAAAAAAGCATTTAAAAATTATGCATGTATATTATTTACTTCTGGTGCCAGGTAGAAAAAAAGTCTTACATAAAATGGAGGCATAGTGCTTTGTCCCATAATATATGGTAAAGGAACTCCAGGTGGCAAATTAGGTGGAGCTTTACCTGCAACAACATTAAACAGTGCAATGACATTGCAAAATTATGAGGTCCTTAATAAAATGTCTCTAAGCGTGTATGAAATGAACAGTATTTACATACTGGTTGATGGCATGGAAGTTATCCTTGATGTAGGTGTAATTGATGTAGCAGTTGATGTTGAGGAAATGGTGGTAGTACCAGTGGAAAGTGAAGCTGAGCTTGTGGATGATGGCATACTCAAAGTAGTAGAAACTGAAGTCGTTGATGCACTTGAATTTTCATACTAAAAATAAACAAAATATATACAAACTTAAGTCTTATTATAAATCTTTATATAATAATAATTTAAAAGCAACAAAGATGAGCTTCTGATTAATTTAACTCTTAAATTTGAATGAAAGAAAATACAAACAATAGTAAACAATTACTATAAATGGGAATTGCCCTGGAATAACATTTTTATTTGTAACAATGCCCAATAAGGTTTTTTAAAGTAATATACTTTTCCAATTCCTTTAAAAAATGTTTTAATGGACTAATAGCTTAAGAAAGCTCTCACAGACTTATCTCTTTTTTACTTTCTCATGTACAGAGTAAGTATTCTAATCGTGCACAAAAAAGCACATGAAATTTTGATGTTTTCACTGTTTTACACCTCAATACTTCATCACATACAAGAGTATAGGGGACTTGTTAAATCGGGTAAAAATTCTGGGTAAAATTTTTTATCAAAATTTCGGTGTTTTACGCAGAGTTGGAAAAGCTGGGCTTTGCAATTCTGTCTGTGTGTGTCCATGAACACGATAACTCGAATACAATTACAGCTAGTTAATGCAATTTCAAATAATACATAATACATCAAATTTGTAGTTCTGTAATAACTTTTCAGCAATTTCCGGTAACCGGAAGTGGAACTTGAGCTACTTTTGGTTTTTTAAAAGCCTATATTTGTAATTTTTAAATAGTAAGACAAAATTTCACATATAAGTAAAAGATCTAATTCTGTCTTCTTACAAATTTTAAGTAATTTATGTACTAATTTACACTTTTTCCAATTTCTCAAAAAAGTCGAATGAATTTATAGTACTAATATTCCGCACTATTATATACACATTGTTTGCTCTTCACTTGGTGCATATATATTTGTTCTACCATATTTGATTATATTTTAAAAAGTTTAATTAAAAATTGATTGAAAATCAGGTCTATATCCTGAGTTGCCCTGTAGTCTTATACAAGTATGTTTGAAAAAGTTTAGGTGAGATCACCCCTGCTTTATTTTATTCCAAAGGGGAAAAAGGAAGAAACTTGCTTAAGGACTATTAACTACCTTCATCTTAGGTATGACATTTTCAGCATCATCAACTTCCTCCTCTATCTCTGTAACTTTTGCCATTCCCACTTGTTTTAGGTCTTTAAGATGGCAAGAATTGGGCAAACTATCAACTAATACTAACATTTATTATTTTTTTAACATCTACTTAGCATTATTGTACGCTTTGTATTTTTTAGATGCAGTGGTATCACTAGTCTAGCTTAGCTTAAGCTCTTTACTCCTTGTTGGTTATCCTAATGGTTCAGATTTAGCTTTTATTTATTAATTATTTCAGTAATAACAAAAATTAAATGAATGTAGTGGAACCAAATTATGGCACCTGCATAACATATTTATTTAATATAAACCTGACAAAATTAAAAATTACATGCTTCTTTTATATAATTCAGTTTTAAGCCTTTACCATCCATGGCATCAAAACTATTTTACTTCCCCTTTAAAAAAATTTTAAAGCTAAAAAACTATTAGCGTGGTCACTGAGATATTGCCCGTAATTAAGAGAAAAATCATAACGTAAGAAAAATAGAAGGAAATGGAACCACTAGTGACAGAACAAGAAAAGTAAAGTTTCCCTTTCAAACATGACGGTCTAGGGGGCAAGTGAAGTAGAGTTCACTTGTTTCTGTGACCTCGGCATATGAAGAGATAGTGTGGTCAGCACTATGCCCAGACAGAACAAGAAAACAATGTAAATAAAGCTCATTTTGCACTTCCACCTGAAACTTCAGGTAGATAAACCCAATATACAAAGTTTGGGTGACAGTGGGTGGAGAGGACTATACCGCACTAAAAATAATTCTCAGGAGACAGCAGATGCAAAGGGGTTAAATACGGAAAATTCAAATATTCAATGCAAGTTAGGGAAACAGTACTGGGGGAAGTAATGAATTTTGAGTTAATATCTAAAATTTGAGATGTCCATTAGGGTATTGTCTCAATATGCAAAGAGAACCTGTTCTACAATAACGTTAAGTGGAAAAAAAGTAACTGTAAAGTGTTTTGTGCTTAGCAAACTGCTTAATGTGTAGCTTTATACTTATACTGATCCTGTCATTTTTAAGTACATAGAAAAACAGAAAATATTCTACACTATCAACACAATTCATCATTGGATTTACCTAGTGTATTTCTTACAGAAACATTCCTAACCTCGTCTCTAACAATAAACAGAAAAAATATTCTATACCCTTTACACTACTCATCATTGAACACCCAGAATATTTTAGCAGTAAAGTTAATTCCTCACAGCTAAATGTTAGTCCTGAGAATAATTGAGCAACAGAAGAAATAAAGGTGACAAGTACAATAGGTATTTCAAATTAGAAACATGGAAAAATGATGTTTCGTAAATTAAATAAACACTAATTCTGGTATTCTGAGGAGAGAGTAAAACTATTTTACAGTAAAATTCAGTTTTCTTTCCTTACAACTTTAATCTGGAAAGTACATTCTGTGGAAGCTTTATTTCGCATACTGAAGTGAAGTTTTTATGGGCATTAGTACTAATGAATTTTATAATGTACACCTAATGTTGCTTGGTGTATGCATTGAAAAAAAAGTATATCAGTATTTAGATGAATTTTTTTACTAATGTTTGTAATATAACCCACAGGTAAGACCAGAAAATGAAAAGAAGTACATATTGTTAGAATTACTACAGCTTACAATTTTATAAATAGCTGAGGTTTATTGCCCTTTTTGTTAATTTTTTTGGTCTAAAGAAGAAATCTTAAAGCAGGCAAAGTCAAAACAGGCACGTTTAAAGCAAAAAATGAAAAGTAGGCAATTATTTTTTGTACTAGAGAAAAACTATGTTTTAACATGCTATGGTGTAATGAGTTAATTCAATGAAACCGATTGCTTAACTGACAGTATGAATTTAACGATTAGATAAATGTGGGGGAAAAAAGGGCAACTTTCTCTATGGGTGTGGTTAACACACATTTCATGTTAAATAACTGGTGTTTGCTCACAAGATTGATATTTTAGTACATAAAGCCAGCAGCTGAAACTGTTCACAGTAATTCATTACAAAAAAGTAAATTAGAAAAATAAATAAACTTTTACCTGTGCTGACTGATGTGCTTCCAGAGTTGTAGTATCCTTTAAAGTCATTTTGGAAAGACTTTCCCCCAGCTTATTAGCTAAAGGCGATGGCTGTAATGGTGCAGGAGCTGCAGCAAAGCTTTGAGAGTTGTAGTTTGTATTTGTTTGAGAGTTTGCAGGCTTTAATGTAGAAGACTGAGATGAAGCAGGAAAATTAACACCAGTAGTTTGAGTTGTTACAGGTACACTTTGTTGACTGTCCCTTGCATGATATGATCCAGCAGATGGTGACTGATAAGAGTTTGATTGTGAAGTGTATGATCCACTTGACTGAGTAGCTACTGGATACAACGATGCATTGGCTCCACTAGCTTGGTTCGTAGAGGGATAGTTTGGCTGTGTTGTATGAGATGGAAAGGAACTGTTGTTCTGATAGCCCGAGTACTGCGACTGTCCACTTGATGTATAACTGTTTTGAGCCCCAGATGAATACTGAGATGGATGATTTGCATGAGGACCTGTTATGTGGCCAGTATTTCCTGCTGATGCAAACTGATTTTGTCCAGTAGAGTATTGACTCTGAGCATTATTAAACTGGGGAGGTTGTCCAGATGGGGGAAATTGGGTGGCACTGGGTGGAGCTGAAAACTGATTCTGTCCTGATGATTGGTAAGAGGTCTGACTAGCAGAATACTGTGATGGGAAGGAAGAGCCTTGTGGAGGTTGTGAGTTTGTGGTGTGAGTGTAGGACTGAGTTTGGGATATGCTTGAAGCTTTTTGGTGATTTTGGTATGTAGAAGCATAACCATTGGCAGTAGGATAGTTAGAAGATCCTTCACTCTTTGCTTGTGGTAAGGAACCTATATGGGACAATCACAGAAAAATCATTTTTTAAAATGGAAAACTAATGTAATCTTTTAAATATATCATTCTTTCGGCTTTGGTCAACACTGACTTTAAACTTAATAAAAGAACACTGTCAAAAATCTTAATTCATCAAGAACAAATGCAGTAAAATATTTTAATATAATTTAAAATAGGAATGTACTTACGCTCTAGCTGAGTTGAAGAAAATGGAATATCAGATCCAGTGATCTACAAAAAAATAAATAAAGTAGAAAATACATAGCCTATTCATCAGCATTTAAGCAGAACAAGAAAAAAACAAAGTTATATAATCACTTTACCTTATTTGACTCTCTGTCTAAATTTTGATTCTCGTTCTTTGGCGGTGATGCTGTATACACTGAATTATGAAATACAGCTGATTGCCTATTAGACTGCTGAGGCTCCATTGAAGAAAGCACTTTATTAGATCCAGAAGAAGGAGAAGATTTGATGCCTGTCACCATAGCATTTCCTTCAGTGCTGACATGACCTTGACCAAGGTGGTTTGATATCACAGATGTGCTACAGAAAAAAAAAATACATGAAAAAATATACAGTATACCATTTGTATGCTTAGCAAAAGGATAAAAGTCCAATTTATCATCACTTACCCATTAGAGTTGTTTGTGTATGTACTAGCTGGTTCAACCTCATCACTACCAGAACCAAATCCAAAAGAAGTACCAGAGTCTGAGCTAAAATCTATACCAAACTGAAGATCTAGCTGTGGATTCCTTGGGATATGACCTGGCATTTCTACTGCAGAAGCAGGGATCTGAGAAACAAATATAAAATATTCTGGTATTGTCTTACAGCTAAATGGCATTGTGAGTAGCATGGCCAATCTACAATAATTTTCTAAAACAAAGCTTAAGCAATAAAAATGTCAGTATTCAAACTTACCTTTGATGGTGGAGGAAGTTTTGATCTTTGAGGTTTAGGCCTCTGCTGTAAATTATTATTCATACTTGGAATACTCATGTTCTGTTGCTGCTGCATAACAGATGTGATTCTAGATTGGGCAGTCTGAGACTGGTCCCTATTAGACTGCTGGGAACCCATGCTAATCTGAGACATCACTTGAGATGACTGGGTAATCTGCGACAGCTGTGTAATTGATTGAGACAACGAGGATTGTTGACCTGGCTGGTTTAAATTAGATAATACTCCACCCTGCACATGGGAAGAGCTCTGTGTTAGAGATGATAAGCCAAGGGAATTTGGTGTAGATTGTGGGGGTCGAGTAGAGCTTCCAATCTGAATAATAAAGTAAACAAATGATATTTAATGAATGGGCACTATTTTATTTCAAATTCAACTAGATTAGCAACATTAAGATTTAAAATATTTCATGGATATTTATAACAACTTAAAAAATAAAACAGAATAGCACATTTCATTAAGAATACCTCAGTTTACTTTAAACCTTTGTAATGAAGACTATGACCAAAATCAAAATTTTGATTAAAAAATGTTTTCTTCACCCATCTTGCAAGAATGGCTAATGGTAGAAAAATTAAGAATAATTTACAAGACCAACCCCAATAGTGTTCTTGATAGACTCTGTAGCAGCCTGATTAAACTGGGTAATATAAGCATCCCCACTTGGTTTACTGTAGTCAGGTGCTTTTGAAAACTTGGCTGACTCAATAAAAAGGCTTCCAACATCAAGCCTAAGGGAAATATAAAGACAATTCAAAAGCTGGTCTAATCAACCACTATTATGTTGAGATGTCTGTTAAAAGCAAAAAGATAAAGGTGGCTTTACCTAAGGTTACTGGTATAACAAAGATATTTTAAAAATACTTAACAGTTGAACTGATTACCTTTGTCCGAGAGAGCTTGGTGGTTCTGTTATCACAGGATCAGGGTCAGGAATTTTCATTTGGGATGGCGTGAAGACTTTGGTCTCTTCAAGCTAAGCATGAACAGATAAAATGTGAATCACCAATAAATGCAACAATAAAGAGAACCTGTAATAATTCTATTTAAATTCCAAGAATGGGGATAGACTTACAGTTCCAGTCCACTGATCTTCTTCTGTTACCCAAGTATCATTCCAATTGTCCCAATCTGCAATATTTATTTGTGACTTATGAATTTAATGTGGAAACAATGTCATCTTTGTTTTGAAATTTGAAAGAGATCAACTATACTTAAAGGGTTTACTCAATCTGGCAACAGGGTTTTTAACTGCTTTTTGGAAGTTTATTTTCAGACATTTCTGGTCAAGTTCAGACAAAAAAATTTGAAAGCCTATACAGTAGTGATAATATGTACATTTTAGTTATAGATCAAGTGATCTTTTTAAAAATTGAAAATAAAAGCTTTGATTTTTTTTAAAAATTTTCTTTCTAGTACATTTATTTCAGCAGAGTGTTAAAAAAGTATTATACACTGGATTGAAATGGGATATTTTCTGTGTCATCATGGTTGACCTTTTCTTGTCCTAACAGTACAGTAGTAGTTTTAATGATATTCCACTGCTGCTATCAGTACAGGTTTAGTAATGGTAACTTATAGTATACCACTATTGACCTTTAAGAATATCTTGTATTCTCTTGGCTAGTAAACTGTTTTAACTCATATTTACATAATTTCTGATTGGTACCTAACTTGATGAAAAATAAAGGTGATAGGACAATGCTGGCCACACTATTCCTCATTTGCAGAGGTCATTGAAACTGTTTAACTCTATTGCATTTGCATTATGTCTTGGTCTAATTAACCAAGTTTCATATTTATCCTTCTAGATCCAATAAAAAAAATTTGTTTTGTTTATATAACTTAAATTGATATAGACAAAAAGGAGATGAAGATACTTAACTATCACAGCAAGCTAAATCTACTAAATGCTATCAGATCTATATATATAATTCTCTTCTGGGATCAGTTAGAAAACAAGCTGCAAGCGCCTCCTTGCAGTCCCCTCTCTTTCTCTCTATCACTATCATCTCCCACCCCACCACAACATTGTCTGGTGAGCGGTGTTCACTCTAAATTTTTTACAAAGCTAAATGTCTACAAATCGTAGAGCCGTACAGCTGGGTTTCTGTTAGGGGCAGATAAGTTGGTTCGATTTTAAACTTACAGGGGGTAACTAAGAAATAACTAAGAGGAGGCCGCTTTCACGGGGGGTAGGGTCGGGGGTTAGTGTTTTAAAGCAAATATTTTCAGTGGCAGCATTGGTACTGTCGAATTCATAAATTATGAATTACTGAAAAGTAGAAAATAAAACAACTAAATAGCGGCGTATGATACGCTGCGGGTCGGCTCGTTGTTAATAATATTAAAGTGCCATAAATTAAAACAATATATTCCAGAGTTTTCAGCAATAAGTGTTACAAAGATTATTACAATGGATAATCAGGCTAGAATATGGTTTATTAAAACAGTGGTTCTTTTACGTCTATAGTTCTGCAAACAATTTAAACTTACATCAAACTACAGTGTTAAGAGTGCTCTTTACTTTACTTCTAAAACTAAAACATGGTCTTAGATTTTTAAACTAGCTAAAAAGCTTGTGATTGGCCTTGTATTATGAAAGATTAGAACAGCAAAAAAGTTTTTAAAATTCAAAACATTGTTCATAAAGAAAAATGACTCCAACCAAATAAAAAAATAATAAAAAAAAATCACACTATTAACAGAAATGTCACAATTGGAAATACACTCCACCTGAACCAGCTGATAAATTCTAAAATATATACCAGTGTCTTTACTTGTGTTGTTTTCTGCAGTTTCATTGGTCCATGTGTCGATTTCAGGCCCTTCCATTGGCTGAGAATTATTTATCTTTTCAAACCTTGGAACTCGTGTAAAATTTCTAGAGAAAAAAATATATGCAGTATTAACAGCTGCAAATAAAAAACAATTTATAGTTTTACTTTTGGAAAATATTTTTTTTGTTGGTCAGAGTATCGGATGTATCTTCAACATATATGCAGAAGAACGAAAGTCATAATTGCTTCTCATCATACCAACATAATAATGAAAAAACAAAATCACCTTGTGTCTCTATCACCACTGTTGTTGAACCGACCACGGCCACCGCCCCCAGATCTTTTCCCACCAAAACCTAAATATAAAAAAAAAAAATTGATAGTTATCGCTTAAAAAAAAATAAAGTTCAAGAACAACTAAATTTTAAAAAGTTGCTGGTCAGTAAATTTTTTCTTTCTCCAAATTATTTTTTATTTCAGAAGAACGAAAGTCAATAACCTTTTCATCATTCCAACAACATAATAAAATAAAAATATATATGTACCTCGCCCTCTAGATCTTCCTCTATCACTTCCACTTCGTTCTCGCCTTTCATCACCTCTGTCATTATCCCAATCTTCTGTGGTATTGCGTTCTCTGTTGTCTCTATTTTCTCTGTCACCAAAATTACCCCTGTCTCTTCCCCAACCTCTGGCTAGCCTTGGAGGTGGACCACCATTTCGTCTTCCCTTGCGAGGCGGGGCATCATAGCGCTCTAAAGCACCGTCTTGGTCCTTTTCCTCTTTCTCCCCCTTGTCTTTGTTGCGGCTTTCAAAGCTGTCTTCATTAACATGGTTCACATTTTCTTTCTGTGTGGTAGGAACTTTTTTCTTGCGCTTGCCACCTTGCTCTCGCCATTCACCTTGCTTTAAAAAGAAAAAAAAAGGAAAATAAATAATTGTTACCAGTCTCTACAAAGTAGGTGGAAATACATAAATCTAAATCTGTTACCTGTTCATCTCCTTCAAGAAGCATGTTAGCAGCTCGCTCTGCATCATTTCCTGAATCGTGAAGGGCTATCACAACAACATCTTCACTTTTGCCTGTCATCTCCATTAGCTGTAAAACGAAAAACCATTCATATACATTTAAACAAAACACACGTAAATAGAAATTAGATAGCAGAACACTACTGCAACTAACAGAAAAAGGATACACGATGAACTATTATTTTTAAAAGAGTAGTTGCAACAATATACATCCACTTGTCCAAAAAAATAAATAGATAAAAAAATAAAAAACAGCGGAACAAACCTCCTTTACTAATTTTTCAGTCTTAGGATCAGCCTTTGTCTGATTATTGCCCATAATCTGCGCAATTAAAATCTGATCTTGAGTTGGCTGCATTTTGTTTGACTGAATATCAGTTTTGCCAGTAGTCTGTTGTGGCTGATGTGGAGTTCTGTCGCTTTTCTGTATTTTTTCTTTTGTTCCGCTATGTCTGTTTGAGCCAGCACGCATGGTGCCAACTGATCCACTCATACTTTACAAAGTAATGTTATGTACAAAATATTATGTACAGTTATCTGTTGAAAATTATTTACAAATTAACTAATGGATTATAACAGAGGTAGGCATAGTTACTTCTTACGAGTACAATACAGAAATGCAAGAAAAAAAAGGCGGGGGTGAAGCTAAAGTTCAAATTCCTAGACAACAGTATATTATCAATGTTATTTCTTAAAAAAAAGTAGCTACTCTTGTTAATCCAGCATACAAAATGTTCGCTATAAAATTAAATGGCACTGCTTGAATTTTAAACTAATTTTTTGTTTATTAGTAGGGCCTATATGAAAAAGAAAGATTCCAAACATTCTTAAGTGTTAAATATTGCAGTGTTTTCTTATGCTTTTTTATAATTTGTTTTTGCTAAAGGTTTTTGTGGCTGCTTGATAAAAATTAAGGACTGCTGATTTTGTAAACAAAAATGTTGCACTTGCATCTCAGCAAGTTTGTATTTGAGTTCCAAAATCCACATTGCAGTATTTTTTAATATTGTGTAAGGTTTGTACCTAAAGCAGGCCTACGAATAACAGGTACATAAAACAATGCAGATGCAATACTATGTCATTCAGTCTACGTAGTAATCTAAAGATTTAAGAAATATCCGATGCAATATATTTTGATTCAATGCCAAAATTAAACAATATTAAAACACACAAGAATTAGATATAGGCACTAATTAAAGACTAATAACAATTGCCATGATGGAATCATGAATTAAATATGGGAATGCAGCTAACTAAGAGACTAAGTCACTTAGGTGGCATTATTTTAAGTATTTTAAGTTGCCCAGCTTTAAGAAGCATTTGATCTAAAATTTACTTGATTCTAGATCTAGATTTACATCTAGATCTAAATCTAGTACAGAATCCCCAGTCTAACTAAAACTTTAAAGAATAGTCAATAGTCTACTCCACTTGAAAGTTGCTTAGTAACCAAACCAGCTACTTAATGAAGTTCCTTACAATATTTATAATTTATACAAAGATCTATTCTAGACTCTAGAGGCAAATTGATTTTAAAATGACAACAGTAACATTCAGAAACAGCTCTGCTGAAATATAATCAAACATGAAGTCTTTAATAAGAAATTGAAAAGTCAGTGTTCTGTACAAGTGTCACAATAATCCTAAATTCTGCAGAGTAGTGTGGTGAGAATTTACTGGGTCAAAATTAAGTGGAATCAAAGATGATGAGTGTTGATAGGTGGTTATTTTATTAAATAAATGCAACAAAGGTTACGTTAGTTTTCAATTGAAATAAAAATTAATGGGATATGTACCAAATAACATGAATAATAATTATGTTTCGTAATTGATACAAGAATACAGAAATAATTACTCAGAACTTGACGCCATGCTGGAATTTTTCCGCTACCAAAAATTAGTCAAGTAAATTCAATATCCAATTCACTTTGGCGTTTGACCTATCTAGTTCGAGTTAACTGATAGACCACGCTTTCGAATAAAACAAATGATCGACAATTGCAATAATTTAACCGATACATATAAATCAAGTTTGATATCTGTAACGCAGTTAAATACAGAACAAAGAATATTTCATTCCGATAACCCACCTGAATTTTTGTGATTTACAGAGGGAGAGAGAGACTATGTTGATCACGTGATGTTGTTACACACTTCGCGCCGTACCGTCGTGATTCATGAAGATACTATTCCATTTATATATATTATTTTTTAAATATACATTTAGAAATGTAATGAAATTTACAATAATGTATGATTATTTATTTTTAAAAATTATTTTAGAAACTATTTTTCGTTGAATTGGAATTTGGGTTGTAGAGTTTAAATAATCTTATCATAGCAGTATAAAAAGAAATTCTCTGATCATAAAACGAAACAAATTATAGGCTTGTAGATATGTATCTATTTAAGTTCATGCAAAAAGCATCGAGTTTAAAAAAAAAATTATGCAAAAAAAAAAAAACTAAAAAATAACACAAATAATGTGCTAAATAAATGGTGCCATTCGTCAGTTCCTAGCCAGACCTACATTCTCGGTTTCGTCGTGAACAAGCCTTTATATATATAGTTTAAGCCAAGAACTTATTTATAGCATACTTAAATCACAGTTATCTGGGTAGGTCTACGGTTTATTAATTTAAAAAATAATTAGGAAATGACCAATGACCGAAACTGCGGACTTAATGCGCACCAGTATGGATTGAATTATAAGTCCAATTTAATATAATGTAATCTTAACTTCGGTGACCACAGGAATAAAAAAATTATATTATGACAAGACAGGCAAAAACTTGCTTCCAAACACGAGGCAAATAAATGTTAAAATCTGGGGAGAATTTCTTTAAATCTTCGAAACAATGTAGAGTCCACATATAGGCTGATATAGGCCTACATATATTTAAACAGAGATTCTTCCAGGCATCTTCGCCCCCCCCCCCCCCCCCGAAATTTTTTTACGCCCCCCCCAGCCCCGAACTGGTCGAGGGTGGAGGTTCTTTCGGTCGTATCTCCAGGGTGGGGTGGAGAGCACGGTCCCCAAAGCAAGCTTCCCCCCCCCACCGCCGTACGACATAGGAAACATATCTTTTAAAAAGAAAATATATAGTCTACACTTTTACCAGTGTCCGCCTCCCCCGGATATTTTAATGGCGCCCCCTGAAGTTTCTAGTGCCCCCCCCCCCCCACAGGTGAAAATTAATATTTGAAAGAAACCATGGTAAAGGACAGTTTATATCAAAGGCGTATTATAGCGAGGGCGGGGCGGGGCGGGGATGCGGACCGCACGGGGTGACACCATTTAGGGGGGGGGGGGGGTGACACCATGGCAAATTTTTGTGCAAAAATGTACAGAAGAAAAACGCTTTTGGCCTATTCCATTAATGATTAATTAAAGTTAAATAGTTTTTTAAGTACAAATCGACACGTCGGCGTGGGTGATACCATGACGTAACCGCATTAACCATAGAGAAACAATGTTACATCCAACTGTATCATTAACAGGCTATAGAATACCATCGTTACTATTAAGTCTGCAGTGATTAAAGCTTATGCACATACATGTACGCGAATTCGGCCTATATTTAAATTATAGGCCGACACAAACATATATATATATATATATATATATATATATATATATATATATATATATATATATATATATATATATATATACCACCTAGCGACGCCACTGGTTTATATGGCTAGTTTGTGGGTTACGGCTAGTTTAGAACAATATTATATAAGCTTAGGCCAACTCACCAACGCTATTACTATGCTATCTCATTTTTAAAAAAAATTGTTTTTGTGTGCAAAACTTCTGCCATTAGTGTAGTGGTTGGGTTAATACGCGTTTACTGGTAACATTTTTTACCTGTAAGAATGTACAGATACTTCTATTAAACATGTGTTGTGAAATGTTTTTCTAAAGTGGTTTGATTCCTATAATTTATTTTAAAATTTAGTTTAAGTTGTATTAAATTATTGAGTGATTTGGATCAGGTGTAGCGCCCCATCCAGGCGCCCAGGGCGAAGTTTCAATATGGCACCGCCAAATCTGGTCTAGTAACAGTGATATCGACTAAGAGTTTCAGATTAAAATCATCAATAGTAAAATGCTTTTAACTTTCTAAACAAATGTGCAATTTAAACCAGTGTTTCTTCCACTTTTTTTCTCCCGGGGGGGGGGGGGGGAGGGGGCGGCGACACTGTTAAAAGTATATATTTGCTATAGAAATTTCCATTCCCCCTCCCGAAGAGGCCTGGAAGAAACATTGCTTTAAACACATTGTCACAAAGTTAATTCATGATCTTTAGCTAAATGTGAAGCATGTTTTACTGTATAGCCAGGTGCTAGAGTGTGTAACATACAGTGGAGAAAGACATTGTTTTACTGTATAGCTAGGTGCTAGAGTGTAACACTGGAGAAAGACATTGTTTTACTGTATAGCTAGGTGCTAGAGTGTAACACTGGAGAACGAAATTGTTTTACTGTATAGCTAGGTGCTAGAGTGTAACATACAGCGGAGAACGAAATTGTTTTACTGTATAGCTAGGTTTTAGAGTATAACACTGGAGAAAGACATTGTTTTACTGTATAGCTAGGTGCTAGAGTGTAACATACAGTGGAGAACGAAATTGTTTTACTGTATAGCTAGGTGCTAGAGTGTAACATACAGTGGAGAACGAAATTATTTTACTGTATAGCTAGGTGCTAGAGTGTAACATACAGTGGAGAACGAAATTATTTTACTGTATAGCTAGGTGCTAGAGTGTAACACTGGAGAACGACATTGTTTTACTGTATAGCTAGGTGCTAGGGTGTAACATATAGTGGAGAAAGAAATTGTTTTACTGTATAGCTAGGTGCTTGAGTGTAACATACAGTGGAGAACGAAATTATTTTACTGTATAGTGTAGTGAATTTGTTAGAAATCAGTCAATTGTGCTTAGTAGGGCAAGAAGAAAAATTCATATCTTAATAAATAGTTGTTATTATAGCATGAAAATTGGAAGAACTATTAGGCCAAGCTTGATCTTTAATTAGAATATCTTAGTGTTAGTTAGGAGCAAGCCGATATTATGGAAATCTACTTTAATTAGGTGTATTTGATGATATTTTTACAATATTTGCATGTTTGAAGTATTATTGTTGAAGAACAACTTATTGATGTTTATTGTAATTTGTATCATTGTAAAGGGAATTGTCTGTGGTTTCAGAGGATAAGCTTATTAGAATTTTAGGAGATCGCGTTAAGTTTTTATATAGGGTTAATTGGGGTCGGTTAGCACAAAAGCGGGGGAAATTTTCACAGGTAAGCGTTAGAATTCGTGCCAAGAGCAAGGTGTCATCCGAGACGCTCGCGGGTGGGGTATATAAACCGGTGGGTTAGCCTTAGAGGGGATAGAGGGGATGGAGAAACGACGGCCCTAGCCAGTAAGAAAGACATTGTTTTACTGTATAGCTAGGTGCTAGAGTGTAACATACAGTGGAGAACGAAATTGTTTTACTGTATAGCTAGGTGCTAGAGTGTAACATACAGTGGAGAACGAAATTGTTTTACTGTATAGCTAGGTGCTAGAGTGTAACATACAGTGGAGAACGAAATTGTTTTACTGTATAGCTAGGTGCTAGAGTGTAACATACAGTGGAGAACGAAATTGTTTTACTGTATAGCTTGGTGCCAGAGTGTAACACTGGAGAACGAAATTGTTTTACAGTATAGCTAGGTGCCAGAGTGTAACACTGGAGAACGAAATAAAAGAGAAAAAAGGTGACGGATAGGGCACACCCTCAGAAAGATCACTAGGCAGGTAGGCCTACTGGTCTGGAATCCAAGGGGAAAGAGGATTAGACCAAAGATTCATGAATGAATAGTTTAAAAGAGAGATGCGGAACACTCGTTTGTCAAGGATTGAGCTTTTTAAAAAAAATCAAGCTTGTTGGTGAATTGCTACCCATGCCTATGCTCGTTGGTGGAGCCGAAAGGAAGAAAAGGATGAACATCAGAATAGTTTAGTGGGTAGTTCGTTTGTAAAATATGCAACCTTATTTCGTCTACTTTTGGTCGTGTCCTTAGAACAATTCCGAAACTTTGTATACTACAGTTTCGGATTATCAGTTAGGTTGAACTGAGTAATAAAGCCGTAGCAGTAGTTGTGATGTGCCGTGGTCACAAGTTGTTTTATAGGCGTGGCGAACTATAAGATAATCGCAGTATTAGTGAGTTGTTATGAAACAAGGAACCAAACTCTTCTCCCTTCAATCAATAGAAGAAACTAATTTTATAGTTAAAAAGTTGTGATTTAAAATACGGTGTGGGTGAGTTAAAACTGTCATATTGTTGTTTGTGTGCACGCATTGCTGATTGATTTACATTCAAAGTTTAGGAAATAGACACATACGCAGCTTTACTGAGTGATTTAGCTACGTTTAAGTAATCAGTATTTCTTCCAGACTTTTTTTCTCCAGAGAGGAGGGGCAGGGAGGAGGGGGGGGGGGGCAAGGAGAAGAGAAGCCTGGAAGAAACTCTCAACTTTTACGACATTTAAAAAAGCGCCTATATGTCAACAGGCCGCATGACGGGAAATTAATTGTCGGGAGCCTAAATAACGGGAGCCTATTTGTCGGGAACCTATATGACTGGGCCCATGGTCGCTGGCCCTTTTAACGGGCCGAATTAACAGGGTTCTTTTGTCGTGTCGTTTTGTTACTAGCCTTTTTGACGCCACACGCATGCGCGCTCTCTCTCTAATAAGATTTAGTCTAATAATATAGTGCCCTTTCTGGAGCTGTCGCTTCCAATTCTCCAAAAACCTGGGTAAAACCATGATTCGTAGCCTATCAGTTTATATTGGAGGGTGGTGGGTGCAAGTTAATAGTTCGCCTCAGGCGCCACAAGGTGTCGATACGCTTCTCTTATAACTCTAACACTTTTTTGTCGGACTAAATAATATAGGCGTACCTACAACATTTTACAAAAAAAATAATTATAGTTTTATTAAATGGGCAGTGTTTTTAATATAGAAATTTTGAAATGTGTTTTCTTATAAACCGCGTACTGGAGTATCAAGATCGTTATTATATATCTGATCTAAATACTAAACATAAAAATAAAAATCTAGATCTCGTCAAAATTTTTCAATAGGAGCTTATGGGAACTAACTCCTCTTAAAAACTAAAGTTTGTCTATATTTTCTTATCTACCTTTGTATGTACGTTAAAATCTGACGTGTGTGAAGGGTTTAGACTTGACACTCAGGGCGTGAGGGGGCGGAAGAAGGATTACTGTGAGTGCGAGAGAGAGTTAAGGAATATAATGATATTTGTTGCATTGTGGTCAAAACTGTTTAACTAGGACGGCCTCCTGTTAGTCTATTTATAATAATAACAAGCACTAAAATATAATGGTAACCATCATTCATATAGCTATAAATAACAGCATTGGTCTCAAACATAACACGAAACAATCGTAAAGTGTTCCACTATTTAAATATTTTTAAAACTTCATTGAGTCTTCTCGATCCACTGGTATTCTTCGATATTAAAATTTTAAGGCAGACGGCTAAGTTATAAACCAATCAGAAATGTGTTGTTTTTTTTTCTTCTGGCATAGCAAAAATAATAACTATTTTTATTTAGTTTTATTTTTTATGATTACTCGCAAACAGAGTTTCTTCCAGGCATCTCTTTGCCCCCCCCCCCCCCCGGAGAAGAAAGTCTGGAAGAAACACTGCTCGCAAAATGAAAAAAAAAAAGACTCATGCGAATGTATTGTCTTCTTACCACATTCATTTTTCAGTGTCGTACAATGTATTTTACCCTTTATTGCAAGTCGTCTAAAAAATAGAAAAAAAAATAGAAAAAAAAACAAAAACAAAATAAAAACCACCCTAGACCGCCACATGCTAAAAAATTCTTCCCTATATTCACACACGAATGAATGCAAACACACACTTCACATAAAATAACCCACATAAAACTAAAATGTACATGTACTTCATTATTTCATTAATACAATATTGAAAATTACATACATTTTCCTACCCCCGCCCCCACTACCCCTATTTCCCCCCTCTACATACAAAGCACCAGAGGTCGCCAGATGACGTGAGCCAGCCTGCTAATACGTTCTGCACCAGCTTATGAAAATCGATTGGGGCTTGCTTTAAGTATTTTAGAACCGCTGAACCACGAAGGTGTTACTCGATTCAATGGACACGTCGAATGTTACACGTGAATGCACGCACATCTATCCCAAGTAGAATTTTCTCTATCCCCCTTCGAGACTTAAAAGTATTAACATTCTAAAGACAGTGTTCAAATCTTTTTGAAATACAAAAATTGACAACTTATTTTTAAATTGTTCTTAGTTTTCTAAACAAAAGCTGGATAACTAGATTGTTTTTAAGAAAAAATATCACTGCGTTGAGGATTTAAAAAAAAACAGAGGGCCTTCGAAAATGAGTCGTGTACAGATAGTTTTTACGGCGTTAATGTTTATTGTGTTATCTATCTCTAAAACCTCTTCGGATATTTACACATCCTCGAAAAAAATCGAAGACATGGTGATATTGGAGGAGGCCCTTTTGAACCAACTGCATTCCGACGTCTCCAACCTGGGTGATGAAAACCTGATGTCCTACTTCACCGAGTAAGTTTCTAGATCTTTCTTTCTTCTAAGATGGAGATTAATTTGACGATAGATTTGAGAGATGAGCTCGTTGTGTTCTAAATGATTTAAATTATTTGTAAAAAAGTTTTTAAAACTTAAAAAGTGTGTTTTGAAAAAAAAAGATTTTCTTTTTTTGTTTTATTTTGAAAACAGAACTCAGAAAAATAGTGTTAAAACAAAACGAATATGTGGACGTAGATCTGGATAATTAATTAATTTTGAGAGCGAAAAGTAATTAAAGAACTATTAGAATTAGACGAATAACTAAAATATTGTTGGCAACTTTTCTACTCAGTTAAATAAGAAATTTAAAAAATATTTTTTTGAAAGATGTTAGCTAATTAATTATATGTAACAATCTACACATATGAATGATTTATACTTTTTAAAAAAGTACTTACACAGTATAAAATAATTTAAAGGCGTACCATACATGGCGGCGTCACAGGGGGGGGGTGCGGGTCTGCACTTGGTGACACCAATATTAAGGGTGCGCCCAAATCGAAATGTTGTAAAAAATTACCGATAAGTAATATTTTCTCCAGTAAAAAAATTTGGACAGACACCAAGTCGAAAAGGCTAAACTGTAGGAGGGGTTTGGGTGACAACCTCAGTTACCGCACCTTGTGACACCCGACCTAATGACGCCACCAGCCATACATAATACAATAGAAAAAAAAGGTTCTTGCGATGTTTTGATTGACTTCTGCTTGTACAGAAATGTTCTACACGCACACGTACAAACAACAAAACATCTGACCCGGATGTAACAACAGTGTTGTGTTAAGGTATCCACATCTTGGTGTCTCGGATTTAAAAGGAGAAAAATAAAAACAGGGTTTAAAACAGACTCCTGTTTTCATGTTTCACCGTTTGGATTTTTTCAGGATATCCCTCTCACCCCCTCCCTCACATTTTGATTTTTACGGGACATCAAACAACTGGATTAATCGATTCATATTGACAGCTTTAAAAAAAACCCACAGAAATCACACGGGTCTCAATGACACTTTAAAATCTGAGCCGTATGGGCACATGGACTTGTTGTGAAATCAAACAAATCCAATCGAACATTCCTGTTTGAAATTGCATTTCCCAAGCCACGCAACACATTTCTAGATAAATTAGACGCTAACTCTCCCACTAACCTAATCACTTTTTTTTTCTTGAGCTGAATCATGGAAGAATTCGTTTTAGACAGTGTTTGACATTATCGGACGTTCTCCATACAGCCATACATAGTAGTTTTCTTTTTTTTTTCTTCTTTTTTTCCCCGTTTGCGCCCAAGAAACGTATGACAAATGAAGTAGAGTTCATCTGTTTAAGTAATCTCGACATATGAAGGGGTAGTATGGTCAGACGCCTTAATTTTCCCTAACGTGAGTTAGGTAACCGTCAGAGCTGGGTAGACTCAGGGAGATTCTACTGGCCCGAACTCGGGTAAGAAGTCAAGCGCCCTACAGCTAGGCCACACAACGCCCCTTATTCAGTGTGGTCTATAGTATGGCAAAACTTACCAGGCATAGTACTGACATCTACATGAACAATACCTCACCAGACTTGTTGGGTATAGGAAAAATTGACTGATAATCGTATTTATCTTTATATCAACTCTACTTCATCAGACTTCTTGAAAATGATGAAGCCGACTTGACATCGTGGCTGTCTATTACAAAAACTCTACTTCATCTGCCCTGAGAACCGCCATTGTGAAAGTATGCTTCCCATACCTCACAGTGGTGGCCACAGAACGCTGTTAGTTTGGAGTTGATTGAAACATGGACTTACACTAAATCTAAAGATGGAATAAATTATTCCCAGCTGTTGTACATAACAGTGTTTATAATCTTTTCACGCGTACAAATAACTGGGACTTTCAAACAGATTTAAACATCACTGGTTCTCAACCCATATCGTTCAAGCCCCGGAACAAGAACAAAAGATTGAACCAATTGAACTATCTTTGTATGTTATTTTAAAGCATTTTTTACCAACATGTTCCATCCCGCCCCCTCCCTCCCCCCATACACACCCTCAAACCCCTTGTTTTAGGGAGGAATAAGAAAATAAATAATATAACGCAGAATAAATCATTCCATTTATCAAACTCTTTTTACTTCAACTTCGGGTAGTGGGTGTGCTAATGTTTAACAGCCCAGCACTATCGATACATACTCTACTATTGCCTTGTTTCGATATGTTTGCATACACATTACAAATGTAGTTACCTCGCTGCTGTCACTTCAATCTATAAGGATAACAAGCTTTAAAGCATAAGATTAAATTACAAATTTTAAACAACACAAAAAAAAATTCATGCGATTTGAACTTTTTTTTAACACATGTAAGTTTGCCAGTTTTTACAATATTCCCTCTGCACAAAGGAAGTGACGTCAATATCCCGCAACAGCTTGCGCCATCTGCAATTTAAATTGAAATATTTAAGAAAATGATTTCCTATAACCAAATATATCCAGTAACACATTATTCATACGGATTGTAATGGTACACATACATGTAACTTTACATGGTACACATAATATATACTTTTAAATTGAACATATTATATGTAGGTCTCCTTTTACCCACCTATAAACATGGCTAAAGATATTCCCTACAAGTTCTCTAACATCTGAAACAGATTTTCGAACCCAGGTTAAGATCCCCTGATCTAGACGTTCTCTCTAACGAATTTTCTTTATGGCTAAAAGTTCTCTAATGTCTAAAACCTACAAGTTCTCTAAGATCTGATACAAGTTCCCTTAGACCTGATACAAGTTCTCTAAGAGCTGGTACCAATAATTTCTGGAATAGTTTACAATACAAGTTTTCTACAGTTGCATGTCTTCCGCCCTGTGTCGGCGTCGATATACATGATAACTTTGAGCGTTGTATTGGAACCCAGATCATCAAGCGGAGTAGCCACCACATCGCATACATCAGAAATCTATCGATCCCCTGATCCTGTTTATTCTGATGGCGAAATACCAGCGAAACGCCATAATAAATATAATGTAACTTAAGACGCCCCATTTCGATGTCGGATGAAAGAAACAAAATCCGAAAACGGGAAGGATAATCCAACAATCAATTTCGAGCCATTCGCGTATGGCTTAGTTACACATTGCGGCGTCTTACACAAAGAAGGTTCAGTGCATATTAGGAGGGTTGTTTGTGGTTGAAAGTCGGTTTGCAATCACGGGTGTAGCAGGGGCGGAACTACAGTGCCGCCAGACCCCGCAATGCGGGGGGGCCCACGCCATTTAGGGGCCCAGAGCCGACCATAATAAATCTTTTTATAGTTAAAAAAAAGTAAATTTTCTTTCATTTTTGACTTGATGGTTGTTTTGTAAAACATTACCGTAGCTGCGGTTGTATTATCTTTATTCTATATACACCACCCTACGCTCCTGTTTCTTCTTTTTCCCTTTGTTTTTAAACAACTTTGAAAGCCGAGTCTTTCTCCTACAATTAAACTTATCAAAAATAAGCAAATGTTCAAACCACTTCCATGACTTATTTCCCTTTTTAAAAAAATAGTCAAATAGGGGTGATCATAAGCTCCTTTTAATAGATTTGTACTAAACAAATTAAAAAGCACTTACTTCTCTTAATTATTATTTTTTATAAGTAATTACTAAAGAATAATATTGTATAAAAGTTAAGTGTATTGAAATGTATTAAATCAATAATATTTTAAACATTAATAATATAACTTCAAGAATAAACATAAAAATAAACATAACACGAGACACCATTACTTATACAAAGCTTTCATATTTTATATAATTTTGACCGACAGTATGATAAGATGGCTTCTGTCAAAAATTAATTAAAACTGATGTTCACAAAACACGCTTATGCACTTACACACATGACATGATGTTGAAATTTTTTTTATTGATGTTTTTCAAATCCCGAACAGGACAGCAATGAGTATCCTATGTTCGTATTATGTGTTTGCATATATATATATATATATATATATATATATATATATATATATATATATGCCTATAGAGGAAGGGAGGGGACTGCTAGGCGCGCTTACAGCTTGTTTTCTAGCATCTCCCAGAAGAGAATTAGATATACGAGCCGACCCGCTGCGTATCATACGCCGCTATTTAGTTGTTTTTTTTTTCTACTTTTCAGTAATTTATAATTTGTGAATTTGACAGTACCAATGCTGCCACTGAAAATATTTGCTTAAAAACACTAAACCCCCCTTCCCCCCCCCCCCCCCCCCACGTGAAAGCAGCCTCCTCTTAGTTACCTCCTCTAAGTTTAAAATCGTTTCAAACTAAGTTATCTGCCCCTAATAGCCGTCACCAAACCCGTCTATATGATTGTAAAATGTAAACAGCGTGAACCACAGCTCACCAGACCATGTGAGGGGGTGGGGGATGGGGGGTGGTAGCGATAGAGAGGAAGAGAGGGGACTGTAAGGCGCGCTTGCAGCTTGTTTTCTAACGGCTCCCAGAAGAGAATTATATATATAGATAGATTAACCCCTTTTTAATTTCTTAGTCAACGCTAACGCAAAAATCACCCAGCCGTGAAAACTGTTAAAAGTATATATTTTCTATATAAATTATATAAATTTCATTTCGTTCGGGGGGGGGGGGGGGCGCGGGGGGGGGGGGGGGGGGGGGGGAGGGCGGTAAAAATTTTTCGGGGGGGGGGGGGCTTTGCAAAGCATGGAAAAACATCTGTTGGTCTGATGTTGGGCATAGCGAGGGCAGACATCTGTTGGTCTGTTGTTGAGCATAGCGAGGGCAGAGATCTGATGGTCTGATCTTCGGCATAGCGAGGGCAGACATCTGATGGTCTGATGTTGGGCATAGCGAGGGCAGACATCTGATGGTCTGATGTTGGGCATAGCGAGGGCAGACATCTGTTGGTCTGATGTTGGGCATAGCGAGGGCAGACATCTGTTGGTCTGATGTTGGGCATAGCGAGGGCAGACATCTGTTGGTCTGATTTTGGGCATAGCGAGGGCAGACACCTGTTGGTCTGATGTTGGGCATAGCGAGGGCAGAAATCGGATGGTCTGATGTTGGGCATAGCGAGGGCAGACATCTGTTGGTCTGATGTTGGGCATAGCGAGGGCAGACATCTGTTGGTCTGATGTTGGGCATAGCGAGGGCAGACATCTGTTGGTCTGATGTTGGGCATAGCGAGGGCAGACATCTGTTGGTCTGATGTTGGGCATAGCGAGGGCAGACATCTGTTGGTCTGATGTTGGGCATAGCGAGGGCAGACATCTGTTGGTCTGATGTTGGGCATAGCGAGGGCAGACATTTTTTGACGAACTCTGAAGCAACTAATGAACTTACCACCTAATCGATATCGACTGGGAAAGCCTGTTCCCAATTCACGCTGGGAACGCCTTAAGTTTCAATCGGCTTACGGGGACCGCTGTTTTTCCAGGTGATGCAAACTACAGATTTCAAATAGCTGGTTAATAGAAAAACCTTTGGGGGTCTATTGGTTGTGCAAGATCAATAAATTTTGTTAAACAATGTCGTTTTAGCAAATTTTTTGTGTGTATAATCAAATTTGTTTAAAATTGTTTAAGAGTTTGGATAGTTTATGAAATAAATTTTCCATAGTCCAGCAAAATTGAGTGGCTGTTCCGAACGAAACGCGAAATTTTTAGGCCTAGCATTGAATGTATCAGGAAATTGAGTAGCCAAATTTGAATTTTCAGTGAAATTGAGTGGCCAGCTTTGAAATAATTTCAGCATTGGGTGGCCAGCTTTGAAATAATTTCAACATTGGGTGGCCAGCTTTGAAATAATTGCAACATTGGGTGGCCAGCTTTGAAATAATTGCTACATTGAGTGGCGAGCTTTGAAATAATTGCTACATTGGGTGGCCAGCTTTGAAATCATTGCTACATTGGGGTGGCCAGCTTTGAAATCATTGCTACATTGGGTGGCCATCTTTGAAATCATTGGTACATTGGGTGGCCAGCTTTGCAATAATTGCTACATTGGCTGGCCAGCTTTGAAATAATTGCAACATTGGGTGGCCAGCTGTGTAGTATAAATGAATAGCACGGACTCTACCGTTTAAAACTGCTTTTCTGAAGGTGAGATAAAACACAGCTTCGTGTGCTAGTGTGCAGTGAGCTTAAGGTGTCACAAGTACTAAAGTATAGTGAGCTTAAGGTGTCGGACACAAGTGTTAGCGTATATGAGCTTAAGGTGTCACAAGTGCTGTCATGCTTTATAAGCATAATATCAGAATATGGACATTGTGTATTGTCTCGCTCCTAAAGCATCAACGACATAGAGCCGCTATCTCGTAAACTGCTGACGACTTCAACATTACGTTTGCTGTTAAATCCTCTCTTACCATTGTACCCAGTAACCCCCTTCACACCTCTTTAGCCTACATTGCTTATCTGGCAACATTGTATTTTTTTCTGTCTTGTCCCCGCTTGGCCAGGTTTTATTCCAATCGATTGAGAAAAGCCAAAGAGCAACAAACAGCGGCCAACCTACAGGATTATCTCAAGCATCCCAATGGCGTATACCACAGCATCAAGCAATTTGCTGCTGAATACAAAGGAATTCGTTCCCTTCTAAGTATAAATTTATTGGTCACTGATATATAAATAGATAAATGAATGAATAAATAAATAAATAAATAAATAAATAAGTATATATATCTATATATCTATCTATATATATCTATCTATCTATCTCTCTCTCTCTCTCTCTCTCTCTCTCTCTCTCTCCTCTCTCTCTCTCTCTATATATATATATATATATATATATATACATATATATAGCTGGTTCTGTATCATCGCAGCAATGGGTTATGTTTGGACGAGATTTTCTTTCGTTATTTTCTTACTTGAATGCCTCTACATTTTTTAAATTGAAATAGTGAAGTTTAAGTTTTATTTTAAAAAATACAATAACATATAACAACCGCACACATATCACATTGAATAAAACATTGTTCTTTATTGTAATAGTGAAGTTGGAGTTTTATTAGAAAAAACAAAAAAACACATACATATCACGTGAATAAAACAATCGAATTGTCCCCAGACTCCAGTCCCTCTGTCAGTAAACATCTGAATGGTATAGCGACTGAAGATGATCTTGCTGGTGCTAGACGATCTTTTCTCAGACTGCAGGTCAGATTGACTGGGAATTTTAAAAGTCGAATTAATTTAAATAACGACCTAATTAATATTTAACGAGAAAACGAAAAAGATGAGTTTTTAGAATAACACAATTAAAAACCATTTTAAAAATTAAAATGTGACACTAATGTAAATTTGTTTGATTTTATTCTCCAATTTTTAGACGGTTTACGGTTTTGAGCCTTCTGAGATGGTAAAGGGGGAGTACTTAGGATACTCAGGGCCTGGGCTTTCCGTTCTTGACGCCTTCCAGGTCGGCCAAACAGCATTTGCAGGTCATTCTAAACTGGTTTACACAATCTACAACTATTTTTACATCTCCTATCCACCTCTTCAAGTCACTTTCTTGTTATGAATATATAAACTTTATTTCGTTTGGAATATACAAAAACTTTATTTAAAAAAAAAACAACTAAGACTAAAAGCAGAAACATATCGTCCCCTCAGTATTATCTTGTTCTAACTACAAATTTTGATTTTTTTCGAAAAACTCGACCCTATGATGTAGAAAAGCACTATGTTCAATCTCCACTTATCTACGTGACTCTAAGTCATCTGCTTCCTACCAAACTTTTCAATTTGACATTGTTCTAACTACAAGTTGATGCATTTGGCCAGTATAATCTTGTTCTATGTCAATTTTATTATATGATTCTGTTCTAACAGTATAATATGTTAAAAATATTGGTGATTTTTTTTTCTCTGGTCAAACAGAAGGTGAGATCAACGCGTCCATCTCCTGGCTGAACGCGACCTATGACCTCAAGCGGAGCCAGTCCCCGGGGAGCAGCGAGTATCCATCTGAGGGTCAAATTTTGGCCCTGCTAGGCCGGGCGTATTTGAGGGTAACTGACCATCATGTTGGCTGGTGTTTTAGACATCGCTAGTGGCGTCACTAGTTAGGGTATTATCCGGTTCAATCCACCCACGACCATCATTCCAGTATAAGGCGGCAGACCCTGCTTATAAATACAACATGAGATTAGTTCAGCCAATTTGTTTTCTGTCCGTCTTTTCTAAAGACTTCTATACAACAGAGCAGTTTTTGTTTTAAATTTTCGATTTTTGTAACATTTAAAACTATTATAAAACTATGATATTGTGAGTAGACCACACAATAATTACTGCAAAAGACAAAGGGACGCTATTAAGTCCATATTGAACTATTTTCGATTTGCATCCATTAGAGAAAGTAACAAACAACTTTCAACATAGTAGATCACCTTAGCCTTTACTTATTGTTATTGACCACAACACTACAATAACATTTGATGTCTGTGGCCTATAACAATCCAATAACATATGATGTTTTAAGCCGATGTAAGCTTGTATCGTATGAGGTTATGGTGATTAAAGAGCAATGAGTGCTGATATTCTATTGGTAATTTGCTGTTAACTTATTTGATACTTGTTTAAGATTTTAAGTAACTATGTTCATACTGGTTATTTTTTATTCTTCTTTCGACAGCTTAACGAAGATAACAGAGCTTTGGAGCTGTACAAGAAAGCTTACATTTCAGGTGAGTGTATGACAGTAGTGGTCATTTCTGTTGTTGAAAACATAACAAAAACTTTGTTAAAAAAACATTAAAGTTTAAGCTTCAATTTCCACCGTATAAATTATTGATTTAGCTGAGAGTTTCATTTTACTTGCTGGCATAAATCGCAAATAATGTTATTGGCTGAAAGTAATTAATTCTGTGTAATTACTTCTCTTTCTGTCTCTCTACATTGACAAGATCACTACACCATTTTCTTACCTCCGAGCTAAGATATCACTTTTTGTCTGTCCACTAAATCCCACTCACCATTTTCTTACCTCCGAGCTAAGATATCACTTTCTGTCAGTCGACAAAATCCCACTCACCATTTTCTTACCTCCGAGCTAAGATATCGCTTTCCATCAACTAGATCCCACAAATGGCGACGTATTTGAGCTTAACAAAGAGCTGGTCACCAAGCCAAGAGCTGCACCTAAGGAGAAGAACCTGTCGGAACAAAACTTCGCCCGACTCTGCGCTCTACAAAACAAACCAACAGCGGTAAGCTAGGATGGAATACTTGCACTAGTGTAGTAGGGATCAAGATTGTATGGAGCTGTCTCTAAAACGTTAGTTGCACAAGTTGAAAATAATGTGGAAACGTAGAAACTAAAGAGTAAAATTTGATACTTTTTCGGGATTGACGGCCCTTAGGGTATGTAGAGTAGAGTTTATCGTTTTTTATGACATGCGAAGTCAAACTTTGCCCGGCCAAGTGGTTAGAGCTGTGTGGACATCTTACTGACTCGGGTTCGAAAACAGAATTCGACGTTTTCGATTAAACCTTCCCAAGGACATGTTGGAGTATCTCTTTTGACCTTGGCATGCACGTTGATTGTGTGGTCAGCTCATAGTTTCTCTGCCATTTTATTCTCACACTTGAGTTAAAGCCGAAGTCTCAGAAACAGGTAAACCCTGCTTCACTTACCCCATGAACCGCCAGGTTCGAAAAAGGGAACGTTACTGAGAACTCTGTACAAATGCAATACAGATTTAACACTCTCGGGTAATATGAAGTTTAATTTTAAAAACAACAACTAAAAACACATACCTTTTTTGGCAGGATGTAAAATTACTTCAAATGAACATGTAATATGCACATTCCTAAATTGAGATCTAAACCATTCCCCAAACCATTACCATGTAGAGACGGATTAACTCCAATGAAATATCTATTTCAAATCATGTGACAATTTATCTCCAAACTTACTCGTTTTACTTTCCAGGGTCCATTTGACGGCAGACATGTCTGTTTTTACCGTCCCGCCGTCTCCGCCCCCTACTACAGGTTCAAGCAGGAGGTCTTGTCCATCTCTCCTTACGTGGCACTGTTTTACGACGTGCTGTCAGACAAAGAGGGTCAGGATATTGTTGACATAGCCAGGGGAAAGGTAGCAATATGTCAGCATCTTTTTCTAGTTACACCTCATGTGCCCTACAACTCAAACAATATGCCAGCATGTTTCTCTAGTTACACCTCATGTGCTCTACAACTGTAGCAATATGCCAGCATCTTTCTCTAGCTACACGTCATGTGCTCTACAACTCAAACAATATGCCAGCATATTTCTCTAGTTACACCTCATGTGTTCTACAACTCAAACAATATGCCAGCATCTTTATCTAGCTACATCTCATGTGCCCTACAACTCAAACAATATGCCAGCATCTTTCTCTAGCTACACCTCATGTGCTCTACAACTCAAACAATATGCCAGCATCTTTCTCTAGCTACACCTCATGTGTTCTACAACTGTAGCAATATGCCAGCATCTTTCGCTAGCTACACCTCATGTGTTCTACAACTCAAACAATATGCCAGCATCTTTCTCTAGTTATACCTCATGTGCCCTACAACTCAAACAATATGCCAGCATCTTTCTCTAGCTACACCTCATGTGCCCTACAACTGTAGATATATGCCAGCATCTTTCTCTAGCTACACCTCATGTGCCCTACAACTCAAACAATATGCCAGCATCTTTCTCTAGTTACACCTCATGCGTTCTACAACTCAAACAATATGCCAGCATCTTTCTCTAGTTACACCTCATGTGTTCTACAACTCAAACAATATGCCAGCATCTTTCTCTAGCTACACCTCATGTGCCCTACAACTGTAGATATATGCCAGCATCTTTCTCTAGCTACACCTCATGTGCCCTACAACTCAAACAATATGCCAGCATCTTTCTCTAGCTACACCTCATGTGCCCTACAACTCAAACAATATGCCAACATCTTTCTCTAGCTACACCTCATGTGTTCTACAACTCAAACAATATGCCAGCATCTTTCTCTAGCTACACCTCATGTGCCCTACAACTGTAGATATATGCCAGCATCTTTCTCTAGCTACACCTCATGTGCCCTACAACTCAAACAATATGCCAGCATCTTTCTCTAGCTACATCTCATGTGCCCTACAACTGTAGCAATATGCCAGCATCTTTCTCTAGCTACACCTCATGTGCCCTACAACTGTAGCAATATGCCAGCATCTTTCTCTAGCTACACCTCATGTGCCCTACAACTCAAACAATATGCCAGCATCTTTCTCTAGCTACACCTCATGTGCCCTACAACTGTAGATATATGCCAGCATCTTTCTCTAGCTACACCTCATGTGTTCTACAACTCAAACAATATGCCAGCATCTTTCTCTAGCTACACCTCGTGTGCCCTACAACTCAAACAATATGCCAGCATCTTTCTCTAGCTACACCTCATGTGCCCTACAACTGTAGATATATGCCAGCATCTTTCTCTAGCTACACCTCATGTGCCCTACAACTGTAGATATATGCCAGCATCTTTCTCTAGCTACACCTCATGTGCCCTACAACTGTAGATATATGCCAGCATCTTTCTCTAGCTACACCTCATGTGCCCTACAACTGTAGATATATGCCAGCATCTTTCTCTAGCTACACCTCATGTGCTCTACAACTCAAACAATATGCCAGCATCTTTCTCTAGCTACACCTCATGTGCCCTACAACTCAAACAATATGCCAGCATGTTTCTCTAGTTACACCTCATGTGCTCTACAACTGTAGCAATATGCCAGCATCTTTCTCTAGCTACACCTCATGCGTTCTACAACTGTAGCAATATGCCAGCATCTTTCTCTAGCTACACCTCATGTGTTCTACAACTGTAGCAATATGCCAGCATCTTTCTCTAGCTACACCTCATGTGTTCTACAACTCAAACAATATTCCAGCATCTTTCTCTAGCTACACCTCATGTGCCCTACAACTCAAACAATATGCCAACATCTTTCTCTAGCTACACCTCATGTGCCCTACAACTCAAACAATATGCCAGCATGTTTCTCTAGCTACACCTCGTGTGCCCTACAACTCAAACAATATGCCAGCATCTTTCTCTAGTTACACCTCATGTGCCCTACAACTGTAGCAATATGCCAGCATCTTTCTCTAGCTACACCTCATGCGTTCTACAACTGTAGCAATATGCCAGCATCTTTCTCTAGCTACACCTCATGTGTTCTACAACTCAAACAATATGCCAGCATCTTTCTCTAGCTACACCTCATGTGCCCGACAACTCAAACAATATGCCAGCATCTTTCTCTAGCTACACCTCATGTGCCCTACAACTCAAACAATATGCCAGCATCTTTCTCTAGCTACACCTCATGTGCCCTACAACTGTAGCAATATGCCAACATCTTTCTCTAGCTACACCTCATGTGTTCTACAACTCAAACAATATGCCAGCATCTTTCTCTAGCTACACCTCATGTGCCCTACAACTCAAACAATATGCCAGCATCTTTCTCTAGCTACATCTCATGTGCCCTACAACTGTAGCAATATGCCAGCATCTTTCTCTAGCTACACCTCATGTGCCCTACAACTGTAGATATATGCCAGCATCTTTCTCTAGCTACACCTCATGTGTTCTACAACTCAAACAATATGCCAGCATCTTTCTCTAGCTACACCTCGTGTGCCCTACAACTCAAACAATATGCCAGCATCTTTCTCTAGCTACACCTCATGTGCCCTACAACTGTAGATATATGCCAGCATCTTTCTCTAGCTACACCTCATGTGCCCTACAACTGTAGATATATGCCAGCATCTTTCTCTAGCTACACCTCATGTGCCCTACAACTGTAGATATATGCCAGCATCTTTCTCTAGCTACACCTCATGTGCCCTACAACTGTAGATATATGCCAGCATCTTTCTCTAGCTACACCTCATGTGCTCTACAACTCAAACAATATGCCAGCATCTTTCTCTAGCTACACCTCATGTGCCCTACAACTCAAACAATATGCCAGCATGTTTCTCTAGTTACACCTCATGTGCTCTACAACTGTAGCAATATGCCAGCATCTTTCTCTAGCTACACCTCATGCGTTCTACAACTGTAGCAATATGCCAGCATCTTTCTCTAGCTACACCTCATGTGTTCTACAACTGTAGCAATATGCCAGCATCTTTCTCTAGCTACACCTCATGTGTTCTACAACTCAAACAATATGCCAGCATCTTTCTCTAGCTACACCTCGTGTGCCCTACAACTCAAACAATATGCCAGCATCTTTCTCTAGCTACACCTCATGTGCCCTACAACTGTAGATATATGCCAGCATCTTTCTCTAGCTACACCTCATGTGCCCTACAACTGTAGATATATGCCAGCATCTTTCTCTAGCTACACCTCATGTGCCCTACAACTGTAGATATATGCCAGCATCTTTCTCTAGCTACACCTCATGTGCCCTACAACTGTAGATATATGCCAGCATCTTTCTCTAGCTACACCTCATGTGCTCTACAACTCAAACAATATGCCAGCATCTTTCTCTAGCTACACCTCATGTGCCCTACAACTCAAACAATATGCCAGCATGTTTCTCTAGTTACACCTCATGTGCTCTACAACTGTAGCAATATGCCAGCATCTTTCTCTAGCTACACCTCATGCGTTCTACAACTGTAGCAATATGCCAGCATCTTTCTCTAGCTACACCTCATGTGTTCTACAACTGTAGCAATATGCCAGCATCTTTCGCTAGCTACACCTCATGTGTTCTACAACTCAAACAATATTCCAGCATCTTTCTCTAGCTACACCTCATGTGCCCTACAACTCAAACAATATGCCAACATCTTTCTCTAGCTACACCTCATGTGCCCTACAACTCAAACAATATGCCAGCATGTTTCTCTAGCTACACCTCGTGTGCCCTACAACTCAAACAATATGCCAGCATCTTTCTCTAGTTACACCTCATGTGCCCTACAACTGTAGCAATATGCCAGCATCTTTCTCTAGCTACACCTCATGCGTTCTACAACTGTAGCAATATGCCAGCATCTTTCTCTAGCTACACCTCATGTGTTCTACAACTCAAACAATATGCCAGCATCTTTCTCTAGCTACACCTCATGTGCCCGACAACTCAAACAATATGCCAGCATCTTTCTCTAGCTACACCTCATGTGCCCTACAACTCAAACAATATGCCAGCATCTTTCTCTAGCTACACCTCATGTGCCCTACAACTGTAGCAATATGCCAACATCTTTCTCTAGCTACACCTCATGTGTTCTACAACTCAAACAATATGCCAGCATCTTTCTCTAGCTACACCTCATGTGCCCTACAACTCAAACAATATGCCAGCATCTTTCTCTAGCTACATCTCATGTGCCCTACAACTGTAGCAATATGCCAGCATCTTTCTCTAGCTACACCTCATGTGCCCTACAACTGTAGATATATGCCAGCATCTTTCTCTAGCTACACCTCATGTGTTCTACAACTCAAACAATATGCCAGCATCTTTCTCTAGCTACACCTCGTGTGCCCTACAACTCAAACAATATGCCAGCATCTTTCTCTAGCTACACCTCATGTGCCCTACAACTCAAACAATATGCCAGCATCTTTCTCTAGCTACACCTCATGTGCTCTACAACTGTAGCAATATGCCAGCATCTTTCTCTAGCTACACCTCATGCGTTCTACAACTGTAGCAATATGCCAGCATCTTTCTCTAGCTACACCTCATGTGTTCTACAACTGTAGCAATATGCCAGCATCTTTCGCTAGCTACACCTCATGTGTTCTACAACTGTAGCAATATGCCAGCATCTTTCTCTAGCTACACCTCATGTGCCCTACAACTCAAACAATATGCCAGCATCTTTCTCTAGCTACACCTCATGTGCTCTACAACTGTAGCAATATGCCAGCATCTTTCTCTAGCTACACCTCATGTGTTCTACAACTGTAGCAATATGCCAGCATCTTTCGCTAGCTACACCTCATGTGCCCTACAACTCAAACAATATTCCAGCATCTTTCTCTAGCTACACCTCATGTGCCCTACAACTCAAACAATATGCCAGCATGTTTCTCTAGTTACACCTCATGTGCTCTACAACTGTAGCAATATGCCAGCATCTTTCTCTAGCTACACCTCATGCGTTCTACAACTGTAGCAATATGCCAGCATCTTTCGCTAGCTACACCTCATGTGTTCTACAACTCAAACAATATGCCAGCATGTTTCTCTAGTTACACCTCATGTGCTCTACAACTGTAGCAATATGCCAGCATCTTTCTCTAGCTACACCTCATGTGTTCTACAACTGTAGCAATATGCCAGCATCTTTCTCTAGCTACACCTCATGTGCCCTACAACTCAAACAATATGCCAGCATCTTTCTCTAGCTACACCTCATGTGCCCTACAACTGTAGATATATGCCAGCATCTTTCTCTAGCTACACCTCATGTGTTCTACAACTCAAACAATATGCCAGCATCTTTCTCTAGCTACACCTCGTGTGCCCTACAACTCAAACAATATGCCAGCATCTTTCTCTAGCTACATCTCATGTGCCCTACAACTGTAGATATATGCCAGCATCTTTCTCTAGCTACACCTCATGTGCTCTACAACTCAAACAATATGCCAGCATCTTTCTCTAGCTACACCTCATGTGCCCTACAACTCAAACAATATGCCAGCATGTTTCTCTAGTTACACCTCATGTGCTCTACAACTGTAGCAATATGCCAGCATCTTTCTCTAGCTACACCTCATGCGTTCTACAACTGTAGCAATATGCCAGCATCTTTCTCTAGCTACACCTCATGTGCCCTACAACTGTAGCAATATGCCAGCATCTTTCTCTAGCTACACCTCATGTGTTCTACAACTCAAACAATATGCCAGCATCTTTCTCTAGTTACACCTCATGTGCCCTACAACTCAAACAATATGCCAGCATCTTTCTCTAGCTACACCTCATGTGCCCTACAACTCAAACAATATGCCAGCATCTTTCTCTAGTTACACCTCATGTGCCCTACAACTGTAGCAATATGCCAGCATCTTTCTCTAGCTACATCTCATGTGCCCTACAACTGTAACATTTTTACAAGCTTGTTTTCAATATTTCATACAGCTCAACAGAGGAACCGTGGAGAGGTCAGGGTCGTCTATCCATAACGAAGGAAGGACAAGTGATTTGTAAGTACCACAACATTCAGTAAACTAGATAAATAGATTATACCACAGTATAAGCGCTTTTGTTTTCTTGATATACATAATAATAGACACATGTTTAAAAGTTTCTATTTAAAATGGCACATTTCCTTTGAAGATTTATTGTTTGATAAACAGTTATACAAGCAAATCGTTTTAAAGAAACATTGTTGGTATTACCTAATTACTACAGAAAGTGATGTAATATGTAAAGTCTTGCTAATTTAAAAACCTACCAGTAGCGCCACAAGGCAGGTGCGGGGGGGGGGGGGGGGGGGGGGGAAGAGGGGGAAGAGAAATCAGTCCACATTGGGTGACACAATTTCGGAGTGACGCTAAGCCGAAAAAAATCGCAGGATTTAGTGTCAAAACAATTATTTATCCAGTTAAGTATTGTAATAGTAGGGATAGGGATGACGCCAAACCGAAAATGCAAAATTGTTAGGGGGGGGGGGTGACACCATGAATGACACCCGACCTAGTGACGCCACAGTGACCCACTGTTTCATGTATGGACTTCAGGTCGTTTATTTTCGACAAAGAGTCCGAGCTTGTGAAACAACTGGGTAAACGAGTTGGGGCGATCACAGGACTGGACACCTCACAAGATCCTTCAGGATTCCCCTACGTCGGTGAGCCATTCCAGGTATCGCTTGATTTTTTGGTACAACCGTTTGTCTTTGTGGATTGTTGGCATCAGAGTTTCTTCCAGGCATCTCTTCGAAAAAATTTTACCGCCCCCCCCCGAACGAAATGAAATTTATATAATTTATATAGAAAAATATACTTTTAACAGTGTCCGCCCCCCCCCCCCGAAGAAAGTCTACCGCCCCCCGAAAATTTCAAGTGCCCCCCCCCCGGAGAAAAAAGTCTGGAAGAAACTGGTTGGCATCGATTTTAAACTGTGTAGGACAGTGTGTGTGCAGTGTGTCAGAAGGCTATGACCAAATGTGTTGTATGCCAATGAAGCTAGATAATCGTATGGTGTAGATAAAGTCTATAATCCCACTCCTCTATAACACCATACAGTAGTAATCGATCATCAATACACCGATATCCAAAAGCTTATGAGTTTTCCTTCCCCTTAGCCACCATATGACACCACAAAGCCTATAATCTCTCTCATACACAGACTATTTCACACATTTCAGGCAACATGTCAGATCTTAAAAATGATTTATTTCCGGCTCTCGTGATATTGAAGTCTGTTGTTTATATATCGCAATATTCACGGACATTAAACCAGAGGCATAGCGAGGGGGGGGGGGGGGGGTGGCGGGGGTGCGGACCGCACCGGGTGACACCATTTAGGGGGGTGACACCAAGGCAAAATATAGCAAAATATATATAGAAAAACTTGAGCGGGGGGTGCAAATCGAAAGCTTGAGGGGGGGGGGGGGGGAAGTGCAAATCAAAAGTTTGAGGGGGGGGGGGTGCAATCGAAAGTTTGAGGGGGGGGGGGTGTGCAAATCGAAAATTTGAAAGTTTGTCCCCGGGAAGGGTCACTACGCCTCTGGAGGTGACACCATTAAGTGCCGCACCGGGTTATACCCGACCTCGCTACGCCACTGCATTAAACAATTAATATAATAAAAAAATAATAACCTTTAACCATTTTTATTATGAACTTCAACATCCTGTTCTATAACTGGATTTTTGTTAAGCTTATACAACCAGCATTTAACGTGAATGAGCAAGATTTCTGACGACTTGTGGTATCCGGTACTGCTGTAATATTTTGCTATATAACATGCAATTAAAAAAAAAAAATTAAATTTGCCAGCGCTAAAATTATATTTAGCGGGAAAAACTTGAAGCAGGATATCAAGGATCGATTTTCACGTGTTTTATATTCTTTGATTGAAGATAAAATATTGAAAATAATGTTTTGTAAATAAATTATAATTTTAATTCATTAATCCATTCCAAGTTTTGGAAATCTTTTTAAAGTTTTTAGCCAGGGAGAGGTGAAAATTTCAAACTAAATTAATTGTGTACAGTCGGTTGTAACTATAAGATTTCCAAAATCTATAGAATAGTTACAAAACAAAAGATTTGATGATAGTTAAAATACTTTGAGATTTTATTGTATTTTCTAATTTTAAAGTCGATAATTATTTCCAGGTTGTAAACTATGGTATGGGTGGACATTACGGCGTGCACTTGGACCCCTTCGATGAGGTATGATGAATACAACAGTTTACTTTCATACCCACGTTTACTAAATAATTAAGACAATCATATTTTCAACGATCTACTAATTCGTACAGGTTGCCAGAAAAAACAACGCTAAAGTTATGGCAGACAGCGGAAACAGACTGGCCACTTTTCTTATTTATGTAAGCCAATTTAAAATGTTTGTCTTTTCTTTTTAAATAGGCCTACATCAGGCCTTTTAATATTTTGAAATGATGGTGTTAATTATAATGGATATTATTTCAGCTATCGGATGTTGAAAAAGGTGGATCAACAGCTTTTGTAAATGCAGATATTGTTGTACAACCAGTCAAAGTGAGTAGACATAACCAAAAAAAAAAATGTACCCAATGTTACAGAACTTCTTTTTTGTAATTAGACAATATCATTTTTTTTATATGCCAATATTGTATGTATAATATTGTATATTTACCACATAGAACATGGCCCTGTTTTGGTACAGTTTTACCCCTGCAGGGGATTTGGATGAAAAGACATTTCATGCTGGATGTCCTGTTGTTGTAGGACATAAGTGGGGTAGGTTTACACTTTCATAGGACATAAGTAGGGTAGGTTTACACTTTTGTAGGACTTTAGTGAAGGTTTAAACTTTTGTAGGATATAAGTGGGGTAGATTTACACTTTTGTAGGACACAAGTGGGGTAGGTTTACATTTTTGTAGGACATAAGTGGGGTAGGTTTACATTTTTGTAGGACATTAGTGAAGGTTTACATTTTTGTAGGACATAAGTGAAGTAGGTTTACACTTAAGTAGGACATTAGTGGAGTAGGTTTACACTTGTAGGACATTAGAGGAGTAGGTTTACACTTTAGTAAGACATAAATGTGTATGTTTAGACTTTCACATTGTGTAATGCCTTCATGTATGTACTTGTATCAGTAAAGTTATAAGTAAGTGTGTAGTTGTAGGTCTTTAAACTATGTAAACACAAGCATTTTAAGGTCCCTATAATTATGTATGTTTCTTATGCTGTGATATTTCTACCCCTAGTGACCAACAAGTGGATATGGACCTATGGCAACACATTCACCCGCCGCTGTGGACTGAGAAAAACTTCCACACAGATAGACATAGACAAATATATGATACATGGATGGGCATGAGATCAATAGTTTAAATCCTGCTCAGGTTGTGATTTTTAGTTGTAACAAAACTTCATCATTGTCATCACTGAGCTGCCTTATAAAGAAAACACATTACATTACTGTATGGTATTACAAATGTCATTTGTATGAAACTTAACTTAAAACATTGTGTCACCTATTATCACATCACTGTTACCAGTCATGATCAACATAAGAAAACAGTAGTTCCATTCATTATTTGTTTATTGCTGGCACACATTGATAAATGTTTGTAATTGTGTAAAATGCATTTCTGGAATAAAAGTATGGCATGTAGAACAATATAAAATCACGACTTTCAACTAAATTTATCCATTAAATTCATATTTACTAATAATCATACTGAGATAATAATCACCTGATGAAATAAAGCATAATCTACATGGAAAACTCTGATGCAGAGTGAACTTTGACCTATATTGGCCCAGGAAATACTGACATCTATAAGGTGAAATAATTCTTGTTTCTACCTCCATTGTAGGCTTGAGAGAACAAATGAGATTCTTGAAATTACAAAAAAGGTAATCTGTTACTGTTATAGAGGTTAGTGACAAATTGAGACTAGAACCTTGATAGGTAAAATTTGTTAAGAGAAAAAAATTTATATGGAAGAATTACAATAAAACTTCATTGCACAGCAAACACCACAAAATCTGGCCACAAGTGGTCAAGACTTTTCTTTGTTAAATGCATCATAGAGACAAGAGAATTTATCAGGTGATAACAAATTTACATGATAAATTAAATGACCATTTGAAAATTATTTATATTATTAAAAAATATAGCATTAACTATTATAACAGCTGCTGGTATATTTGTATTCCATTCAACAAATTACATACAATTACAATTAAATTACAATGATATAGAAGGCACACTGGAAAAAAATAACAGTGTATAATTTGACAGTGCCTAAAAACACTGATATAAAGCTTGAGAAAATCAACACAAATCAGACCTTGCTAATTGATACCAGATAACTAGTATTGTGTTTCACTGTGTGTAATTTGTGTGGAGAAACTATTCCTTTTAAAATTTGTTTCGTTAATATCATACATAATTTCATTTGAATACTGCAGGCCATCTTTTCTATTTGAAAGTTCTCAGAACAAATCACAAATCCTTTCTGTGTTGGAAGTTGTACAAATATCTTTCTGGTCATGTAGCTGGAAAATCACTTCTTTTACACGAGAAAACTACAGGCAACCACTACCAGAACACACTGATCTAGTAGAAACCACAGTGAAACTCTAAGAAACCAACTCTGGTACAACTTGTAACTATTCAAACTTGATTCCCTGGGCCAGTGGAAGCTGTTTACTGAAGTTTATTGTGCTGCAATAAAGAAATTAATTATTGCAGTGTTAAAAAAAAAAAAAAAATCAAAACAAGACGAAAACTAATAAGCTTGTTAAAACTAAGAGTCAACATGTGTCCAGAATGAAATAAACACATCATTACCAGGTAAATCAAAACAAGACTAAAACTAATAAGCTTGTTAAAACTAAGAGTCAACGTGTGTTCAGAATGTAATAAACACATCATTACCAGGTAGAGCGTCTCATGTACTGTTTCCAAGAGTCACTGCCAGATTCTCTGCCTCCACCTGTGTGCTTCTCTCCCCCTGATGACAATACAAGCTTCACATTATTTACATTAAAGAGAGGGGATACACTTTAAAAAAGTAATGTAGCTTGTCAGATAAATTAATATATTCAAGATTTAGAACCTTAAGATTTAGAAATAAATCTACAATCTCCTCTAAAAATTAGCTTGCCATACAACAACAATAAAGCGTATCACTTGCTTCAGATCACTAGCTTAAGTTGCATAACAATGTCACAGAAAGATCTAAGTGTTCTTTAAAAATATAATCTCATTAAAACAAAGAAACCTACCAAATGCCCCTCCTATTTCAGCTCCATTAGTAGGTATGTTGACATTCACAATGCCACAATCAGATCCCTTTGGTCTGGGGGTTACAAAAGACAAAAACTACTTTCATGGAAGTAAAAAAAACTCTACAAGAGAAAATAAGCTTGGAGGAAAAGAAATTTCATTAAAAAACACAAATAGGAAGTGACTTTTCATACCCTATCCACTTGTAAATAGTGCTCAAATCTTTGGTAAAGACACTACTGGAAAGGCCTTGTTTAACTTCATTGTTCCACGTCATGGCTTCATCCATACTCTATTTAACAAATAAACAATGTTAAAATGTGTGTTCTATGGATAGTAGAGCTATTTAAACAAGAATTGTAACATCTAAATCAAATCAAGTCAAAAGTATAACAGAGTCTCACAAACCTGGCACTTGAGGACATAGACAATAGGAACAAATGTTTCCTTGAGAACTACTTTTGCATCATGGGAAAGTCCAGTTATGATGGTGGGTTCCACATAATTTCCAGGTCGCTTCAGCACCTTAGATTTCAAACAGAAACAGTTTAAGAGAAGAAAAAAAGTGAACATTCTAAAAATAGTATTATTATAAACAGCTACAGGACATTAACCCCCCCCCCTGTCAATAAGAATACTTGAGAAAGTTTAAGGGAGATCAGTCACGCTTTATTTTTATTTAAAAACGTTTCTCTAAAAAGAAGTTAGTGCACTATTAAAAATATTTTTTTAATTTTTGTGACATCACCCCCCTCAAGTTAGAACCCTAACCCTAACTCAAGGTACCTTAAACTAAACTTAAGAAAAAGACCAAAACCTAAACCTAAACATTCACCTCAGCCTAAAACTTAACACAAAACCAAAACCAACTCTAGACATTAGTTTGAGCCTAACCTTGACTAACCCTATCCCTGACACTAATCCTAACCCCAAATCTAGCCCTAACCCTCACACTAACCCTAACCCTAACTAGCTGTACCGTAAGCTATGTTTGGATGTTCAGGGGGGGGGGGGTAATTGACAGGGGGGAAATTACTCCTGGGGGAGGGGGTAATTGACCCGGGAGGGGGGGTAAAATGCCCTGTTCCCATTATAAACAAATTCAAAATTACCTTTCCGCCATAAATAATTTTCCCCCCTTGTGCTTCAGCCTCTTCAATAGTTTCAACATATTTTTGAACAGCTTCTGGATTATGCAGTGGGCCATATAGTGTACCTTCTACCATTAGAAAAATTAATAATACATGAAGCAGTATTATGGATGTAAAAATAAAGTGATTAATTCTACAACTACAACAGTATGCAATTTAATGCTAAATATTAACCCCCACAAAATGTTAAGCAAGCATCCAAACCTTCTATTGGATCTCCAATCCTCAGCTGAGCATAGGCCTTTGCTAACTTTTCAATAACCATGTCATGTACTTTCTCATGTAAAATCTTGAAATAAACAAAATAAATAAAGCTAAAATTAAACCCCATTTGATGTCACAAAAATAAAAAATATAATTATAATAGTGCACTAACTTTTTGTCAGAGAAATGTATTTAAATAAAAAAGTAAAGTGTGGCAGGACTGACCAGCCTTCTGGTTGTAGTGCACCTTTGACCGGCTGTTCCAGCACAGGCAAAAACAGCTGATCTAACCACCATATCAATATCAGCATCTTCGTTCACTGCAACCAAAGCGAGTAGATGTAAAATTTAATCCTAAAAAAAATGTCATTAATCATAGATTAGCTAATATTAAAAAGTCTCTCAACAACTTACCAATAATTGCATTGTTTCCACCAAGTTCCAAAAGAAATTTTCCTGAAAATCAAGTTGTAATAAAAGTAAACATTCATATTCAATCATTTTTAGGCATATTAAATACAACAGTAAAAAATTTGTTTTAATCTATTTTTAAAAAAATATGGAAAAATAGAAAAAACTCTTTACAGTACGGGCATGAAAAAGATTCAATTTCTAATATGGACAGTCAATGAGACAACACATCTTTAAACCACTGCACTTTAAAAAAGATTGGAAAAAAAAAATATCCACAAAAATAAAACAAAAAGCATTATATAATAAAGTATTTTATAATAAATAAAAGAACATTTATCCCTGAAAAACATAAATCAAACGCAACTTCTAATAAAAATTGTTTTAGGAAATCTTACCAAAGCGTTCCTGAACCATGAGGGAAACTTTTTGACCCACCTAGGTTAAAAGAAAACCATAATTAGAAAATAACAATTGCTTTCCTGTTTCATATGTAAGTTTGGAGAAAGTTGTTACTTACAGGTGTACTTCCAGTAAAAGATAATAGATTGACTCGTTCATCCTTTGACATTAATGTCCTAATGAAAATTAAATAAAACAAAATAAATTTATTTTGTTAAACCCAAGCATTCTGTAATACCAATGTCCTAATTAATTCTATTTTCCAAATCTTTCTTTAAAACTCATTTGATAACAGCTGTACTAGAACTCAATGAAATAGAATAAAAAGAACCCACCCAATTTCAGCTCCACCACTAACAAGAGAGCAAATAGCACCTGGAATGTTATTTTTTTCAAGCACTGAGCTGATCACCCTAGAGAAAAGATTACAATTTGAAATAATTAAAGGCACAAAATTATATATATACATGCATATAATATATTAAATATATTTCTAATGTGTTAACACAGCTACAATTTTAGAAACTTCATATTTAAAGTTTTATAAATACTTTCATACTAGTAATGGAAGTAACTCTACACTACTGTCATGAGCTTCATCAGACTACTGACTAGCAATATAAGATACAACAGTAAAGGAATTTTTAGAGAAGAAACATGAGCTTGTTAGTTTCTGTCATCATATTTACCAAGGGGACTCTACAGCTTTACTAGCCAAAGTGAGTAAGTCAATCAGATTAATAAAGAAATGTCACTGAATTCTTACTTTGTTACAGCAACACTAACAAGATGTGTAGATGGAGCTCCTTTCCTAGATGCAAAACAAAACAAAAATCATTAAAATAAAATAGATTTAGCAGCGAATTTATACATCTCTACTGTCTGTTCAATATTTAATTACCACAGCATTGCATTTCCACAAATCATGCCAATGGCTGAGTTCCACCCATACACAGCGCAGGGAAAATTGAAAGCACTTATAACACCAACAACACCAAGAGGATTCCATTGCTCCAACAGCAAGTGTCCTGGTCCTGAAATATAAGTGAGGCAGGTAAACATGAGAAATTGGGTCTAAGACAGAAGACACTTGTCTGAAAGATGTTTGCCTGGAAGCAAATTTCCAGACTAATCAATGGGTCAAATTCAATTAGCTGTAATGGACATTTACAATAATATTATATTATATAAAGAAGCTATTAATTTATAAAATTTATTAACAGAAGTTGTATATGCAAACAGAACTTTGGTTAACATTTTAGAGATTTTACTTTTGTTTTTAAAAAGTGAGAAAATAATTTGTATTGCTGTTGCAAAAGAATCATTTTGATAAAGTTTAGAACACATATATAATATACTTTATGAAATAAAAATAATGGCAAAAAGTAACAAAATTTTAAATCTAAAAGATTGTGTGAACACAAGCAGTGAAGTACTGTAGGCAGCATTGTCTGTGACATTGAAGTAGAGCTACTTGATAAGTCAACATGTTCAGATGGTTATACCACACTTGCTGCAGGTTGTGTTGAACATTGAACAAAGGCTTATTCCATAAATTTCTAATTGCATAGATTTGCTTTATTTTATACTTATATAGGATATTATGTTTAGCTGATGCTGTGCGGTAATATTTTCACAAATCATAAGCAATTTAGGCAGCGACCTAGTCACTTTCATTTTAATTTCCATTTAACATACCTTGATTAGACAATGTGTTTAAGTGAATACTTAATAATGTAGTTAAATTTTATATGAAATAAAATGTTATTTTAAAGGTGTTCGATATTTAGAAAAAACATATAAAAAACAATTCTGCTGTTAAGTTTTTTTTACCGTATTGATAGAAAAATTAATTTTTTTTCTTAATCAATCATTACCAGCAGTATCACAAAAAAATGTCAATAGTCTATTTGGGCAATCCGCATTCAAGATAATGGTCTTACGAGTAATAAAGTTTTGTACAATTTTTCATTTGGGAAAACTGCCTCAGGGCAAACATCTAGCACCCATGTTACAAGTATAGTTTTTGCGGCTTTATGAAAACAGAAGGATACTCACTCTCAGATGGGAATATACTCCCAGAAAATGTGCGTGACAACCCAACAGCATAATCACAGATATCAATGTACTCCTGAACCTCTCCTTCACCTTCTGCCAATATTTTGCCCATTTCTAAGGAAATCTAAAAAAAAAAACAAGAGGGAAAATTAGAAAAATTTAAATGGATATAATTTTGTCTGGTAATGTTTTTGTTAGTAGGCTCTTAAACATTCGCTTTTGAGTCTTTTTACATTAAAAACTGGCAGTGGTTTGTCATTTGAGTTTCAAAACAAGTACAGGCTGTTATTTTTTCACTCTTCAGTGAGAGACATATAGGAACATTTGTTTTAACTTTAGTTATGAGAAAAAAACCAAATTCATATTAGCAAAATGAATATATCTATGACTTCATAACTAGATTAATTTTACGTCTAAAATTATTACATCTGTAGTTATACACAAGTGCAAACTGACTATGTTGCCTGGTAAAAATAAGAAAATTTAGAGGGTAACAACATGTACCTATAATGCTAATGTACAAATAAATTGCCGTCTGTTATTTTCTGAAGAAGTTACTTAAGCAGCGTCTAGATAACAGCAGGTAAAACAAAACAGATTTAAAACAAAAGCTTACCAGCTTTCCCAACAGATATTTTTTCTCTCTCAAGGCATCTCCTATTTGCCGAACTATCTCTCCTCTTTGTGGGGCTGGAATCTGTGTGGAAGACACAGATAACAAATAAATCAAATTAATGGATAAAACAAATGAATAGTAATAAGTGAAATCATAACTTGTAAACATAATGATTTTGAAAAATTATTTTAGTATTTGAGTTAGAGCTTTTTAAAATCCTAAAATAATACAAATCACTATCTTCTACTTACATCTGCCCATTTTCCCCATGCTTCTCTAGCTGCTGTTATTGTGCTTTCATAATCAGAATCATTTGCCTGAGAATAAAATATAAAGAAACAATTTAAAAAAAAAATTATTTATAATATAAACTTAGAAACATAAAAATGTGTGTCAGACTACATACCGTAACAACTTGAGCTATTGGCTTATTGTTGGCCGGGCAATGTGTGACCACAACCTGCAAAATAAAATACAAATTTAGCAAACCAAGTTGAATTTAATAAATTCTTTCTTGGATATATTTTAAAACCAAAACAAAAATGATGTTCATTATTTTCAGAGAAAATACTTTCTTACAGAATGATAGAAATGAAAAATGCAATAGGATACTTTAAATTTCAAACCTAACCAAATCCTTGGTCAATAACTTTCAATAAGCAATATGTTTATGCTCAACAGGCAAATATTATATTATAAGACTTTAGTATATTTTCTAAATAACCATCTCTAATGCAGTAAAACTGTGAGGTGAAAAGTTTAAAAATAAATATATAATCTACATGAATAAAATAACTAAACAATAAATTTGAATTATATAGGCCTAAGTTACATTTTGTCTCATGAGACAGTTTAAAATGATGTTTGCAATGTACTGGTTATCCTAAACCATCTTTAGAGGTCATTCCTTTTTCAATTTTCAACATCGTTTGACCATTGATGGTTGTATCCTTTGATGTGCTGACCGCTAAATGTATTGGTTATACTTATCACTAGGGTTTCTTCCAGACATTTTAACTCAGGAGCAACCCAAAACATGCTGGTTAAAGAATTTTTTTTTATATACAAGCCTACCTCAATAATTATGCTGGCAGCATATAGGGTGGATACTCATTGACTTGGGATAAAATAAACTTAAAAGAAATTTAATGAATATATAAAGGAATATGTATACATCGCAAAGGATTTCACACTTTTTAAAAATTAGTTTACCTAACCCATTTTATTGCATATCATCATAAAAAGTCACTTTTTGCTTATTTTAAAATGGCTATTTCTTTTTAAATTAATTACTGAGCTCAATCAACATTTAGTAGATTTCAAAATCTAGATTGATCAGTTTTTTAAAGAGTAAGCATATTTTATCATAAATATAAAAATATAAGCCTAGACCTACATATGTCTACATAATATTAATAATATACTAATACTTAATGTCGTCATATTGTACGCAGGTTTTCTGGTTAGGGGTTAGAAGAAAGTCCTAGGATAGCACACGGAAAATCGCACCAAACTGCACCATCGGCGTAGGCGCTTGATTCAGTTTAGTGAACGACTATGATGTCCCATTGTATTCATAGTCTATCGCATTGTTTAAAATTAACATAGGCGCCATAGCGCTCACAGGATAACACAGGGCGCCAAATTGCACCCTGTCTGGGCACTGCCCATGCGAAATTGCAATTTTTTTTTCGAAGAAACCTCCCAGAAGTATTCTCAAAAAGTTTCATGGCTATCGGATAAAAGGTGTAGTAATGCATAAAAGACAGACACACATACATTGCTTTTTATATAAATAGATTATAGATAGATGAAAGCCTGAATTGAGGCTGACAACTCAAAGAAAGGCTACTGTTGTTAATTAATTCTGATCTGTGAATATAATAGTCCATATCAATTTGTGTATGAAGTAAAAGTGGATTGACTTTATGACAATAAGCTCCTTACATTACATGAAAGTTTAAAAAAGAAGTTTCAGATAAGTCCTACTTTATTAAGTTACTTTAGTTACCGAAACTCAACAAACATTACCCAATAATTTCCGACACTAAACTAAGGTTTTTACCAAAAGTCTATCCGCCCTACCCACCGGCGAGTGAAATGGAATTTATATATAAAATATATACTTTTAACAGTGTCCACCCCCCCCCCCCACCCCGAAAATTTCAAGTGCCCCTCCGCCCTAGAGAAAAAAAGTCTGGAAGAAACACTGCTAGATTCTAGTAACTAGATCTAGATAGATCTATTATCTATACTTCTATAGTCTATAGCAGGGGTCTCCAAACTACGGCCCGCGGGCCGGATGCGGCCCGCGATGTCCTCTCATCCTTTTGTCCACAGAAAAACGTTTGTTGATGATGACTGAGGAACTTTGCCCAGACAAATCAAAGACAAGCCTGGAAGGAACTGGCCCCCGAACTGAAATTTGATAGTTAATGTGGCCCTTGGACTGAAAAGTTTGGAGACTAATGGAGACCCCTGGTCTATAGTATAGAGTTTCTATGTTAACAAATCGTAATTTAATAGAACTAGCTACCGTGAGGTTAACTTGTACAACTGTAATGAAAAATCATTCTTAGATCTAGAATCTACTCTAGTATGCACAAAGTTGAAAACTACACAACACAACAAACGCAGTAAGTAGACTGCGACGAGCAATGAATGTTGAATGTACGATACTCTGCCACTCTTTGGTAAGTTACCTCTCCTCCGCCACACCATTTGCCATTGTAAACACCGTTATTTTTACTTGAAAGACCAAGGTCCTTGAGCCATGAATATTTGGGATCGTCGATTAAAAGATTCGACATTGTTGATAAATAGCGACAGTGTAAAACAGCTGATCTGCGGATTTTTGCTAAAGAAGAAAGCATCAGTTTGTAAGGTGCCATCGTAACCTTTCCAGATAAATTTATCACCGGTCACTTGAACATAAAAACACATATTTTTTAACGCCGAAATTAAAGTAAAACAAATTACGATTGGTCACAGATTAACATGTAAAGTAGAAAATGTAATTGCAATTTAGAATTTTTGCTTTTAACAGTTTTTTTAATTACACAAGAAAATATAGAAATGCACTATGCTTACTAAAGCAGTAAACTTTGGCCTAAATAGTCACTAGTCAGTCCTATCTGGCAAATGAAGTATTTATAAATTCGCAGAATGTTAGTCTTGTTGCGTGCTGGTTTGTAAACTCATTAGAAAAGTAGACGATTGTTAAAAAAAAATCTACTCACAACTAGAACTGTCAATAAAATAAAAATTAGCTTTGAATCATAATCCCTTTAGTATTAGGCTTAACTAAATCGATCTATATAATATACAATAGTAGGATAATATTGTAAAAAAAAAAGCCATTACTGACTGATGGACCAAGGTTCAGAATAACCATGATTGCTTAAAACATTAATGACAACAAAAATATTTTTAAATAGATCTAGAGATCTAGATAGTTTTTTTCCTTCGACAATTTTACATGATACCAGAGCAGTATATTAGAACTTTTATCAATTTCCCCCAGTTATTCCCATCTCCTAGATCAATTACTCCACCCTCCTGCATATTACCCCCCCCCCCCCTTCCAACGCCAAAAAAAAAAAACAACAAACAAAACAACAGCAGTAAGACATTTGCCCTTTGTCGATTATTTATTGACCCCAAACATAATAGCGATTGGGAATTGGGATCTGGTTAGGGATACGAAAAGGGTTCTGAATAGTTTTTGGAATTGGGTTAGGTGGTTAGGTTAACAAATGTCCTAAACGGATTGCACTTTGTCTATAGTATCAGCATAAAAACTCGCAGTGATGATGGATCGTAGATGTCCTGAGGAAAACCGATGAGACATCGCAAAGCAAGCTCTTGACTTGAACCCACAAGAAAAAGAAAGTTGACAAACCTAGAAAATTCCAGAAAAAGATGCTGAAAGCAAAACAAAACCTGCGTGACTTGAAAATATACACTTTTAACAGTGTCCGCCCCCCCGAAGAAAGTCTACCGCCCCCCCCCCCCCCGAAAATTTCAAGTGCCCCCCCCCCCCGGAGAAAAAAGAAAAGTCTGGAAGAAACACTGGTTCCTAGAGATCGAATCCGTTGGAGCAGAGTAGTTGCAGCTCTATGCACCTCAAAGTTTAACTCAGTTCCTTGCAATAATATACCCCTAGGCTTTAAATTTAAGTTGATTGCAGAATACTATTTTGGTTTTTGGAATATACAAATTAATGCGCACATTTAAGCATTGCAAAGCATCCAGTGCAAAAAAGTGCGCACCTAAATGCACACTTATAGACATTGTTCAGTGAAAAACGTCACAATATAAACAGGGTGACTTACTGTCATCTTTTAATTTTTTAATTGCTATTTAATAGTTAATATAATATTTTTTAAAAAGATATACAGGCAAAATATCGATCTTTTAAGCAATAAAGGTAACCATTCTGGGCTTAAGGACAAAATATGGAGGCATTTGTTGCTATGATCTAGATTCTAGATCTGTACTCTCCCCAACCGAAATGCTGCTAATGTTTCAGAAATTAATTTCTAGCTAGATCTACATCTTAAAGATCTAGATGTAAGTGCTATAGGGTATTTTTAAAATATACAAACAACAAAAGTACCAAAAAATAAGCTGTATTAATAAACGATAAGCTACAAAATAAACTTATTTTTTTAAGGGAGGGGGGACTTAAATCAGACACTGGTTAAAGTATATATTTATTTTGTATATGAATTCTATCTCTTTCGAGGAGAGGTGTGGTATATGTGCTTCGTGATGGGGGTATGGAAACAATTTGGCAAATATTTATCAAACATTATTTTTTAAAATTGATAGTCTTAATTTCTTTAAAAAAAGCAGTTTATAACACCTCTATTAACAGTGTACAGTAGTTAGACGTAGTGCCATCTCCAGAAGAACAGCCTCGTGAAAAGCCCAATCCAAACTTGACCAGAATGAGGCCTTACTGGCGACCAGAAAAAGTCAGTACAGTCTCATCCCCGAAGCTGAAGCTCCGGCTGGCTTTGGGGATGGGCTGTCTCACAGGTAGCTGCCTGGCGGTGGACTCAAACACGGGGATTCTAGCCTACCCAGCGTCCGGAGTTACCGTCCTTCTCGATATTGTCAACAGCAAGTAAGCAAAACTAGCGAGAAACACGCAAATCTTAAACGTATACTTAATTTGTAGACCACTCGTACAACCCTCTCTCATAAACCATTTCCATCCTTTATGATTCGTGTTGATTTCTAATTCGAATTATTTTCCTGAAGTATGTACACAAACTCACCAATTCATGCTAGACATCTGATACACGTAGGGGGAAGTTAAAGATTGCCAAAAATCACTGCGGGATGGAAATCGCGTATAATCAAATCCTAAAAGGGTAAAGACCAACAGGCAGGTCTAGACTCAGATGATTGGTGATGTGGAGAGTGTACCTCTGAGTTTAGAAATGGAAGCAGAAGAAACACATACGTCTGAGTGGATAATGGCGGTGAACAGCATGGATGGGCCGGTGGATGTTTGGATTGACGGATGGATGGGTGGGAAGAGAAGGCAAATTGGCATTGTGTTGGCAACACAAGTCCACATTTTATATCCATGGTAACACACGAGTAGTATACATCTTTTCTGCACAAAATTCCTCATGCACCGATCAAGACGTATACCTTTTTCTCTTTCACTTTAAAATTAAAACAATACACCTAATGTATTAAATTAGCACCAGTATTATTAATTTACTTGATTAATATAGCGCTTTATTTCTCACAGTTTCATCTATTTTAGTCAATACTTAATGGTGGTCCCTTTGTCAAACATCGTCACAAAAAGTCAGATCCAATACAATTATGTCACACTTCCGCCTTCCAACCAACACGAGCAATTCTGTTTAAAAATAAAAATAAAATTTCTACGGTTTTGATTAACTTTTGCCAAATAGATAGCGTAATATAACAATGAAAAGTTCAGCAAATCCCTGTCATATATATATATATATATATATATATATATATATATATATATATATATATATATATATATATATATATATATATATATATATATATATATATATATATATATATATATATATATATAAGATTCCTTAATTTCCCCTCGATCGTTGCATTCCTTAATTCCACAACTTCCTGTACCCCTCAGACAGCGCGGGTACATCCACCAAGCCCAGCAGACGATATCCTGTGTGAAGTTCTCCCCCGATGGCTCCCTGCTCCTGATTGGTGAGCTGGGCTTCATGCCGCCCCTTAGGGTCTGGAATGTGCAGCAGGAATGTGAGGTCACCAAGTTCCTGGGCCACGAATACGGCATCGTTGGGGCTTCATTCTCTAAGGATATGGACATCGTGGTATCCGTCGGTACACGACACGATAGTTTCATCAACGTCTGGGGATGGCCACAAAAGAACAGACTTTCATGCAACCGTTTTGCGGGTAGGTCACTCATTTTTCAATAGTTGAAAAAATAGAGACACATTTTAGTAACATTTAGGCGTGGTAGGGTCGGTAAAGCTCTTGACTGCTCAACCGAAAGATTCCAAGTTCCTTGGCAAATGATGCCAAAACTAAAAAAAAAAAAAAAAAAAAAAAAAAAAAAAAAAAAAAAAAAACAAACACACAAAAACACAAAAACACAAAACAGAGCAGCCGCCTTTTGTTCTTGGATGAACAAAGGCTATGGCAGCAAATCCAAAAAAAAAGCAGGCTGAAAGCGAAGGCAACGACCTGTATGGTGCTTACAAAGTTGACACATATAACTTGATTGTGTTGGGAGGAATTCCGTCCAACATTACAATTAAGAACTAAAGAAGAAAATAAAAAAAAAAATTATACGTTTTAACATGTTGTATAATTCCAAAAGCATTACTGATAACTTGTGCATCCCCAGAGGATATTTTCGCTCTGTGCTTTTCCACAAAAGAATCCTACTTCGTGACATGCGGTGTTCACCACATCAAGTTTTGGTATCCGGTGGCAGCTAAAAAAGAACCCAACAGATACTTTCCGCTTCGTCCTCGCCTCAGCACCCTCTATGGGCGTCCTGCTATTTTGACGGATATAAAAAACAGCGTGTTTGTTGATATCGCATGCGGATCCGAGAGTTCAGGAGATTTTACCTACACCGTTACCAAATGTGGCATCGTATGTAAGGTAAGAATTTCTGGTCCTAAATAAACGATTTAAAAAACCCATCAGTTTCATCATGGCATTATTGTTAGGTACTATTAAAAAAAAAGATTCGTTAAAAAAGTATTAATATAATATTAAATAATAATACAGCATAGTTGAACAATTTTTTGCTCCAAAAAAAATCATTATAAAAAGTTATATAATATTTTAGTTTTTTAAAACATTTTTTGACGGGTGTAAATTAGGCGACAGTAAATTTGTTTAGGTATATGTGTAGGTGTAGTGTGTGAGAGAGTAGGCAATGGGTTGAGACGGGGGGGGGGGTGACAGTAGCCGTGTAACTAAGTGAGTTGAATGATACACTTGAATAGGGACATGTAATGTGGTTGCTTTTACCTCCTAGTGGCAAAGTCTAGACATGAACCCACAGCACCACGCACCAGTGATTCACATTGTCAATTAGTGATCACGTAGGTTTTCTATTAGTTGGCTGTACGAACCTAAAGCTTGCATCAAAGCTTACAATTTCTAATTATCTCATTATAAATCCTTACGACACACTCACTCTATGCATTATTTAAAGTGCCATTATTTCATTATTTCACATGAAAAATGTATAAAAAATAAATAAATCGAATTTTTTGATTCCCCAGCTGTCCGCAGGGCGAGAGGTGTTAGCGTACAAGCGCTTACAAAACACACAGCTGTCCAGCCTACAAGTACACGATGAGCAGCTCATGGTCGGCTCCATTAGTGGCCATGTCTACTTTTTTAATGCTCTGTCGCTAGAGGTCAGTTTTGTTATCAGCATTGTATTTGTAGATTAGGGTAATCGGTATGGTAATTGTGGATCAGGATAATGAAATTGGTTTTCGTAGATTACGATAATCAGCATTGTATTTGTAGATTAGGGTAATCAGTATGGTAATTGTGGATCAGGATAATGAAATTGGTTTTCGTAGGTTAGGATAATGAGCATTGTATTTGTAGATTAGGGTAATCAGTATGGTAATTGTGGATCAGGATAATGAAATTGGTTTTCGTAGATTAGGATAATCAGCATTGTATTTGTAGATTAGGGTAATCAGTATGGTAATTGTGGATCCGGATAATGAAATTGGTTTTTGTAGATTAGGATAATCAGCATGGTATTTGTAGATTAGAATAATCAGTGTGGTATTTGTAGATTAGGATTATCAGCATGGTATTTGTAGATTAGGATTATCAGCATGGTATTTGTAGATTAGGATAATCAGCATTGCGTTTGTAGATTAGGATATTCAGCAAGGTATTTGTAGATTAGGTTAATCAGTATGGTAATTGTGGATCAGGATAATGAAATTGGTTTTCGTAGATTAGGATAATCAGCATTGTATTTGTAGATTAGGGTAATCAGTATGGTAATTGTGGATCAGGATAATGAAATTGGTTTTCATAGATTAGGATAATCAGCATTGCATTTGTAGATTAGGATAATCAGCATGGTATTTGTAGATTAGAATAATCAGCGTGGTATTTGTAGATTAGGATTATCAGCATGGTATTTGTAGATTAGGATAATCAGCACGGTATTTGTAGATTAGGATAATCAGCACGGTATTTGTAGATTAGGATAATCAGCATGGTATTTATAGAAAAGGTAAAATACTATTTATAAGCTTCACAGTGAACCAAATTTCTAGGTTAGTGAACAGGAAATTTTAGTGTTAGTTAACAGATCATTCCAGATGATTTAACCTGACTCTTGCATTATTATTCCACCCCACTTTGCTATTTGCGTGTGCGTCATCACTTTAGCCTACATGATCTACCTATTCTAACAAATCAGTTTTACAACTTCGAAATTTGGCATACATGACAATTAGATAACGAAATCCTAACTTATAAGATCTTATACTTTAAAATTTCGTTCACCTAACTGGAACGTTATTGGTTTTTGAGTAAACAATAATAATGTATCACTTCCGATTACCGGAATGTGTTCAGAAGCTGATATAAACCTACACGCAGGATAATATTTATATACGAAATTCCGTACACCTATCTGAAACGGTGCTCACGTTATTTGTTACCATACACAAACAAGACTAGATTGCAAAACTTTTTTTTTCCAATTCGGAGAGGTGTAAAACATCGATATTAGTCAAAATCTTGAATTTTAATCGCACCATTTCAATACTTTACCTTATACTTCGTATGCGAGGAATAAAAAAATTAATTGCCTCCGTGTACCGAATATACCGAGTCTTAATGTTTACTGAAACTAAACACAACTTGGTGACTAAAAATGTCTCCCCCCCCCTCCCCCAGTTCATCGCCACAGTTGCCCTGCCACTTGACATCTGCTTCGCGGAGCAAGTCATCAGAAGCCAGAAGAGCAGCCTAGAGGCCATCGTGGATCAGCACAAGGCCAACATCTTCCTCGCCCTCGACCACACGCACCATCTCCTGACTGCCGCCCTCACCAACGGCAGTTTGTGTATTTGGGACATCAGAGATCTCGCTAACATAAAGCAGAAGTGCGGGAGTCTTTAGTATTTAAAACTTTCATTTTCACCTAGTTAACTGTCCATTATTTCAAAGTAACAACACCAAAACTAATTTTCTTTAAACTAAAAAAATAAATAAAAAATAAAAATAAAAAAATAAAAATAAAAAATAGATAAAAAGGAAAAATTTGAACTTATTTTAATTCATAATGTAAGCGGCGTCGATTACGAAGCTCAAAAAAACAACAAAAAAAAACAAAAAAAAAAACAAAACAAAAAACTCTAATTGAATATCTCAAGCCAGTTCAGCACAAAACTTAACAATTTATCTCTCCAATTTACATTTTACTGCATCCAACATAGCATGAAATTACTTTGATCAATAACTAATTTGATCGCACAATTTCAATACCCCCCCCCCCCTAATATGCATGAAATTACCTGTACCACTCCATACACCTAACTCGCTTTTCTCAAACCTGTCAGGTATTATTCCGTGAACCACAGTAAATCTATTGCCGGTCTGGATCTCATGAAGGGCAACAACTCCAATTTAAATCAGGAGACGATTGTCACAGTGTCTCATGACGCCACTGTGCGTCTGTGGGAGATTGCCATGTCCAAGGGCATCTGCTGCAAGAGCAGTAAGACAATCTACACCGAGTTCGATTGTGTCGAGCCTAGTGTGGAGGAGTCTCTAGCCCTGAACGACGGGTTGCCCGCAGAGGCAGAGGAGAAGCTTCTCACAGCCATCAAGGTAACACACACATATACATGCCACTAAACAAGGGCGTCGCCATGTAGAACATAACTGACACCATTTTAAAAACTGGCATCGTCGTACAATTAAAGAAATATAGTCATCATTTAATTTAAAACATAAGCATCGCCATACATGCATTCATTACAAATAGTGTTAGAAAGTAAATTAAAAATAATGTTAGAAAATAGGTTTCAAATAGTGTTAGAAAATCCATTACAAATACTGTTAGAAAAATTCCTTACAATGTTATAAAACTTATTTACAAACAATGTTAGAAAATACATTCTGTTAAATACACCATTCTGTTATATTATCCCAGAAACATTTCAAATTTTGTAAATATCACAACTATAGCACTTTTAGAAGATACGTTAAACCATTTTGTTATATTATCCCAGAAACATTTCAAGTTTTGTAAATATCACAACTATAGCACTTTTAGAAAATACGTTAAACCATTCTGTTATATTATCCCAGAAACATTTCAAATTTTGTAAATATCACTACTATAGCACTTTTAGAAAATACGTTAAACCATTTTGTTATATTATCCCAGAAACATTTCAAGTTTTGTAAATATCACAACTATAGCACTTTTAGAAAATACGTTAAACCATTCTGTTATATTATCCCAGAAACATTTCAAATTTTGTAAATATCACTACTATAGCACTTTTAGAAAATACGTTAAACCATTTTGTTATATTATCCCAGAAACATTTCAAGTTTTGTAAATATCACAACTATAGCACTTTTAGAAAATACGTTAAACCATTCTATTATATTATCCCAGAAACATTTCAGGTTTTGTAAATATCACTACTATAGCACTTTTAGAAAATACGTTAAACTATTCTGTTATATTATACCAGAAACATTTCAAGTTTTGTAAATATCACTACTACAGCACTTGATCTGCCCCACTAACGCCCGCTACTTGCTTCTCTCTGTAGATCAGCCCGGAGAACGATTACATAGTCACAGGAGATTCGATGGGATGCATCAGTGTCTACAGCACAGTCAGCCTAGAGAACATCAAAAACATCCACAAACACACTCGGGGTGTGACCACCCTCAACATCACTACTGGTTCACATCTCAAATTACGGGTAGGATAGTTCGCATTTTGAGTTATGGGCAGCATTATTCACATCTCAAATTACGGGTAGGATAGTTCGCATTTTGAGTTATGGGCAGCATTATTCACATCTCAAATTACGGGTAGGATTGTTCGCATTTTCAGTTATGGGCAGCATTATTCACATCTCAAATTACGGGTAGGATTGTTCGCATTTTCAGTTATGGGCAGCATTATTCACATCTCAAATTACGTGTAGGATTGTTCGCATTTTGAGTTTTGGGTAGTATTATTCACATCTCAAATTACGGGTAGGATTGTTCGCATTTTGAGTTATGGGTAGTATTATTCACATCTCAAATTACGGGTAGGACTGTTCGCATCTTGAGTTTTGGGTAGAATTATTCACATCTCAAATTACGGGTAGGATTGTTCGCATTTTGAGTTATGGGCAGCATTATTTGCATGGTCCATACTGAACACAGCTTCTGATGTGACTATCACGTTTATGTTAGCTTACCTTTAATTTTGGTCCATGCATCTTTTGCTTTAAAATATTGTGGTAATGTTGAAGATCCCTTGTAATTATTTGAAAAGTGGTCATTTGGTCTTATAGTAGGTGAATTCTTATAAACATAACATTTCATAGATCAATGCCATGACCCCAACCCCATACAAGCGATACTGGTAGACATTTTTGAATAAATGCATCTGTCAATGACTAGACAGTTTACAGCTATTTCTTATGCGCTCTAGGGAGAACCAACGTGCAGAAATCAGCAGTCACACACCAACCCTATATCCCACTACAATACACAACACATACCACTAACACACCCATTCACATATAGATCAACATCACAGGTACACACCACATACCATGATACCACCCCACCCACCAAACATCCACACACCCTCACTCTCCCCCACACACTAAAACACCACACACCTTCACACAAACTACACATCACACACGTACACGACACACACCACCACATATTACACACACCACTACACAAACCATACACAACATATAACTCACACACCACCACCACACATACTACATACACCGCACACACATGCACATAGGGGTGGATTGGCTGTATCCCAGAGGCCCGGCTCATTTTAAAAGGGGCTCTACATCAACAATTCAAATTTTCATTGTAATTTTCTTTCCATCAAAACCTAAAAGTTTGGTAAAATAAAAATAAATCAAAACTCTATTAGGATTATTGCAGCACGCTCACCGGTACCTATCGAGAAATATTTCTCGCGGCCCATCGGGATTTTCCCCGGTAGACGGACTGGCCAGTCCACCCACGTAAAACATATTCATACGTTTAACCCAATTTCGTTAATAAAAAAAGTAAGTTTTAACAACAAAAAACCCCCACCAATTACAATCTGCTTTTAGCTATTGACCAGCGGAGGCCGTGATCGAGTGATCAACATCTTCGATATGGTGCATGATTTCACCTTATTGAGCACCCTCAACATCCACTCAAGTTCCATCAACTCCATCGGTTTGTTACTTGCCGGTGATACCATGTCCCTCTTTAGTTCTAGCTTGGACAGGTATTGAAATAATGGTATTGTTATTTGTCTACAGTTATACCAATCTTGTTGTACAATACGAGCTAATTAACTAAAGTCAGGAATATTTTTAAATTGTAACTACAAACTTAAAAAAAAATAATTAGATAACCAAACAGAACAATAGCTGACTTTGTATACTATTTTGTTCATATTCATTAATCTTCTTTAAACATTAAAATAAAGACGCATTTCGTTTGTGAAAGAAAAAAGCTCTTCTGGTAATACAATACTCAATTTATGTTCATTTTAGTATATTGCAGCTTACGTCGATATATATATATATATATATATATATATATATATATATATATATATATATATATATATATATATATATATATATATATATATATATATATATATATGTGTGTGTGTGTGTGTGTGCGTGTTTTGGTTTCAAAATGAAAATAACTTGCTGTCCGGTGTTTCAGATCCCTGGTTATATGCAAGAGTCGTCTTAAAGAAGTCCCTCGGTTCAAACCTTTCCGGTGTCGCCACACAGCCTGCTCGGTGACGGAGATTGTCGTCTGCGTACAGGAGGGCATGATAGCTGTCGGCAGAATCAACGGTGAGCTCAGCATTATAGACGGCGTCTCGTGTAAAGAGATAAAGAGACTTAACGTCTGCATAACTGAGAATGCCCGCTTAAAGAAAATCCACTTGGAGCCGTCGAAAAATCTGGTGCTGTCCGCGTGTTCAGATATGTCGATCAACGTCCTCAGCCTCAGCCATGGTCTGTTGTTGGCTACAGTCAACGGCCACACAAAGAGCATCAGCGGGTTGAGCATCTCCCGCAACATGAAGTTCATCATATCCACCTCTAAAGATGGCTGCGTCTTCATTTGGGGTTTGCCCAACAAGCTCTGGCAGTCGGGGAATAAGTACGGTCTCTACTGCAACACCAACGTCGCTGTTTCCAAATCCGACTCGAGAATCAGCCAGAGAAACGCCATTCAGCTGCCCGATCTGGAGATCACAAACCAACCGACTCTGCTGGATTATATCTCGTCTGTGAAGGCAAAAATGAAACGCATCGTCACCGTGGAGACGGAAAAGGCAGCCGGTCTGAGCTACGTGGATGACGAAGAAAGCAGCGAAGGCTTTGTCGAGGAATTCTCGGTCGCTGAGGATCGCTCAAGCATGAAGTCGGATGGCAGGCAAAGTCGACGTCACAGCAACCCCTGTACGTCCGACACGCGTCTGCTCCAGAAAAACGTGGCCGACATCAAGTTCAACCGGGCGTCATACGACTCCGGGAACGGCGAGTACTACGACTTTGCGAATCACGCGGAAAATAAAACTCTGAAAAACCCTAGTTATCCCCCTTGTTCGGCTCACGAAGCGGGCGACCTGGATCAGGAAATCAAGCCATTGAATGAAATTAGTTTAAAAGCGAACAATGCATAGTCATCGGAAGAAAGGACCGCAGCAACATTGTTCTTGCCTCCTTGAGGTTCTACCTTTCTCAACATAATGTTACCATATTAACCGTCGAGTTTTATTTAGTTTACCATCTTTACAAAGTATGACGAGACGTATCGACATTGGGCCGCAAGATTTCTTCCATCACAAGCTCAAGAAACATCACTAAGTTGGTCTAGAAAACGAACCATCAAAACATATTTGGATTAAAAAAAATTCAATTTGAATGTAAACAACAGATATTGTCAATGGCGATTTCTGAATCTGTCCTTGTTAGTACAATACTTTGGACATGCGATACAATATATCGAAAGTAAATATAAACATGTTAAAATATTAAATACGCAGAAAATTGTATTTTATTGTTACAAATTATGACCCCCCCTCCCCACCCTTGAAATTGCACTGAGAACATCTTGCAGAAATAACAGGTAATCATATGAGTTCAGATGTACGCATGTTGTGTCAAAGTGCATACACATTATGCCAATGTGTGTAGACATATTGGATGTACACACATGTTGTGTAAAGATGTACACCGATTAGTTGAACGTGTACACATGTTGTGTCAAGGTGTACACATTGTGCCAATGTTTAAACACGTTGTGTCAAGGTGTACACATGCTATATCAAAGTGTACACAAATTGTATGAAGGTGTACTTGTGTTGAGGGGAACATACATTTTTTTCAAGGCGTACATAAATTTTGTCAAGGTTTCCACATGATGTGTCAAAGTGTACATACATCTTGTCAAAGTGTACACAAGTTTAGTCAAGTTGTACATACATCCTGTCAAGGCTTAGACATGGTGTACTCATCAAAAGGAGAAAGCCCAGACATCAAACATGTTCGCCGTAAGAAAATATTGATACACAGATAAAGCACATAAGGATTCTGCGAACAGATATAAAACCGGAAAACAAACAAAACATTGTGGGTGTGTGTGTGTGGGGGGGGGGGCAGATACTGAACATTAGAAACCAAGGGATATAGAGCTAACGTGACGCGTTTCCTGTTAAATACAAGCTGTAAATAAATTGCAACAAAAAAATTAAACACGTCTTTTGCCTTATAAAAAAACGAAAACTTAAATACGCATTTGTTACTAACATTGTGCTTTGTCCCAAAACAAACACGAACATTGTACGTGGAAGCTGTAATTCCGTAAGCAGACGAAACTTTCGATTTGCACCCCCCCCCTCAAGTTTTTCTCTATATATTTTGCTATTTTTTGCCTTGGTGTCACCCCCCTAAATGGTGTCACCCGGTGCGGTCCGCACCCCCCGCACCCCACTCGCTACGCCCCTGGGTCGCCCACATCTTTCCGAATTCCAATATTCATTTATAATTGTTTCACACGATTAGCTTGCTGTGCAACGTATTTGCTTGCTGATTTATTATTTTTCGATGTGTCTGCTGTTAAATAATAAAAGTAGAACCACAATGTTTTAAGTAGAGTAAAAAATGCTTTAAAAGTATAATTATTTATTGTATGATGATCACCTGTTAAGCTTATTTAATGTTTAGTAAAAAATGTTTTAAGTGTATAATTGTATGATGATCACTTTTAAAGCTTGCTTAATGTTTCGTCCGCCAAAAACCGATGTAGCGCATTAAACTTGTTAATGTTTGGATAAAAAAAAAGCTAAAATAATTATTTTAGATAGTTGCTGGTAGAAATACAGTACGTCGTTAGGCGTCCTTAATAATTCTAACTTTTTATTCAACACTTATAAACGGCAGAGCTACGAACTTAATATAAATATCACACAATTATCACCTATTCACCCGATAAACTTTTTTTTAAAATACGCAACTGCTATTCAAATGTACACTTTTTAAAATGCGTTTTAAACATTGTGTGTTTTGTAAATATTTTTGTTGCAAAACCTGACATCCACATGAAAACACTCTTTTTCCAATCCACACGCGTCCAGTAAAGTCGATTTTTAAGGACCCCACTCTCACTTCCGCGTGGTCTTAAAATAAACGGATGACGCTTAAATTGTAAACAAGGAAAAAAAAACAACACAATTTGTAGAGGAAGCTGTTTTGAAATTTAACTACAACAAACATGTGAAGCTCCATCGTTAAAATGCCAAATTATAAAGGCAGCAAAAATAAACATCGACTAGTCATAGTACACGAATCGCCGAGCAAGATAAATGATTGCGTGTTTGTTTTTTCAACTCATTATTATTAAATTGGAATCGCTTCTCAAGGGAGATCATCAGCATGGTGATTAAAGGGATGTAACTTTTTTATCACGTTGGCTTCAATTTAAAAATTAGCTTCTGTTGATAGGAAACAACAAGGTAATTAATTTTTAAACGTAGGCTGGCTGATGTTTGTCGGTTCGGTAGGGAATTGGCTTGTACGTTCATTGCAGCACCGACGTCCATGCAGGAAAATCATTGGTCAGGAATTTGTTATCACCCGCTGGTAAAAAAAAAAAATTAAAGCGTCGGTATGTGGTTTTTAGCATGGTGATTAGTGTATGGGTTCTTTCTTAGTCATGTGAGTATGTTTTTTGAATGTGGGAGTACACCGTATTAATAGGTGGGTGGTGCCTTGTCTATGTATATATCTCATTGCGGGACTGGATTTATAAATACTGCAAGTAAAGTTTATTTTAAAGTATTTTCACCGACGCACACCATTAAATAGAAGCAGACCAGTAACTAAGACACGCATTTAGTTGCCGTGTCTAGAGTTATCAAACCTTTTATCTACTCCATTGTGGCAGGAACGTGTCACACTAGGTACAGTGGTCCTCCCAGTGGACTACTGCGGTACAGTGGTCCTCCCTGTGTGGGCTGTGTTACTTTACTGTGGTACAGTGGTCCTCCATTGGTACTTTACTGTGGTACAGTGGTCCTCCCTCTGGTACTTTACTGCGGTACAGTGGTCCTCCCTCTGGTACTTTACTGCCGTACAGTGGTCCTCCCTCTGGTACTTTACTGTGGAACAGTGGTCCTTCCTCTGAAACTTTGGCACAGTGTTCCCCAGAATGCTCTGACACATCACTGCTGATATACAACTACATTACGCTACATCCTATACTGACTGGACTAAACAAGAGTTGTCGCGCCATCCGTCCTTCTCTTTAACACCTGAAATATTTGAATCACAGAATCGTCCTCTACACCAGGTTAGACTTTCTTCTGTCAGATGTTGAAGCTATCAACATGAAATTAATCAACCATTAATTGTATGACACGTGACATATCTTAACCCGGCCTAACCTTCTCGCCCCCACCCTACTGTAATTAGCTTTTGACATCACTTCTCTCCCTTCCCGAGCCTTGATAACGTTATTTTCGTATGACCGGTTTACTTCGTCACAAAGTGACTACGAAGAGATTCTCTAACTGATCTAGGTGTCTGGTTATATGGCTACTTTTTAGCAGGCCGGCTTAATTAGACTCAAAAACAGGGTTTCCTTCAGGATTCTCTTCGGTAGGGCTCAGTCTCCCCGAAAAACGGCTACGGCCCTTCCCCCCTCGAACGAAATGGTATTTATATAGAAAATATATACTTTTATCAGTGTTCGAGCCCCCCCCCCCCCCACCCCTGAAAATTTAGTCCGCCTCCCCCCAAAATATCACCCCCCCCCCCTCAGGAGAAAATAGTATGAAAGAAACACTGGTCACAAAGCGAGAACTAAAAGACTACTAACTGATCTATTTGCCTGATTATAAGATACCTTTTAAATGGCTGCTTGCTTAGAGTCACAAAGCGACCACCAAGAGACAAACATTCCTGATCAAGTTTCTTGATTAAATTAAACTTTGGCCAGCCACTCCACCAAGTCGCTCGGATAGTTTAACAGCGCGTGCGCCGTGATGACGTCACCCACAGGTCTGACGGCGCGCGTGTGACAGGCGACGGTCGTCGTCCCCACGTCCCCGTGGTTGGTCGTCTGCTGCTCACTGTGACGGACGTTTGGAGGCTACAGGTTCTCATGTCAGGTCAGTCTTGTTTTTTTTTAAATAACATCCTCCCCCACACGTACACTCTCTCACACACACCAACTCACACACACATTACAGCCGTGCTATTTTTAGGCCTGGCTAACAAATGTCTTGATACTTTGGTACCTGATGTTTTAACTAACTCAGTCTAGGCTGGTAGACACTGTATCAGCTGAGAATGGTGTAGCTTAGCATAGGTTACATCTCTGGATTACCCCAGTATTACCCCAATATTACCCCTGTAATTACCTCAATATTACCCCTGTAATTACCAAACGTTATTTACACCATCGGGTGAATCCATGTGGTTATCCATGAGGTCAACATACATAGAACATTTCCATCTGCCCATACATTTCTAAATTAAACATACACTTGGTTAGTCAGTCAGAGTATTATAAATAAAGAGACAACGTGAAATGTATACTTGTATAATAAATGAGAAGACAGTGTAATGTGAACTGTATACATGTATAAATTAGCATGGCACCACCCACTGTGGCTGTATGGGCGGGCAGTAGGGTCTGGGTAAGTGAGACTCACAGTTCAAAACACTCAAACTCGTGACAACACGGTGTGTATGGTTTGGGTCTGGGTAAGTAAGACTCACAGTTCAAAACACTCAAAAACTCGTGACAACACGGTGTGTAAAGTCTCGCTCTACAGCCAGGCCACATAGATTTGTATCCTCATATGATGGAACAGTTTATTCCAACAATAGAGAGAGATAAACGAGTTGACGATCTGTCGTTTACCTTGAATTACTGATGGACCTAAACAAATTAATTAAAGAGTTACGACGGTTTTAGTTTTAATGTGCAAGCGTTACAACAAGTGACATTTAAGAGTAACGTAGTACTGTCACTTGTTAGAAAATAACTATTTAGTATAAAAGTTAAAAAAAAGGTAAATAAAAGGTAAAATGTTCACATGCTTTGTTTTGATGTATGTTATAGCGTTAATGTATATACACTAATTTAAACATCTTATTAACACATATTTCATGCTTCTACATTATCCTATTTTTTTTTACCCTAACCCATCCTTCTATACTAACCAATGCTTCTACATCAATCTGTACAATAAAATGATGTACTACACCATCTTCATTGTTGTATGCTACGATACCATTGTGTAACACAATGACATGTAAAACTTTAATTTTTCTCCACTGTTGTGAAGACCACACATCAATATCTACTTCAACATTACAATTCTTGACTTGAATGCTTACACTAGACCAGAGCTTATGACTGACATTACTTTCTCATCGATCTGATTCAACTTTAAAAATTGCTCGTCTTATCCTACATAATCAACACAAGGAGCACCACTACTCCCCCCCCATGTGTATTTTCCTAATTTGACACACCCGTGCCTCACTTCCGTTTCACCATCCCTTCACATTTTTGTATTTTTATGACCAGACATTCTACTCTATCACTTCCGTATTCCCACCCTTCACCCGGTGTATGTTCACAACCAGACACACACCTCTATTCCCACCCTAAACCCTTCTTTATTTTTATCACAAGAAACCCTCCTTAAACCCAGCTGTGCAACCCACCCCCCAAACCTACTCGTGTATCATCACAAGCAGACACCCCCCCCCACTTCCGCACAGACCCACTATAGCTGCACTAAATTACTCTCACAAATCTGAGTCGTTTCTCGCCCGACTTTTGTCAATTTTCTGCTATTATTGGTAAAAATTTCCTTCCTACATTTTGTGCCAGTAACTATACCAGTATGTCACCACTCTCTGGTCTATAAGGAAACAAAGCGTGGGCTTAATTTAATTTTAGAGAGTTAATTAAATTTTCATTAGTAAGATAAGGTTTCTAGACTTGATTAATGTTATCTTACTCTGATATTGATTTAAGTAAAATAAAGTATGGACAAATTTACTAGAGGTTGTCAAGACCTTAGTACTTATATATATATATATATATATATATATATATATATATATATATATATATATATATATATATATATATATATATATATGCAGTAGCGTGGCTAGGTCGTGTGTGACACGGTGCGGCACTCCGTGGTGTCACCTTACTTACTTACTTAATCCTCATCACTCCCTGTGGAGTATAGGGCAGCAACAAATCTCCGCCATTACACTCTGTCTTGGGCGAACCACTTTAATTCATGCCAGGTCTTACTAGTAGCCTGCACTTCTTCTTCCATCTCTCTCCTCCATGTTCCCAGTGGTCTTCATCTCTTTCGCTTTCCAGTCGGAGTACACTTCAGCGCCATGTTGGGGATTCTTCTTTTGCTCATGCGTAGGACATGGCCCACCCATCTCCATCCCCTCATTTGAACCTCTGAAACAATGTCGTTTAAACCTGTCCTTCGCCGTATTTCCTTTTTCGGGACTTTGTCGTCCCACTTTATTCTGAGGATAAGTTGGAGGGGATCTTCTTTCAAAGCCTCTGAGTCGGTTCTCTCCTTTCTTGTTTAGTTTCCATGACTCTGCAGCATAAAGGAGTACAGAACGTACATTAGACTTGTAGATTCTTATTTTAGTTCTCTGCTGCAGTGAGGATGAATTCCAGATCTTAGCAAGTCTGTTGAAAGCGTGTGCTGCCATTGCTATTCTGGTGGCTATTTCTTTCTCCATGCTGCTATTCGCTGATATATAGCTGCCTAGGCACTAAAAGTCTTCGACCTCTTCTAGCTCTGCTCCATTCGCAAAGGTCTTGAGAGCACTTTTGGTTTTTATTTTCATTAGCTTGATTTTCCCGGAGTTTATCTTTAGCCCAACGCTTTAAGAAATTTGCTCTGTTTTTGTGGTTTTTTGCTTGGATGTCTTTTTGGGCATGTGAGTGTCACCACCCCCTAAGAAACAAAGTATATATATATATATATATATATATATATATATATATATATATATATATATATATATATATATATATATATATATATATATATATATATATATATAATATAGTCGAGAACTATCAGTTATTGTAGCTATATGCGATGCTTACTTTAGTTTAGATAGCACAGTACCACATGTTCGGATTAGCTGCACTAAGAACATAGCTGTGTGGGATTGATTTATATATTTAGTTCAACTGAAGGAATCAACAGAGCCAGTGGCATACACTAGGGGTTGTTAGAGCCAGGACAATACCTAAACAGACAGCTGACTTTGTATGCGACACACAGCGAGAGCAGTGAAGACAATTTAAAAATAATTGAAGACTGGAAGTTATCTTCACGTAGAGATTTGACATGTTCTCTTGGGCGCGTCTGAAATAGAAACTTAAATTGTTTATGATTTCATTAGTTATAGGTCTACTTCTACGAATGAACTCTGGATTTTTATTAAGAGACGAGCCCCCCATTCCCCCCCCCCATCCCCCCACCCCACCCGAACCCGACATAGACCAGTACATTGACTAAAAATCCGAAAGAATAAGTGTCTCCTATCCAAAGTGACTTATTTTTTTTAGTCTTAGTATGAAAAAAAAATCTAACAAGTCCTTAGTGTTATTTCCCTTGTGAAGGGGACATGACTGTGCGAGCTCATTACTACCTAGCTTTGGGGTATTTTTTGTCAAGACAGCGGGAGGGAAAAAAACGGAGGAAAAGTTTAAAACTAATGACTAATTTACCACAAAACGTGGACTTTGTCAGTTTTCTAACGTTTTTACTTGATGTTGAATGTGGGGAGAAGCGTTATATGAAAGCAAACGCAGTTTTACAAATCATTAGTCGTGCCCTTAAGCCGTAAAAAATAAAACGAAATCGGTTATCGTGAAATAAAAATTTCAACTATAGCTTCGACTTGGGCCTATAGCTTGCAGGAAAATCATTGTACATGAACAGTAAATATTACACACTCACTAATACAAACATCCACACATCCACACACGCGATATACACACATATATAAATAAATAAATTGTACACATATATATAATATAAATAAATAAATAAATATATATATATATATATATATATATATATATATATATATATATATATATATATATATATATATATATATGTATATATATGTATATATAATATAGGCCTATATATAGGCATATATATATACATACATACATACATATATATATATATATATATATATATATATATATATATATATATATATAAATAAATAAATAAATAAAAAAAAAAAATATATATATATATATATATATATATATATATATATATATATATATATATATCGGAGCTAACGCTGGGAGCACCAAAAAGTTTAGATAAATTCACTTTCTTCACCAAAATTTATTCCCTCTGCTTACACTGGGCGCACCGAGTGTCTGGGTAAATTTATTCTCCCCCGTTAAGCTGGGAGCGCCAAAAAAATCTGGGTGAATTTATCCTCGCTGCTGACGCTGGGAGCACCAAAAAAGTCTTGGTAGATTTATTCTTTCTGTCACGTTTCCATACCTGCCCCCCCCCCCCCCAACTAAAGTGTCGTTTTTGTTCATCACGTGACCTGTCTATATTACAGTTTGAACTGGGCGATTTAAATCTCGACCGTGTTTTATAGTCTAAGTTCAATTGAAAGGATTTTATCACCTGAATATTCTGTTACAACAAGCGGTCAAGCGACAGTGCGTTAATTAGCTGGTCATTTGTTCTGATTTTAAAAGAGCAGTGTATCATCAGTGTACTCAGCCGTTACAGGTACCTAGCATTAATAAAGTAAAAAAAAAATTATTGATTGTTATTTTTTCAAGTATACCATACATAAATGGCAAGCGATTGTTATAATATGGGATGGGGATGGGGTGGGGGTGGGGTGGGCGAGTTGATCGATTTGTTTAGTGGGTCATTTTCTTAAAAAGGGATGGGAGCATGGGTGGGTGTAGGGAACTGGGTTGCAACTTTGTTATTTGTCACAGGTAAACTTGATGGGTACCCCATCAGTTATTTAGATTATTTATCACAGTTAATTTAGCTGGGTACCCCGTTAGGTACTTACTTATTTATTACAGGTA